CTGCAAAACTACTTAAAAATCCATAAACAACCTGCTTACTTACTCTCAACTCTGAATGAACATTTAACTTTGCACGACTCCCAGATGCACTGCACTAAAGATTTTGTAGTCAAAATTAGTTAAATTAGAAAAGAAAACCCCAAGAAATTGGTTTTATACCGTATCTTTTCTTTCCTTCTTCTTTTTTGTATATTGTATTGATCTAATCTCTTTTATTGCCATTGAACCCTCCATGAAGAGTTTTAAACTGGTTTGAAAGAAACTCAGTTTCATATTGATGCCATATTCCACCTACAAAAGCAAACCAGGCCATCAGCTACAACATAGACCATATCTGTAAAGTTGTTTTAACTTCTAGCAATGCTTTTACCAGGTTGGGTGTAGCGCCAACTTCATTTTACCCTGTAAAACTTTCTCAGTGAGCTGCAGACAGTTGGATGAGATTTTTTGTTGGAGGACAGGATCAGCAAAGGCGCAAGAAGTGCAGGTTTGTCAAGAAGAGCTGCAAAAGCTGTGTAGCTCCTGTAATCTGAAGCAGGGCTTTTACTGTGAAACACAGTCATTCTACATTGTTGCACAAACATTTCAACCCAAGTTAAGAGTCAAAGTGCCACCACACACCCTAGCCCAGAAACCCTGCTCTATATGCATATAATGTATCCACACAATAAAACAACAACTGATACTGTGACAGAACCAGGTTTGAGACAGCTGTGTCTCATCAGGTTTCTTCAGATCGGGTGTGTGAGCAGACTCCTTGGCCTGATAATGAACAGATATCATAGATATGTAGGGAGTGATGTAGCCTCAGGTGAAGGTAGTTTGTGTTTGACAAAGGAGGTTGAAGTCTTTATGCAGACACCTGCTGATTTCAGATGAGATTATGCTACACATGTGTGAGTTGTTTTCTTCAATGAAAGATCTCATCTTTGTTTCGTTTAAGTATCAAACATCTCACTCATCGTCAATCATTGTCACTGTATCACTTTCCCTGATATCAGTCCTGCAGCTGAGGTTTCACACATTTCAAATGATCTAGAAAACAATTATCTCAGTCCTGATGGTGATATCAGTGTTTGCTTTTCATACTAGTTCCAGTCTGTTTCAATGAAAAACTACTCAAAGGTTTTAAAGTAATTATGTCGGTTTTCAGTGACTCAGTAAAGGCTAGTCAAAGCCTGATGAAATATGACATCAATTTGTCACCTTTCATCCAGGTATTTAGCTTTTGATTAGACAGAGATGCTTCAGCCGTTCAGGATAGTTGAGTTTTTCAGATTGCATGAAGTACTTGTTATAGTGTGTATGCTATGTACAGTAGGTATTAGGCTTGGTTGCAGAGGCCAGCTGATGTTTTTTTAAAAGCTTATTTATGTTAGAAAAAATCAAGGAACTTTTTGGTTTGTGTTGACATTGGCGCCCCCCGGTGGACAAAGTGATACCTCATATCTGTCAGCCTGTATATTTAAAGGTCATGTTTTCAGATTAAAAAAAAAAAACAAACATCTTGTTGCCAATAGTTAAAGACCCACTCCGATAAAAATCATGTTTTTCTTGTTGTCTACATGTTCATATGACATTTTTCTGATGCTACAGGACATATCATGAGAAATTTAAGTGTGATATTGCATACCCAAGCTCCGCCCCCTGTGCCCCGGTCTGCAGGTCAGACCAGGTAGAGAGGACAATCATGGAACAAGTGTGTGCATTAGCGGATTGCAATGCTCATAACAAAGCTAATTATGATAATAACTTTCATTATATCCCCCAAAGACAGTAGTTTTCGAGAGCTGAATAGCTCCGATATTACCTGCCTCTTCTGCTACACCGGTAATGTTAGGCTGCAAGCTAGCAGGAATAGGAGGGTGCAAGGCAGCGCTGTCTCCGCCCACGACTCAGAGGTGAATTGCTAATGAGTGACTGGAGCTCTGCAGAAGGAAAGCCCTTGAAAATTACATAGGTAACGTGATTTGGGCTAAAAACTGTTGTCCACAATTGACCACAATTGGAGTTGGACTAAGAGGTTTATTCCTCACTGTGAGAATTTGCTTGTTTTTGTTTTGGAGCGATTTCCAGCCTGCTGTCAATCATTTTGTCTAAGCGTTCCCCCTCACAGTGTTTTCAAGCATTAAAATGACTAGAGTGAAATCATCACACTTGTTCCTGATGGTCTTGTTTGCTTTTTTTAAATCATATGGAGGCATCAGTATCAGCTTCAGTCTGTTTCTTAACCATAAAAAACTCCTTGCAGTGCCTTCTAAGAAACGTTTCTGCTTTTTCTCTTTGTTCAATTGCATTTTGGTCTTTATACTGCAGGGACTGCATTTAAAAAAGCTCCAAAAGCAAAAAAAAAAGAGGGAAAGATGATCTAATTTTGTCTTGAGAGATATCAAAGATGTTTCCAGCGTCTGCCACTGACTGGGTGATTATTGAATACCTATTGAACCCCCTGTACCATGTGTAAATTGAATGACTGCATGTCTGCAGCTTTAAATAAAGTGTATGCTGAGGTTCCACTGTGATTAACAATGACTCACTTTCACTTAACTGTCACTTCACTATGACTTCCTCTGTCACACACACTCACACGTATACGCAGCATGTGTGTTTGGAGCGGTGATCAGGCTTAAATGGTACATTAAGCTCTTAATTACTCAGGTGAAGCATGGCTGTGCGTTGGCTGTCTGTTTTAATTTTATTAGCCGACAGTTTGATGGAAGTATATCTCTGTGTTTCACACTGCCTCTCCTCAGGGACGTGATTCATGTGTGTCTTTTTGTGTGTGTGTCTGTGTTTGATGTATGATTCACAGCAATCAGCCTCAGAGCACCTGATGACCCCACCTTGTCTAAATGACATAACAGCTGGAACAGCTGCTTCACTGTAGAGGAGGGTCTGAGTGGGAGGCGCCGTGCTTGACTTCTGCCGTTTCGTCCTGTGTGCTGAAACTGTTCATAATGGGATTGACCTAGATTGGTTCTGTTTGTTATGATTGCCTGCGTGTTTGTGTGTGTGTGTGTATGTGTGTGTGTGCGTGTGTTACACCATGTACACTAGGTTTGCTCAGAGGTGTTGTGTACTTGCAACATGAGGCTTGAAATTGCAAAACTTTGGGTGATCTCCCATTTGTGGATTTATAGAAGCGAGTTGAGTTTGCAAAGTTGATTCTTTAGGCAGAGTTGTTCAACACTTTTTAAAGCTCCTGTAAGGAACTTAAGGTGCCCCCTATGGATGAGAGAGTCTTTGCTCATCTTGTCCTTTACATGCTGAAGTGGTATCCTCTGACAAAAAACCTCATCCTGCTGATATTTGACCGTCAACTGGGTCATATTTGTGAATATTTGATGCGAACACTGGGTTTTTCCAACACCTGTCCCTCACACTAATTTCAAGCATTTAAAGTATATAAATTATCGGTCTTGTCACTTAGCGTTTTGTTTGCTATCATACATCACTAAGAAGCATCACTATGAATTTCAGTTAATTTCATAATTGTCAAAAAAAACAAATAAATTAAACTCCTCACAGGAGCTTCAATCAAATTTTATCACAGCCCATCTTTCTTCTTTAATCAGTTGATCTTGCTATTAGCCTTTCTTTTCCTTTTTCCTTTAAAGTTTTGAGGCTGTCGTAAGTGAAATTGTCTGTTGGTGAAATTGCATGTTTAACCTTTTAAGTTTTATTTTGGTTTATTTAGGTTTTATACTTGATGCAACGCCATCCTGTGATTTGACACAGCTTTACTGGCTTCATTTAAATCACCTTTGAAAAACAAACACATCATGAGCTCCTCTGCCTTGGTAACAGGCTTTATTTTTGTATAGGGACTGGAGTAAGAGCTCCAGCCGAGATTGGATTGTTCTTCACGTACTGCGCTTTGCTGTCCACACGAGGGCGTTGTGGTGCTGTTCATGCATCTGCTGAACCTTTCTGTGATGTTCGTGTTTTTTTTAGAAGCCAGCTATCCTCAATCCTACCGTCAGATGGCGCTAAAGACTCGCGATATCTCATTTCTTGTGGCCAGCTGAGCGCCTGTTGTGCGCGTTTGGAGTGAGTTGATAGGACAGGTTTCACAGTCAACACCAAAAACGAAAATGTGGATGAGTTTGGCATCTTTGGGGGCTGTTTTTCTGACATCTGCTGTGCAAATAGATTTGTTTTTAACCCTTTTCTCTTTTCATTCGGTGCTATCTCATGTCTGATACCCATTCTGCTCTGCGTAATACTTGGCCCAACATCCCCTTTTGTCTATTTTAAGTGTTTTTATTACAAAAAACGTCAATAGTTCAGTTTCAGACCGTTTTTGTTCAACATTTTTATTCGACGTAGAGAGCATACTAACTTTAAGAAGTTTTAAAAGGTGATTATGATGGGAAACGTGTTGATGTACATTTCTTTGACGGGATTTCCATCGTTTAAACTGCCTGTTGTTGCCGTTTGGTGTAACTGCACACCTAAGGAAAATCATCTATACTCAACTGATGAGGTGATCTGACAAACATGTCTGCTCAAACTGCAAAAAACACAGTGTTGCAAAAACTTTTGTTTCTAATTGGTGATGTCAGTCTCTCTCTCTTTCTCTCTCTCTCTCCCCCTCAGAGGCTCCTCATTTGCTCTTAAAGCAGCGTCGTTGTCTGGGAGTGATTGATGCCTCCCAGCATTGCGCGCTGTGGAGAGACGATCATTGAATCTAACGGGTATAATTATGGCATCGCTGACAGGTAGTCTTGCGCTCTCACGGTCACCCTGGCTATCACCTGAACTGCACCTGTGGACCTCGTCTCCTCTTGTCGTTTACACACGCTACACAAGCGCCAGACGCACGGGTGCGCGCGTCGCGTGCACTTGCCACCGGCTGGAGATCGCTTTGTGCTGAGTTGACCGGATAGCTGCTTCTCCATACAGGTCCGGGGGCTTAAATGGGAGCAGCTCACACATTTGGACGACTTGCGCGTTCTTTTCAGTAACTTTGATGGGGACTTTGATATCGAGCAGGGAAAATGCCTGTGATGAAGGGATTATTAGCGCCTCAGAACACGTTTCTGGACACTATAGCCACACGCTTTGATGGCACGCGTAAGTTTGCTTTTTCATTGTTTTGCATGCACTTGAATCAGCAATGGTGTTTAATTTATTTTTTTATTATTTGCTCTGTTTTTGGAGGTGTGGGGGGGTCCTTTTGTCCTCTTGATTGACTGCTTTTCATTTTAAAGAGATCTTTACTGGATTAGGGACCTACAGAAAGAGAAAGAAAATTGAAGTCTTGCCTTGTTGTCCTTAAATGTAAGTGGCCTTCAAATAAAAATTTGCATTTAATCCACATTTAATAACTGAATCAGACTCAACTGAAAAAGACAAAGACAGAAAGAAGGAGAAGCTCCTCCAGTAATTACCAGACTGAGTCTGTCGCTGTCCGTGGTGCTGAAGCATCAGCACCACGGACAGCGACCAAAGGGTTAACTGGGCGCTAACAGGCTCCCAGCTACTGTACTCACACAGAGCACATCTGGATGGTCACTGTTCACAAGTTGCAGCCTGTGTTGTTTTTCATCCTAGGTTCCACAGCTGGATAAGTCTAACTAACTTTTTTTCCTCCCTGACTCGTCCACACGCCCTTTTTTTCTCTGAGGTTATTCTTTGTTATCTCTGCTCTTTGAGCTGACGAGTCCTCCCGCCGCTCTCACACCAGCAGTCGCATTTATCAAAATTAATTGGTCGGCATAACACCGAGTCTTTCCCCGGGTTGAGACACACATAAGGCTTTATGAGGACAACTTTTCCATGAACTCTCACCTCTCATCTCAGCTGTTTCCTTTTTTAACCATAAAGGGTAACTGTCCCTCTTCAAAAGACTCTTTGGAAACAGCAGTGTATTACAGCTTTAGGTTTGGTTTTGTTCAGAAGAGCTGCATTACTTCCATATCAGTGATTCTGCTCATATTTATAGCTTTTATATAGAGTTTGGCCTACAGCTTTGTTTCTTTTCTTTTCTTCAGTTGTACATCGTGGAGTTTGCATTTCTGAAATCATCTGGCTGAGTCCATCTCTGTTTGGCTGCCATATTTATCATTATATATGGCATTATATATGTATCATTAGAGCTGCAACAAGAGACTTATTGGCCAGTTCAGTATTTATCCATAGATAGATTGGACTATCAAATACCAAGACACTGAAAACTGTCAAAACAATTATAGTTTTGAACATGGATAATAACATCTTTTTTTTTCCGGCTCCTCAGCTGACATCTATCCTTTGCACCGGCTTTAGGCATTTGACCGTCTTGTTTGCCTTTACGTATCATAAAAAAAGCATTAAAATTAATTGCAGTCTGTTTCATACACGTCTAAATACTCCTCTCAGGGAGTACGTCTGTCTTCGTCTTCCTGCATCCCACTCAGGCCATGATGTAATATAACACACCAATGCATTTCTGAATGACACTTTTCAGATAATGTCACCAGGCGGCTCATTTAGTTCATTAGCACTCAGTGTCAAACTAGTGTTCAAATTTCACCAAAGTGCTCCAAGTTGGAGTTACCACCTCTGAGCTAAGCATGCAGGTGCAGCTAATCTGACTGATGTCAGCGGGAAATCAGATCATCAAAGCCAGAAGAGCAGACCTCAACTGCTGGTTTTTGTTAACCTCATCCATCACAGTTTAACAGCACTCAAAGTTAATAGAGCTATGTGGTGTTTTGGTTTGTTATCAGCTTTATTGTAATGAAATAATGAAGAATACCAGCTGTATTGAACAGAATATGCACTTTGAAGCTACATATCTACGTCTCTGCACAGTTTCAAACCATGCTGGTGTAGTGGTGCAGCGTTTATTTGAATTATAAATGTGACAGTGAAGATCATAAAGTGCATTTCACAGCTTTTTTGTTTGACTCCCAAATGAAAACACTTCTTTATGTTTCTTATATGGACTTTTAAACAAATTTGAAGCGATTTTTCATGCAATTAAATGCAATGAACAATTGAAATCAAGTATCCAATCACTTGACCTTTGCTTTAACCATAATTCCAAATCCACAAACCACTTCACTCCTTAATAAAACAACAACAGATTCCCATAACTGTGAACTGAAAATGCTGTTTTGGGGGCATTGATTATGAAAGTACTTGCAGGCTAGTCTACAGAACTGCAAATCGATTAAAAGATAAATCATCACAGCTCTTTGCGAAAGGGTAAGAGACTTCTATTCTGTAGGTTTATTTTTCAGATACACAACTAAACAGTGCTTTTTGTGTCAGGGGTGTTAAAACGTAACACTGCACTGTTTCAAAAATACTCCCATTAGTATAATTAGTTTGTCCACTCAGGCCCGATATTTGTTAAAATCCCTAAAGTAGATCTTAGAGATGATAATACATCCTGCATTTAGTGTCTGAATCCTAAAAAAGCCACCTGACCCCACTCATGCCCCACTTTTTTGGATGCTGTACATTTTACCCTCCGTGTTTATCGCATTAAAGAGGCTCTATACCAGCTCAAGACATCCATCCTTGTTTCAGCAAGTATCCCTGCAGGTTGAGCACCACTTTATGAAAAAAAAGTCTGCTGTACATTGAGAGGTAAAAACATCTCACAGCCGGTACAGGAGCTCCTCTTGAACAGGGGGATCGAAGAAGTGCTGCACCTCGTACAAGTGGCCTGTCTTTTCGCTGAGAGGGAGAAGGAAATTAACGCAGGATTTGAACAGCAAGACAGGGCAGACTGGAGGCAGCTGAGCTTGACGGGACAAATTAGGTGTGATGGCCCAGCCAGGAGCAAATATAAGGGAAGTGCGAGGTTCATTGCTACGTGATCCCCTTTGACGTCATCAGGAGCCTGAGCGGGAGGGATGGAGCTGGAAACTTGGAATGATAAATGGATGGGAATGAAAGTAGCTGGGATTTTAACTCGATCTGCTTTGTTATCAGGTGTTTTAGATATACTGCTGACCTTTAAATGGATTATCCTTTCTTTCTTAGAGATTTTAAAGCATGAGATTTCCTTTTATATCCAAACACAGCTTTGTTTAAATCAAATGTCCCAGACATAACTTAGGGGTATCAGACTCTGAATAATAGCAGCCTTTCAGGATAATTTAATGAAGAGACGTGGGAAGACATCACATGCACATAAAAGTGGACTTTAAAAGGATTTAAATTGCTTTTTTATGCTAAAAGGGAAGCAGCTTTGAAATGACTGAAAATCTCCTGTAAGATGATCCTCAAATAAAAGAAATAATTTAAAAGTTCATCTCACAGCTGACTTTGGGCGAAGTAATAGTTCATTTTAGCAGATTCAGCTCACAGCTCAGTTCATGGTGTTCCCAGTGGGGCTTGTGTGTTTCTGGATGTGCTCTGTGGACGGACACAAACACCTCTGTTCACAGTGTCAAGATCATTGTGTTTCGGTTTGTCCACAGAGTAACTAAACACAACAGAAGGTGTGTTTACTTCTGTGTGAGACTCCTGGGACACCCTCTGTCTTCACTACAATCACTGATCATACCAGCTGTCAGTCACTTACAGCACACTGAAACTTAATGTATGTATAGACTTATACATACAGTGTTTTTCTGTCTTCTTCTTCTGTTTTAAAGCCTCAAGTTTGGCATTTTTCTGTTGCCATCTTGGTTGCAGACCCAGAAGTAATCAAGTTCGAATTACTGTGCAGATATGTATCTCTGTCTGAATCTCTGTCTTGGTTGATAAGTTACTGTGGATTTGTACAATATCCTCTATACATTGAGTTTGCACTCAATCAGCCATGACATTATGACCCTGAAATGCATAAAGTGAATATTATTGATTCATCTCATTTCCCTGGCGCTTGTAATGGATGGGATTTATAAGGCAGCAAGTGAACATCTAGTCCTTGCAGTGAGTTTCAAGCAAGAAAAATGGCAAGTGTAAGGCTGCTAGCTACTTTGGCATAGAGTGAATTGCAATTACTACCCAACTGGGTCAGAGCACCTCAGAAATTTGGGTGTTAGTTCAGGCAGGCCATGATATCACGCTCTCGCTGCTTCCTCTTCAGACTGTTAAGCATCTTGCATCAACCCTCCCTATCGCTCTGTATTTTTCCCTAACTCAGCAGTGGCGAGGTGGCTGTCTGGCTTGAGTCTGGTCCTCCCCAAGGTTTCTGCCTGTTAAAAGGAAGTTTTTCCTTGCCACTGTCACTCATGTTAGATGGGATGAGTTAAATCTGTCCCATCTTAAGGTTGGGTCTTTGTAATTCATCAAACAATGAGCGTGGTCTAGTGCTGCTCTTTTTTTTTTTTGAAAGCGTCTTGGGATAATGACTTGTGATTTGGCGCTATATAATCAACATTTGATTTGATTTGATTTGAACTGTTGCTCCCCTTTTTTTACACTGTGTCTGATTATATGGATGTGCTCTGTTCTGCACCTTGAGAGTCTTTGCTGCTTTCCCTGCCTTGGAGAAAAATATGAAAATCAAGATAAATATTCATCTTATTTAAAAACTGCATTATTCTTTCAGTCTGAAAATGTACATTTTGTAATATTTCTTCTAAAGATGTAGCAGGTCACATCCCTGAACTTTAGCTGGAAAGCATCCGCATGTTTCTCCAGCTGGAAAAAACTGTCACTTCACACCCCAGAACTAAAGTCAGTGCTGTAGTCTTTACACAACTTCAGAAAACTTGCTGACTTTTCGTTCTGTGAGCCAATGACGGCCTTCATTTGGGAAATCGAGACCATATTGGGCTTCCCTTCCACTAAATTAAGCAGACGGTTTGGTGGCGCAGTCGTAACAGAGGGCTGTGTTAAGCCTCCTATAGTGTGGGCTGTATGCTCCCCACCCTGCACCGCTCTTCCAGATAGCTATTTTCTAGCTCCCAACGCACACTGCTTCCACTTCCACTAGGTAGGTAATTACTGTCACAATCACTGATGCTGAGACTTGGAACAGCTGTGTATGGAGTCAGTGTGCTAAAGTGTGTGTGTGTGTGTGTGTGTGTATGAAAGAAAGCGAGAGGAGAGAGGGAGGAAGTATGCAGGATTTCTAGCACTTTACAAGTTTGTGTCACAGAAACTTTATATGCATATGTGTGCAAGTGTGCAACTCTGTCTGCCTGTATGTGTGTGTTTGTCCCATGACTTGACGCATAAGGGTAATAAAGCTGAAGTTTCCACTGTATTCACTAAACTCCTCTTAAATGCATCACAACTATTTTGGCTTGAAAGTGGCTCTGGGATCCCACATCTTGATTACCACTGGCTGCCATGTGTTTAAAAACTCACCTGGGTATCACACACAATAGGAGAAGCCAACACTATCGGAGTGTGCTGTCTGAAGAAAAGACAGAGTGTACACTGTTGCTCTTCCCGTGGCTCAGTCTCACCAGCAACCTTCTGACCTGCAGGAAAACCCAGGGAGCTAATTACTGAGACTGAAAGACCACAGACCACACACTGACGTACAAGCGTTTCATTGAGGTTTATTACAGCAGTGTTAACTTAAATTATTTGGGTGGGTCATCCAGAATCACATACTGTACGCTAAAATAACATCAGAAACCCTTTAATTTTCTTTAATAGACAGTGAGCACCTTGTTATTCTATCATCTGATTATCCTGCGTCGGGAAAAGGCAGCTCTATTGAGTCCTCAGATAGAGATTGACTGTGAAAGAAGTAATGAGTGCAGTTATGAGACTGTGAGGGAGTAATCAATCATCATTGACTGTAATGCTGCAGGGTGCACAGGGGGCTCTCACTTACAGGCGCAGGATTGGCACTACTGCTCCCATTTTCTCCAAAGCCCACTTAATATCAAGACTGTTTTATTTCAGGGTAAAAATAAACTGAGAGCATTGAGCTGCGCTGTATCCAAGCGGGCAATTCTGAACACAGAGGTCGCAGGAATCTGGGTAATGGAGTGATTATTATCGGGGCCACTTAAGATGTGTCATATCAGATTATTGGTGTCCATCCTGTTAGCCAAAACCACTATGAACCAATCAGATCGTTTTAATTTGAAAGTTGAAATCACAACATCACTTAGGTAAAGTGAAATATTTTGAAAACGTAAAGCTCCTGTGAGGAACTTTTCATTTGTGTCAACTTTGGCGCCCCCTGTGGACAGAGCAGCCCTTGCTTATCTCGTTCTTTACATGCTAAATCAGTGTTTTCTGGCAAAATCTGTCATCCTGCTGACTTTTAACAGTCAAATGTACCATTCAGTGATAGGAATAGTGAAAACAGGGTTTCTCAGCAGACATCACTCTCATGTCTGATGGTCTTGTTTGCTTTCAGATATCATTAAAAAGCATCAGATTGAATTTTAGTCTATTTCATGAATGTCAATAAAGTGTCAGATGTCGGCTTATCAACTCTCTTTGAACTCAAAAGCCAGACTATCAATTTCAATTTACGATGGAAATGTTATCTAACTGCAGCCTTAATTTGTACACCTCCAGCTGACACAGAGCTACATTAATATTCAAGTTTAATATTCATTCTTCCTCCAGCTCTGTGTTCAGCTTCACAAACTCTTCAAGAGAATATCTGGTGTTTTAGCTAAACACTTCAGCAATTAGTCACTTACTTACTTTGTCTGTCTGCTTTTTTTTTAAAAACTGAAAATAGCTGCCTGCTTCTCGTCTGTGCATGCTTTAAGGCGTGTTATGTGCCTCAAGAAAACATGTTTTAATTTGCATTAAAAACTACAACATCATCAGTTAAACGTCCTGTTTAAAGATCCTCAGCATCTCACCCACTCATTGACAGTAAACCAACATCGCTGAAGGCATCAGATAAGTGTAGGAAATGTAAATAAGTGTTTTGAATTAGTAACAGGCCAGCAGTAGCCTCTGGCTGTATGAAGGCTTTGAGAAAGTATTCAGCTAAGATGATACAGCTACTCTCATCAGCACAGCATAGACTCAGCAGGGGCACGCCGTCCTCGCTGTAAGGTCATCAGCACTTTAAAGAGGCCAGTGTGGTATGTGTTCCACCAAACTTCTGTGCGAGAGCCTCTGCGTCAACATGGATGCTCTGCCTTGTTAAACCGCCTAATTAGCAAGATTCTTCCCCTAATCACCATCTCTAATGGCCTGTCCAAAACGATCGACGGAAAGGGTTTCACCAGCTAATATCTTGGGAAACTCAGCCATTTTTAGATTCAATTAAATTTTTCAAATGGGAGGATTGGATTTTTGTGACAATGAGAGAGAAGCTATGACAGAAATTTTTGAGGGAGCAGAGAGGGAGATAGACAATGGAAGCTGGAGGACTGGCTGAGAGTATTAAATACGGGGGGGGGAGTGAAGGGGGGTGGGCTTGCAAATTACAGGACCGTAATGGCGGGTGTAATTTTTCAGCTGTTGGGAGCCTGGGGACCGTATGACAAAGAGAGCTAGTGAAATGATTAAGGCAGTGGATTTAGCTAATGATTTTCTCTCCTCAATGATACAGTTTGAAAGGATTACCACTGTTTGAATGGATGGGAGTCTATGTCTGTCTCCTGAGTGTATGTACATTGAAAACATATGAATCCCAAGTCCGGTTTTATTGACTCTGAATAGGAATGATTAATTTAGAAATGTTACTGACACAAATGTACTCATTATGCTGACGATACCATTATTTATACCTCCATGTAATCCATAGGAAGTACAACTGGCAAATTACAAGCTGCTTTACCATTGTGCATAAGAATCCTTGTCAATAAAACCTGCACTAAATACCAACTGGACTAAAATGGTGTGAGGGTTAAACAGGGATAGTTCTGCAAAAGGATGATTGAATGTGTCTAAATACATACATGCTTGTTTATGCAGCAGTACAATTAGCCCACAACACTTTTTCCTGCTCTAGTTTGGAGGTTAGGTCCATTTAATTTTTTTTTTCTTGGCCATGTTGGACATATTTGGCAGGAGCAGCAACAGGTTAAAGAAGGAAAAAAAGATGGTTTTATTAAGTCTTAAGTTGGAGTGAGCTAACTCAGGCAGTCAACTCAAGCTGAACTGATTTCACACTTGGCATGCTTCATTCTCACAATCACATGATGAACTCACTTCCAGTTGAGTGCTTTACTAAAGCTGAAAGATTTTCAGTCCCTGCTTCTACTGCCATGCTTAAGTGCTGCACTCACACTTTTAAGCCCCCATCACCGGCCTGAGCATCCACCCCACAGGCTACGATGGGGGGGGGGTTCAAGGCGATGACTAATCTTTCCTTTATTTCTGCACATAAAAGTAAAACTGCAAAGAGATACGAGATTAGACACCAAACACAAATAGTGCTATGCTATTGCAATAAACAGTTCAAGCCTAAGCATGAGTTGTCTTACTGAACAATTTTTCAAGCTACTGAGAGGAGTTTTGGGAAGGGTAATGAAAAAAGACATATCATTGATATCAATACCCCTCATGTGATACAAAAGCCAAGAATATACATATACGTGACAGAATTGAGTATGTCTTCATTGTGATGTTGATCCCTATAACTGCTATGTAGTAGGTCCAACGAAATAAGTCACAGCTCACTGTGGGAACAACTTTTTTATATATTGTATGTCCCACTGTAATCTGCACAGTGTGTGTTAACTTTGACTGTTAAAAGAGACAGAAACATGACTCACAAAACCAGCAATGAGATTCAATGTTTGGGGGCATCAAAAATTGTCACATGCTAAAGTTCCTTACTGTAGCTTTAATTTTAAGCAAAAAGAAATTTCATTTTACACAAATTCCTGCTTTTTTAAAATGATGTAAAATGAATAGATTAACAAATGCATCGTGTTATCTCTGTATATTTATGTATTTTCTTAATGCAGAAGCTTTGATGTGATGACAACAGTAACTACACCACTTCATTTTGTAGCTTTTCTGACAAACTTCTCAGACAGCTCTTTTCTGCCTTTTTTTTTGCAGCACTGAGGGTAAAATGCTCCCTGTTTTTTAAAGTTTTAAGATGCAATGATGCTGCATTTTGTTTCGTTTTTGCTTACATGAAGCTGATATGCTTACCCCACTCTGCATGGATATGAGATCACTCACCTCTTATCTGCTCAGCTCAGGAAATGACCCAACCAGCTGATTATTTCCAATTAAATATGTCGGCAACTGATTTTTGTCAACAACTGCACAGATGATTGCAGCCCTCAAAAATGATGAGGGTGAATGTGGTAAATTCAATCAAAACAACTGCTGTTTTTTCTTTTGTTGCAAGGAAAAAATACATTCAAGAGGCATTTTTATTAATACTGAACAAAGATTAAGTCCTTCATATTCATTCTACCTCACTGTCATGTGATCTTTGTTTCTGGTTTGGAGTTTCCTCACACATTATTGTGTCTTATTTAACAGAGTGATGTTACTATCAAACACCTTTCTATTAGAGACTGAACCATGTGAGCAGTTTTCTTCATGTTCTGTACTGATTCCTCAAACTTTTGGAGGCGGCCACCTTCAGTCTCATGGCCACACTTTCTATTTCATCCTTCAAAGTCTCTCTGTCTTTGGTGAAACTGCTTTCCTGCCCACTCATCTTGGTCTGAGCTACAGACTTACACCAATTTAGTACATTTTATGAAGATATTACAACTGGAATTAAAATCTCGACCAGATGCACTTCTTTGGCTAAAGCACAGATTTTTTTTAAATGTATTTCCTCCTATCATTTGTTCTTTTGTGTGAAACTTTTCGTACTGCTGCCTGCACCAGGACTCTCTTGTTCTGGAGATTTCCAATCTTTCTGGAAAAATTCCTGGTAAAATGAAATAGTCAATACCCAGCCCACACTTGGTTGATAAGGAGCAGTTTCTGGCATTAATCTCAGAATCTTATTTGTTGAATAAATTTTGTGTCTCTCGCTGAGTTAAACGGTACAGTTGTAACCTTGGTTGCTATGGTGTGTATCAGTGGTTACCATAGCAACTCTAGAGAGATGGTTTTCAGAGTCATGTGATTGCCCTGTAGCGGTTTCTAAGAGGCCGACATGAATTCTGGCAAAGAGGTGAGGAGGTTTTTTCCATCCATCTCTCCACTTCTCCACCAATTTTCTCCATAGTCCATCTCCATCGCTCACCATTCCACCTCTATCAGCTCCATCTCACTTTTCCGTCAACTTTTCACAGCACACCACCCCCTTGTGTCCCCTCCACACCCTCATCTGTCTGCTTTGTTTTAGTTTTCTCAGCAAACCATTCCTCTCCAATATCCGCCTTATTTTTCACTTTCTCACCTGCTTTTTCTTTCATCTCTCTCTCTCTCTCTCTCTCCCTGTTGTGTTTATCAGTTTTTGTTTCCTTTCCCTTTTTTCTCTTAACTCTTAAACCTCTTTCCCTTTGACTCCTTTTCTTTTCTCTCCTCTTGTTTTCTTTTCTCTCCTTTTCTATGCTTTTTACCCTGTTGTTCAACCGTTATATGAACTGGTATGTCCTAAATAACTCAAGGGTTTAGGTGCTGTCAGAGGGCAGTCAGGGGGGGATGCTGAATGTGCATACAGAGCATTTCTAAGTGCACACAAAGCCCAGAATTATAGGAGAAAAAACAGTGCATGTACAAAGTAGCACTATCACTTTCTCACCTTTGCTCACTTTTCCATTTGTTTAGGAGAGCTTCGATTTGTGCCTCTTACAAACCTGGTTATTGTAGCACTCAGCTGCTGGGACAAGTGAATTCCCCTAAGTCCTCCAAACTGAACCACAGAGCGGTTTGTTCAGAGAGGCTTTGAAAAATGACCATCATGAGTGTTTTCTGATCTTGCACCTCTATTACTTTTCTAGAGTCGGCTATCATCTGTGTGAACCTGTTTTTCAGCACAGTGGAGCTCCAAACGTTGCCATCGGCATACTAATATGACAAATCATACATCATAAAAATTCAGCAGGTGTTCTGATAAAAAAAATCATCAATATTTAGCGCGGGGACAGATAATTCCTGCTAAACTCTACATCCAGCATCAGAAGGTAATCTTTAGTAGATTTTTGTGCACAAACAGAAAAACTGGAGATTTGTGGAGAAAAATCCAGGTGATTGCCAAATTTCTCACTTTTTATCCTGTAGGAAGGAATCATCATCTTCCAACTCAAAAATCAATCCATCCTAATTTTTATAAAAGTTACAAAAGTTTTATAAAAGTTGGTATGCCATGAAAAAAAAAAAAATTGTTTGTAAATTATTTAAAGCCTTTATTTAATTGAAATTGTGCAAAATAAACACATTTAATGTGGAAACTGGAAAAATTTATTGTTTGATGAAAGATACATACCCATACAGATACATAGCAGTTTGAACAGGGGTATATGTACTTATGAGTTGTATCAATTCTTATAACAACAATCTCTAAACTGAGAAGAATATGGTTTGGCATTGTCTTTCTGTATTATGCAATGATATATTACAAAGCATGTATTGTTTTGTAATATGAATGTATATCGTTCAGTATGAATGCTGCCTTCCCAGATGTGTAAACTGAGATCTGAGATGCTGTTTTTGATTTAAAAAAAAGGTGGATGATTCCTCCCCTCCTTAAACTAGAGGATGCTGCATCCATGATTTAAAATCATATTGCATATTGTGATCAATCAGAGTGATCAATTTCTTCCCGTATACAAACCTGGTTCTTGAATTATCTCTGAACCTTAACTTTATCTTGCTCTACAATTCCTTTATTCACCAATGACTATTGCTTAGGTAAGCCTTATATTCATTTTATCCCCTTTCTTCTTTCTCTGTCTTCTGTTTTCCTCTATCCCCCTCCCTCTTTCTTTGTCTCCATTTTTCCTCCTCTGCTCCTCCACTTCGCTGGGTCCCTGTGGGGTTTCTCCAGCTTCTGTCACATGGTACAGTGTGGAGGGAAGCTCTATGGTGCCTCCTCTACACTGGAGCAATTAGCCAAAAGAAAATCAGGATGGAAAGAGAGTTACAGTAGAGATTGGAGGGATGATGGAGAGGTTCAGACGGAGGAGAGAAGATCTAAAGCTGAAAAAGATTAACAAAAGAAAGGCAGACAGGAGAAGTGATGGAGTGGTGAGATGAAATCTGAAAAGAAGTCAGAAGGACAGATGATTCAGACCTTTCCTTCAGGAGAGGACAGATAGTAAAAGTAGACAGATGATACTCGCGGGGTCATTGGGAAGAAGGTGAACGTGTGCAGAAGGAAATAAATGGATTGGGGAAGAGGGATCGTTCGGTGAATATCCTAGGGAGAGGGGAGATGAAGAGTAATTAGGCAGAGAGATCCAAAGCGGCAGGAGGACATACAGAACAGCTGGGAGGGAAGTAAGGAGGGAGTAAAGGTTGGTAGGGCAGGAGGGAAAAAAAGAAGGTATAGAACTAAGGACAGTGATAGGTATCGGAGGAAGAGGGGGAACATGCAGGAGGGTTGGAGGAGCAGAGCAAAGGTGGGGATAATGGAGGGTGGAGCAGAGGAGATGGGGGTAATGCTGCTGCATTAGAGAAGGAGGACAGCTGTAGAAAATAAACTAGAGAGCATGGAAACAGATTTGGATGAGAGAGTGAATCAGAAACAAGTTTAAAGTAAATAAACTGGCGAGCCTGCTCTGTGTTACAATATGCTGAGATAATGAATCATCAAAGAAACAATTTATATAACAGGTTTGGACTTGGCGCTGTTTGAAATAATAGTTTGAGTTTTCCAGCATGGACATAACTTAAAAGTACAATGTCATCTTTGCTTTTCCTCTTTCCTGACCATCACTTCTAAAGATAAAGAGTTTTTTTGTCTTCAGGTTTTAGAGGTACAGCAGGACTATGTTGGTGTGAAAGATGGTAAAGGTGAACCACTTATAGAATTCCTTATAGAAATGTATGTACACATCTGTCATTACAGTCCAGCCTAGATAATCCTCACTCAAACACAACATAGTCTCACTGTAAACATCCAGTTTCTGTCACTCTACTCTGGGAGCTGTCATCAACATCCTGCAGTCTTTCACTCTTTCACCCTGAGAGGCCGGCAGCCCTGTCGCACTCTGTCTCCAGCTTACCCTGGGCCTGAGGGGCCTCATGTCTGACAGCCGGTCCCAATGCTGAGACCCGCTCTGACCATCTGTCTGAGCCACGCAGTCAGAGAGTTTCAGCTGACATCTCACTCCTGCTGTTTTTTTTCTCCCTCTAACATGAATGAAACAGGCTGCCATCGTGTTTTTGGTCCACTCTCATTTCTACACACCATTATAGTACAATTACGATGTGTTTACAACCACAGCTCTACTTCTATTGTAGGTCATTATCATTCCTGTCAGTAATAGACACATTTTACTGATATTGCAATCTGGTTGTGTTGTTAACATGGAATAGGTTTGCCTTTCTGACCTGTGCTAAAGCCACTCATTCATTCATCGATGGCTATGGTCTGTTTAGCATAAGTTTAATTTTATTTCCAATGTTTTGAAGCTTGATTAACTAACAGTGCCTCCTCTCTGCTAGGATATCTGGAGCTCTATAGGGGGAATAAATGGATCTATAGTTGACTTGAAGCATAAACCCCACCTTTGCCCTTTGCAGTGAGGTGGACATGTTTAAACAAAGAGCGTGGGCAAGGTAGAGTAGAACTGTTGACTGTGTAAGAGCTGGACAGAGCATTGGTGACGTCACCTATATGAAGGGGATCTTTGGTGCCTATTGGTTGCAGTCTCCATATAAGCAATGCTGACTCAACCTAACTTTCTGTCAGCCTAGCAGAGGCTAACCTCAAGGCTTCTCGTAAATAGCTCCAGTGTGCCTGCCTGCCTGTCAGTCAAGTCAACCATGCTTCTGATTCCCCTAACGTGTTACCATAAAAACTTTTAAACAAACATGCTCCAAATGTGCAGTGAGAAAACTGAGCTATTTAGAGCAAAAACAGTTTTTGAACCAAGTACAGACGTCTTAATTTTTGCTCCAAAATCTGGCTTTTTTGGCTGAGTGTGTGCATGATGCCAACCTCAAGAGGGCACTCAAGGAACCACAGTTTTTAGCGACTTCTTAGTTAACTTTGGTTCTCAGGATTAGAGGTTGCAGCTTCATTTGAAACTGATATTTAAAGTGCCATAATCTACCAGAACACCAGATCTGCATCACAGAGTAAGGGCTCTATTTTCGTGCTTCGCCAGTGACGTGGCACAGGCGTGGCATAAGTCAGGTCCGCCGCGCCGACAAGGCGTTCCCAAGCACAATTTGGTATTTTAGTATATAGTAGTGGCATAGTATCCCCCCCACCCTAATTCAGCTCCTCCCAGCGGCATGAGTCATAGTGAGGGAGGAGAGAGGGCGTGGAGTGGGTTTAACACAGCTGAGACCTGTATTGACCAATGACATAAGCTCCTCTCCTCGCCTATAAATACGCCACCGGCGAGGCATATTACAATTTTTGTGAAGAGATCAAGAGATGTCCCAAGACAGCAATGCCACAGGAGAAATAATCAAGGAGAAATAAGAGGAAGAGAAAGAAAGAAAAGGAGGGAGATAAATTACATATCTTGTTCACTTCATCATGTGTGTCTATTTACTAGATATTTAATTTACTTTAATGCGGTTTCAGCTGTGTTGATTGGGTCAGGTTGTGTGTGCCAAATGCGCTCATCAGATCAGATATAGATCAGAATATATCTATATAGATCTAAATGTATGTGCTGACTCAGATTATTAGTTGTTATTGAATATTTATTGCACTGAAATGTGCCTGACACTGTGGAAACCTGCTGGTGAGGCATCGGTGACGTATGCCGCTGGGCTACCAAAATACCACTAGACCAGCTGCGCTCTGCCTGCGCTGAAAGCTGACCAGATTTGAATCGGCGAGCTTTCAGCGCACTTTACACGCCGGCGGCGAGCACGAAAATGTCACAGCGGCAGCTGATTCTGTCGACACCTCCCCCTGCCACGCCACCACGCCCAGCTTGGCGGACCTCGGTGCGCCTCAGTCCATGAAAATACCAAACTGGCTGTATGCCGGGCTCCGCCAGATGAAAATACCACTGCGTGGGGTCCCCCACCCTCCACCGCCTCACCGGCGCCCTAGGTCTCACTTAGTCCTCTTTTGTTGCTAGCCTGGTGTTGTCAGGCAAATTTACTTGGCGAATGGGTCTGTAAACGTTCAATTCATTCCATTTTTGCGGGTGGCATTAGCATCAGTTAGCATTCACACTAAAGAAATGCTGGAGGTGATTGTGCAGACTTACAACCAATCAGGTGAATGCAGGATGTGACATAATGCATGGTAACAGAAATGTAATCAGACAGAGGCATGTGTACATACAACAACCTCCTTATTTAAAACAGCCGCCAGATTGAATTTAATGAAACCCCAAGCAACTGAAGCTGTCCTCTGGATTGTGTACAAACACACTGAAATAATGCTGTGTCATCATCTTCAATAAAGGACTGTGATTGGGTCCGTTTTTTTCTATTATTGATGGTAAATTGTCGAAGTATCAGCAGTTTCAGACCCACATGCTGGCAAAAATGAGCTCGAGCTGGCTGACGGATCTGGCAGTGCCAGGCGAACAGGGCCCAGCTGTGGTAAGAAATGATCCAGTATTTAATTATCCGTCCATTTTGAAAGTTTTGTGCCCCCAGGATCAAATGGAACCATAGGAGGGAAGTTAGAAAGGCAGCAAAAGAGAGTTTCTATTCAGGCTCTTTAGGTTTTTTTAAATCTTAAAGTTATAAGTGTATAGTCGGTGTCCAATTACAGATAGCCAAACTTATAATGATGTTGTGTGTCTTGATCTGAATAAAAGCTTTGCTGAGTAGGGGCAAAAAAAATTAAAAGAGCTCGAGCTTTAATAAAGTATACCTATCCATTATTCCCTCTTACATAAGTCCTCTCCTGGTCCCACACTCTGGACAGTGACATGAATCATAATTTTCTGCCTGTAGCAGCGAGCCCGCAGAAGCAGGATGGGATTGTTGCGAGGAAACATGTTACTTCTTCCTCTGGAGAGATTTATACACCGGTTTTCTTCTCTGCTGTTGTATTCCCAGTGTATATCAAAGGTGGTTCCCCTCAGTGAAAGCCTGATGTACTACACGAAACAATTAAACACGGGGCGTAGGGAAAAGGGAGTATTGATGCAGAAAATTGATTTTTGTAATGAAATGTAATTGAAACAGGTCGTTTTGAAGGATGTCTCAAGCAATAATTATGAACACGCTCGCTCACGTTATGTGTGTGTGTGGATTGATTTGTGTGAGGATCATTGTGTTACTGGGAGTATCCTCATGTCCCAAAATATATTGGCTATAATGTTTCATAACACCACATGTACCTGTAACTTTTGAGCTGGCTTGAGCAGATTTGACTTCTTATCACGTTAGAGCAGTGCACACACACACACACACACCAACATCCACAGAAACTGCCAGCTGACCACCTCAGAACATGAGCCTCAGCATCATTCTGGGCTACTTTGGCTCTGTGCGTGTTTGTTATGTGGATTTGAGTTGTTTTTTTATTCACCATGACAGATGAATTCAGGTATAAACAGCTGGTCCCTTTTCAGTCGAGTATTTAGAGCTAGACACAAATCAGCCAATTAGTTGTGATTCTGTTTTCTCTGTCATCACTCCAGATCATTCCCCACTGATTCGCCTCTTCTGTCTCTCTGATGCAAAAGTGCTCCTTAACACAAAAACTGCTTCTACTGAAGCTCTCACTGCGAGAACAACAAGTTCAGGGTCTGTCTGTTGACACCAGGGAATAACTCTCAAGATTTGGGCTCAGCTTGTAGATAAATCGTCTCTTATTGAGGTAAATGACCTTCGTATTTCCGCCTCCATCTACATGAGCTGAACACTCTGATCAGCCTTTGTGAGTTTGTGCTGAAACGAAGTCTAATATTAACTCTCCTGTGGCTGGCGAGATTGAATTAGTGAAAGAGCAAAAGGGCGCTCCTTGACTGGTTAAATTTGGACTATTTTTTATTATGTGGAATTTTAAGAGTGGGTTGTGGGAGCTGAGAGGTTAGATTAGTGTCAGCGCAATGGTTTCCAATATAATTGGTCCAAATTTCAGTTGGGAATATCCAGCTCTCATGCTGCTATAAAAAATGCAGCTACTTTCACAATATTGCCAACAACAGCTGATCCAATGACGGTGTTTAATGTGACGGGGCTATTGCGGTATGTCTCCAAGGGATCACCATCAAAAATCAATCACTGCCTCAGCACCCCCAGAGTGATACTGTCTTTCCTCTCCTCTCACAGACAGCAACTTCATCCTGGCCAACGCACAGGTGTCAAAGGGCTTTCCCATCGTCTACTGCTCAGATGGGTTTTGCGAGCTCACCGGCTTCTCTCGCGCCGAGGTCATGCAGAAGAGCTGCGCCTGCAAGTTCCTGTACGGGCCGGAAACCAGTGAAAGCATCATCCTCAGCATCGACGAGGCGCTGGAGGAGCGCAAAGAGTTTAAGGACGAGATCATGTTCTACAAAAAAACAGGTAAACATCAGAAATCTTTAGTCTTTACTTCTTTCAGAGCTGTTCCGTCCTCAAACACATCACTGTGTCTCTCTTTTGCATTAGTGTCCTGTCATTTTCCTGTAGAAGACAGACTCTGTTCCCTCCTCAGCCATTTACCAGCTCAGTTTTGGGGCTAAGGCAAGCCATTAGAGGAAGCGCAGACAGAGCGATTACCATGCTGGACCTGAATATTTCAGTAAATTGATGGCAGCTCTCTTTGGCTATTTCCGAGGAAGTCGCAGTTAAATTGGCATAGATGGAGCCATGGATAGATGGCGTAATGGCATATTAATGCATGTACAGCCTCTCTTTATTGGCCCATTCTCATTAAAAGGTGATTAAACAATGCATTCGCTCACAGAGTCCCCCTCTTATTATTTAAAGCCTGACACATTTAACTTTCAGAGCTGTCAGATTGTGACTCTTTACCCCTGTCTCCTTCGATTACACACAGCCACATAACCAGCCCATGGTGCGGTATGTTTTCATGTGTGCCTCACTGATTAGCCAGCTGGCCGGTGAACAAAATGGAGTCGAAAAATAATGAGCATATCCAGGCATCAGTGGACACATGCTTGCTGTGATGTGGGATTGGGGCCATGTGCTGTTGCATGGTTACTACAGAGTTTTCGGTGCACTTCTGCTTCATGTACTGGTTGAGTCTTGTGGTAGTTATGGTTGTTTTTGACCACATCGTTCTTCTTTTCTTTATTTAGCTTGGTAACTTCGGTGTTTAGAGGAGGATTTTTTTCTTCAGCCAATCTGTCTCAAATATGGAGTTTTCTCTGCATTTTGACCATTTCATTTCTGTTTTTGAACCAGTATCAATAATTGGACTCTGATTCTGAGACTGAGCCGCCATTTTGATATCTAATATATTTAAAATTCCACCAAATAATTTCTCATTAGTCTCCATTTGATAACCCTTCAACTTTCAGGAAAACTTATATGAATGTAACATGAAATTCACTTTCAGAAAAGTTTGGTTGAAGTTTTTCACCATATTCATGGTACTGCATTGGTCATATTTGATTATTTTTGTCATTTGTCAGCTTGATCTTCCCCGAAACCAATTTTTTCTGGCACCATTTGGCTAACAGCCGTTACATTAAGAAGAAAACTTTGGTATTTTTCAACCTGGGCCCAATATTCCCATGTGCTTGACTGATAAAGAGAGAAATTTCTGATATTGGTTCGGCAGCTGTGAAACCAGCTAAAACATAGTTTGACCAGGCATTACACATCACCAAACTGTGTCCACTACAAGTGAAGAAGAAGAAAGAGAAGAACTTTATTTACCCCCAGAGGATAATCCAATATTTATTTATTTATTTAACCACCTACAGGCTCAGATCCTAATTACAAGTAGCTGTCCATCCACTTGTGCCGATTTGTGACTCCTCTGCTGTCTTCCTGCAAGACGTCAGACTGACACTTCAACAGAGAGATCTGGTTGTACATATTTCCCCTGTTAAAGTTGTTAAACTGTTAAAAATGATGGGCGACATGACAGCTCTGCAGAGTTAAAGCCAAACATTTAAAGCTCCTTCTTCTGACAGGCTGCAGCTCCTGTGAGGAGTTACTCAAACGCTTTGTGAGAGGGTGGGTTTCAGTGCAGTTATATTGACGCTGTAGTTGGATGATTGGGTCAGCATTGTCAAGGTTTGATCAGGGTACTGGACCCTCACCTCAAAATGAATCTTGCAGGAGTCATCGCACATGCATGTGTCAGAAGTTTTGCCGCTTTGCTCTAATTTCCATGAGATCTGTGTTTCCAATTTGAGGATGACTCAGTGCAGTTTGCATTGACTCAGCTTTGTTAACACCATCACAGATGTGACTGTCTACCCACCCCTTATTCTCCCTTTCCCTCCTGTTTCCTTTCACTGTCTTTTTGTTACATCTCCTCTCTGTCTGCCTCTTTTATATGAATGCCATTTTTCTTTCCTCCCCACTCTTCACCATTTCCACGCAGCACTGTTTGTGCCAATTTGTCTGTCTGTCTGTCTGCCATGCTTATCTCTCTCTTTTCCCCTCCCTGCTTCAGTCTTTTCATGTCGTCTCATCCCTCTCTGCCGTCTGTCACAGCAGCGTTCGGAAAGTAAACGTCCCTGATTGACTCAGTTTGTCCTCCCGTCTGTCAGCCTGAGAGAAAAGAAAGCTGCGTGTTCGCAATCAGGGACACTCTTTCTCTCACCGTGAGCTTGATAGTGCTGCTGTGTCTCACAGGCAAGCAGATACTCACACAGAGAGAGAGAGATACACACAGATATGAAAAAAGCACCTTATTGAGTCATCATAAGGATCAGGGGATTTGATGAGTGTGTATAAAAGGAGGGAACTCCATGGGTAATCCCTCTTTATCGGACAATCATGACTGTTCAGTGAGAGGAGAGGAACAAAGGTGGCTCGTGACCAGATTTGACAAAATCTTTGCTAACAAGACTGAACAAGAAAAAACGAAATGTAAGTATTAAAATAAAATAAATTTGCATGAGAAGAAAGGTCATGCTGTCACTCCAAGTGAAACTCTGACCTTACACAGGTGCAGCTGCAAAAGTTACAACATCCCAGAAAAGTTCGTTTTAATCCAAAAAGTGAAACGTCCAATTATTCAACATTCATCACACACAAAGTAAAATACTTTAAGATTTTTTCAGTTTGAAACTTGATGATTATGGCTCACAGCTCACAAAAAAAATCTAAAATCCACTATCGCAGAACATAAGGGTATTGTGGAAAAGTCCAGGTTCTTGTCAGGTATTTCCACTCATCATCTCTTTATAACTGAACAACACGAGATTAACTCATCCTTCATTATTTCACTCTAGTTCAGTTCACACAACCACAATCATGGCTCAGACTGCTGACTGACAGTTGTCCAGAAGATGACTGGTGACCCCCTCCATAAAGAGGGTCAACCACAGAGGGTGGGTGTTCACAGAGTCTGTGTGGAAGCAGATTCATGGAAAGTTGACTGAAGGGAAAACTAAAGAAAAGGTGACCAGGCAACAGGGATGATCGCAACCTTTGAGGGATTGTCAAACAAAGCCGATTCATGAACTTATGGGAGCTTCACAAGAATCAGACTGAGGCTGGAGTCAGAGCACTTTTAGCCACAACACACAGGTGAGTCCAGGAAATGGACTACAAATGTTATGTCCCGACTGTCGAGACACTCCTGAATCAGAAGAGTCTCACCTGGGCGAAGTAGAAAAAGAACTGGACCATTGCTCAGTGTTTCAAAGTCCTGCTCTCAGATGAAAGTTAATTTTGGAAATCAAGGTCCCAACGTCTGGAGGAGTATTTGAGATGCAAGGTGCTTGAAGGAGATTTTAGAGACCTTCATATTTCCATTAGCCGAGAAGCATTATGAAGGTACAGATTTCCTTTTCAGCAGGACCTTGTACCTGCCTACAGTGCCAGAACTATCGGAAACTGGTTTATGGACTGTGGTATTACTGCACTTGATTGGCTGGTCAACTCACCGGATCTGAACCTCATAGAAAATCTCTGGGGTATCACCAAGAGGAAGATGAGAAACACCAGAGCAACAACACAAACAAGCTGATGGAGCCACCTAGACATAACTAAAGTAGGATAGTATGATACCACACTGCCTAACCTTTTCTGAGTCAGAAAGTGAGCATTTATTTTAGTAAAATATGACTGTTACAGCTGAAGCCAGTTGGAAGCTGACAGGAGTTTCTCATGTGTTCTGCCAGCCCATCAAAACAGTCCTCGTAGAAGATCAGTTTGAGCCAGTTTTTTAATTAAAGCCTGAAACCTGAAATACTAATGTGTCCAAAACAACAAGCTGTGAACAAACTTCAAAAATATAAATTATGTAAAAAGAGAATTTTTCAACATCTTTGCAGCAGGGAAATTGTCCAAAACCAGATGTTGTGCAAATGTCCAATTTGCAAAGTACAACTGTAGAACAAAATGAAGAGACCCTGCAGAAATATTTCCTCTCTGGATTTACTTTTATGATTATTTTACTGTGTTTAACATGTCTCCTAACTTACAAATCAAAAATTCATCATTGAAGGGGCTTATCCAAAACTGCCTCCTACACTCTCTCCCCTCTGTTTGTGTGTTGGCGTGGAGGGTCCCCCACACTGAGTGCCATTCAAAACCTCCCAGCATTGAGTAAGAGTGGTTTGTTAGATACCCTCTGACAGTGAGTTAGCACCGAGGCTTGCTTTCTGACTAGGTGTTAACGCCATTTATCGTTCATCACAGGAGACGCTCTGTGAATTTAAGCTTCATGTTGCAGCCTCGCAAAGAGAAGCTGCTTCTGTCAAGATAAAACATCAAAAAGTTACTCGGAGGAGGGTCCAATGACTGGTATTTTCAATGTTAATCTCTGGATCTGTCACTACAAGCAACCACATTCACCAAAACATGTGCCGTCTTGGTTATTTGATCCACCGAGAGTGTGAAATACTCCTGGAATTTCAATATTCTCAGGTGTTTTCTTAACCAAATAAAGCCCAGTGTGATAATCCTGTAAATTTCCACAAGCTCATAAAAGGGTTTGCGTTATCAGCACTGGCACACTACCTGAGGTCGGAAACACTCATTCTGACCTGCGGCTCCTCTGAAAACCAATCTATTTAACAGGAGACAGGACCTGAGAGATTCATCGGTTCATCTCTTACAGAGCCCGGGGAAAAGGGACTTGGTCTATTTAAAGGCTCTGCGTCCCCTGAGGGACTTTCCACTGAAGATAGGCTTTCTAATAAGTCTGAGAATCTGAGAAACTGTTGCTTCTTACATGCCCACACTGGTTCTTCTCTCACATTGTAACTCCACAGTGAATACGATCAATGATGGTGTGTTAAAGTGTTAATAGGAGTGTTTTCCCCTCTCAGTTGTGCTGTTCTGGTGCCTGCTGGACATCGTGCCAATTAAGAACGAGAAGGGGGATGTGGTTCTCTTTCTGGCCTCATTTAAGGACATCACTGACACTAAAGCCAAAACCATCCAGGAAGACAAGAAAGAAGGTCAGTATGTGTTAGTTTGTGTGAGAGGGATGTGCTGTGTGTTTTCTGTTGTAAAAGCATCATTAAGCTCCACTGTCGAACAAGAGGAGTGGTGAAATGCTCATCCTAGTTTTTGAAACATCACAACACCACAGATTTGTAACGGAGCTCATTATTAGAAGATTTATTTTTGTTCCTCCAATCAAACAGTTCCTTCTTAATTTGTCGACTTCTTTTGTTTTTACAGGAGACATTTTAAAATGATTATAATTTGCTGCATGGATAACGTTACAAATAGACCTTTTTTAGAGGCTCTTACGCTTATTGCCATTTCAGCATGAGATATTTCTGCATTGAGTTCAATCTAAACAGGGCTATGCTTGTTTTTGGTTATTAAAAAGCACAGTCAGCTCAGGTGTGACAATACGAGGCAAATGGGACACGCCGCAGTATTACCCTGTTGCAGAGTTCAGTGTGTGAGCGCAGAGGCATGATGGTGGCAAAGATTGTCCCTGCGCTGTCGTGAAAATTGTGCTTTGAAAGAGACTTTTGATGTCTCCTAAAAAGAAAATTGATGATTATGTATTAACCTTTAACCCCAGTAAGTGAGACCAAAATATTCCTCTAACCTCGGCCAAGTGATTTCAGTCCCTCAACCAATCTTGAAAGGTTTGTCCTGCTTCATTAGTATTTTAGTATTTTTCTGTTATAGCAGGTACGTTCATTTAGATCATTTGTTGGTATTATAAAATAAAATAAAACCCGATTCGATCCATGTTTGTCCATTTCTGCGCTAATCTGCGTTTTAAGTGCATAGCACCAATGTCAGTAAGAGTCACAAGACTGAGGATTTCTCATGTTGAATAAAGAATTATTGATTTTCTACATCCATAATGATCTCTGACAGACTCTAATTTATCGGCTGAAGCTCTGGCTCTGCTCATTTTGGTGTTTTTTTTTTCCTTTGGATGTAGTTAAATGAAATACAATCTAGCCTTAACACTGAACATTTTATTTTAAAAACTAACCAGATATTTTAATGTTATTTTTTACAAGATAACATGAACCAAAAGAGCTAAAGTTTCCCTTTTTTCTTCCTTTGGAATTCCTATTTATGAAGTGATCTCCTGTCTCCTAAAGCTTTAATATGCTCATTAGCAAGTGGTAGGGAGCAGGAAAGAGGCACACGACTGACACGATTATCAAGTAGTTGGACAAGCTGACAAAGAAGGTTGGCTCGGTAAGAGGCAAGAGTTCGGACTTACTCAAGTGGAGAGACGTGGGTGACTGTACTTGACAGCGTTAGTCACCTTCTACGTGACATGGCAGGACAGTGAAACAGCTGCAGTGGACATGAATAGGACTAAGAGGTTCGGAGGATCAGTCGTTTTCTCTGCCAGTAGACTTTACACACTATTACAGTCAATGACTGCAGCCCATAAACAGACTTTTATTCCTTGTTTAACATATGTTTGAACTATGGTAATATATCTGAATTTGCCCCAGGGGATGAAGGAAGTATCTATTGATCCATATATCTGCCATGTTTCAGTGATGTTTCCCAGTAAACAAAGGTCAAATGTGTGTTTGTGTGTTTGTGTGTAAGTCTGATAAGTCTGCAAATTGACTTTTCTTGTCTCAGGTCAGATTCCCCAGGATTTGCCTAATTACTGTTATTACTGTTAAAAAGCAGAAGCAAGAAGCAGAGAGCAGAGTCCTTTTTGCTCGCATAGAGAAAACCTTTCATTGAATCTAAAAGCAAATAAGCCGATTCAGCAGATCTGTAGACAGAGGAACATGCTGCACTGTATTAGTTTTCTGCTCCGACAAGTTTTTCAAACAAAACTATACCCGCACAGTGTCACTGGAAATACATTTGGCGCCACATTCAGCGGGGATGTCTCCTGGTATTTGATGATGACCAAAAAACAAATTGGCTGTAGAGAAAAGTAATCAGCTATGATGCATAAAAGGACATAACCTGGAGATTAGCATATTTTGACATCAGCAGGGTATTTCTGTCCATGCAGGGGGAAGCCTTTCAAGGGCAGATAACAGCTTTGGATGTGTCCCAGTTCGCTCTGTGTCTGATGAATGTGCACAGAGTGTCCATAAAACAAGTAAAAATAAAAGCATTAACTTTTAATGACGTCCCCTCTTTTATGTCAAGATCATTGAAGTTAAGTTTGTTAGAGTCTGATACAGCCAAAGGGCGGATCAAAAATAGGCCAGGTATGAGCAATAACTGCAAAAATATCATGAAGAAGTCAAATACACAACATGAAACCATTAGAAACAGTTGAATTTTATAATAAATGACACTATTGCTTGTAGATTTATTTGCTGTGTATGTCTGCTTTGACTTTCTCAATATCTTTTTTTAATCGACGGAGTCCCACATCCAGCTTTACTCCACGCCCCCTCTGTTTTTCCTGCATTTCCTCTTTTCTATATGTACACACCTCTATACACCCCTTTATTGAAAAATGGCCATGAAAGCAGGGGGAAATTCATTAGGCCCAGATCTAAAAATAAACATGACTACACCTCTGTGCTCCTGCCGTGTCGCGTCCCCCAAGGCTGCACAGAGTTATGGATGGCCCTGTCTGTTCGCCTAGTCTGGGGTCCGTGCACACACTCACGACACACCACAGCACGCACACTCTTTCTAAAGGACACTCAAAAGCAGTTATCACTTCTATTCTTCTGCTTTGTTATTGCTGTTATCCCCCCTCCAGGCAATCTGGCCTTGGTCCTTTCCTGTGGGTGCACTGTAGTTAAAATGGGGTCCAGAGCCCTACGGCGATAAAGCGTCACCTCCTATTACCCAACTGCTTCCTCTCAACTCATCACTCCTGCACAATCTACTTCATCTACAACTATTATACTCTAAAAAGACACACACACACATAATCATGGTGCACAAAACACCCACTCCAGCTGCAATGGACAATAGAAAATCCCACCAAAACTGCTCCCATCACAGCTGAGGATTGCATGGTGTTTTCATAAGAAGACATTAAAAACCAATATTTGTGTCTAAGTATGTGAATAAAAGCAGATACCAAAAACACTCCTACAAAAGCAAAATAAATGATAATACTTTTTTGTTGCTTTTCTCTGAATTTGTGCAATTTGCTCAAAATTGACACATTCTCCCTGCTGCATATTCAGGGCCGTTATTATGTATTTCATCAGGCATAATGACGGATCCAGTCATCAGCCGTTTCCCTCAGGGGGTAAACTATTGTATGTGGGATGTGTTCTAACTATTGTGTGTGAACCTGTGTTTACAGAGCGGCGGCGCGGCAGGGTGAAAACAGGCCCTCCATTCAGCTCGGCTCGGATGCGGAGCAGCACGGTGCTCTACCACATCTCTGGTCACCTCCACAGCAGAGAGAAGAGCAAGATTAAACTCAACAAGGTATCAGCTGACACTCCAAACAACAGAGTGGGATGTGTTGTGTGATGGGGGATCACACTGAAGTGGGAAAGGGTGGGCTGGAGTGTGAGAAGATTGCTGCTTTATTAAAGCACAGTGGATAAAATAATGAGAAGGACGGTGCCCAGATGGAGAAAGATTAGTAAACAAAACTCTTTGTTGAATGTCCCAGACCTTTAATTTTACACTTTAAAGCTCCTGTGAGGAGTTTTAGCACCTGTGAAACACACTGAAAGTCACAGTGATGCTTTTTTATGATGACCCAAAGACAAACAAAACCAGATACAACATGACTGATGACTTATCTATTGTAGTTTTTAATGCCCAAGATCAGAGCAAGGGGGTAGGTGTCAGCCTTAAAGTTTCTCATAGGAGCTTTAAATGAGCACAAACATCATTTATACCATTTTTAAATGTTTTTTGATGTTCTCTTAAAGTTGCTCTTTTACTCTCATGTTGCCTAATTTTACGATGTGAAAGTATGACAGTCAAGAGCGTTTTGTTCTAGTGTCTGGAGCGTGTTATAATCCTGTTTTTTTGCACTGGCATTAACTTGGTTTATTTTTTTTGGCATAGACTGTATATAGAAAGCTATAGCAAGAACAGCACCCTCTGGTGACAGGCTGCAGTATAGGTCATAAATCCGGCCTCCTCCAGCAATTCCTATGGAGTTGTTGACAAACTTTAGAAATGAATTACACAGAATATAACTTTTTCTCCCCCTGGTTGTGATGTTGACATGTAGTTACTGTAAGACTGGTTTGTGCTCAAGTCCTCTTTTTTCTGTGCAGCTCCATTTTTATAAGTTCAGGGATCCTCCTGCTCTGCCATGTTTTCTGTGATTGACACTTGATACAGCCTATGGGTGTACAAAGATTGCCTAGCTCACCTGGGGGATACGCTGTTTGAGCCAAGCGTCATCACAGCGACTCTCAGCAACTCTCCCGCTGAATGCGCACAATGCTACTGCGCAAGTGGTGGAATGCGTACAACACTACTGCACAATGTTGGTTTCAGGAAGTGGAAAAAAAACTGTAATTACAGAGAGCTTTTTGGCTTTAAAACCGTATACTGGCGGAAGGTGAAACCAAATGCTCCATAGTATGTACAATCTATGTTTTCTACGCTGTGCACACAGGCTCAAAGATGAGGCGGGCTAACAACACAAAGTGAACAAAAGTCCAAAGCTTCCTCTGCTGTTTCATTTATTCTGTTTTCTTGTCCAGAATGTGTTCGGGGATCCTCCTGCTCTGCCAGAGTACAAAGTAGCAGATGCCAAGAAGTCCAAATTCATCTTACTTCACTACAGCACCTTCAAAGCTGGCTGGGATTGGCTGATTCTCCTTGCCACTTTCTATGTTGCCGTGACGGTGCCATACAACGTGTGTTTCATCGGAGACGATGATGACTTAACGCGCAGCACAACCGTCAGTGACATCGCAGTGGAGATACTCTTCATTATAGGTTGGCGGCACAGTGCAGTACCACATCATTTAAAAGAGATTTGAACTAAATTAATTATAAATAAAAAACTTTTAATTCTTTTTTCTCCCTGTTTTTCTTTCAGACATTGTTTTTAATTTCCGCACAACTTACGTCAGCAAGTCGGGTCAGGTAATCTTTGATGCTCGGCAGATCTGCATCCATTACCTGACTACGTGGTTCATCATCGACCTGGTGGCTGCGCTGCCCTTTGACCTGCTCTATGCCTTTAAAGTCAGCGTGGTGAGTAGCTATCGGCCTGTAACTGAATCCCTTAGGGTTAGATATGGAACACAAAGCATGAGCTACTGTACGTTCAGACTGTAAATCATGTGTTTTTGTTGGTGACTGCGACTGACTCCCAAAATCTTTGATATGGATTCGAGCGTTCAAGAGTCGGAGAGGTGGTCGACATCAGAAGAGAATAGATAAGGACACATTTCCTTTAGCTGATAGAACACGACTTTAACACGAGAAGTTTCATGATTGATGTATTTCCTTGTGACAGAGACCCTAAACCTGTCAACACGTAGTTATATTGTGAATTACATCACCTCCAGGGCATCTGACATTTCATGAGGATAGATTGCATGAGAGTGTTTCCAGCACTGCTCCGGCGCCTCTTTGATGCTGCGTATTGATTCCTCTTACTGTACGAGCGCTGAGAAACAATCAAACCTGCATCATTAAAACCTTTTTCTGTTCTGCTTGAGTCAAACACATGGCCCCCTTAAGAATAGTTGAACAGAGGGAGAAACTGAGATGTGAAGCAATTACGTCGACTTTTTCTGGCCTTGTCCCCGGCTGAATGATATCACCCGGTGAAAGGACTACACTACAGGGAGGGTTTGAGTGGCTTCTTATGGTTGTTGTTTTTTTCCTTTTGGTCTCTAAATTAGAGAAAGAAATGTTTTGACTGCCTTTCAGGTTGCCTTTCACTCTCACCGACCCACAAAAACAGGAGTCAAAGTGTCCAATATACTGTATGAGTGCAACTGTGGACAATACACAAAAATCTATTTGTCCTTAAAGTATCCTGTAAAAGGAAAACCAAACTCTGCCTCTTTTTATAAGGACAGGATGAAATTGTAGAGAGAAGAGGAAGGATAAGTGCAAAAAAGTTGTAACTGTTGGGAAAAAAAGTGACAGAAACAAAGATGAGTGTGGAAAAAGCAGGAGTGGCCTAAAACCTTCTGTGACAGATGGAGAGGATACCGTGGTGAAGGTTTTGGCACAATGACAGCTTTCTCCAGGTGAAGGTGCCAGTTTGGTACAAGACTCGATTAATGGAAATACCACGCCATCCCACTAGCTCAGGGATTGGTTGCAGGGCCGCTGGGCACATAACTTCCCCCACTCCTGCGGCTGGGGAGGGCGTGAATTGCTGGTGATTGCAGAGCATCCTGTGCAATGTCCCCTCTGAGGACACAGCATTCACACCGATGTGGACAGAAACCATCCTTCACCAAAATGAGCCAAGGGGCCTCTGCAGTGTCCTTCCCTGGTGTTCTTTTCTCTTTTATTCATTTATATCCATCCAATTTCAATCGGTTGTTCATGTTTTTTAAGTTTTCTTCTTGCTTTGTTAAAGTTTTCAAAGACCTTGAAATCAGGGAGGACATCAATGAGAGTTTTAGATCATTTATTAAACATATAAAAAGTTCATGTTTCATAGAATAGAATAGAATAGAATAGAGTAGAATATTCCTTTATTGATCCCCCATGGGGGAATTTTTTTTGTCACAGCAGCATCACAGACAGAGTGCAAAAATGCAGTTATAAAAATAAAGATCCTAATATTTAGAACTTAAATAAATGTAATAATTAAGAAAAAATTTAGAAAAAGGGAGAAGAAAAATAAAACTATCTACAATATACACAATTTAAATGCCAGAAAAAAGTGGTGGTGTAAATCCAGTTATTATTACAGTTCGTTGTAAAGTCTTATTGCAGATGGGAAGAATGACCTACGGTAGCGCTCCGTCCTGCAAGGTGGAAGTCTCAGTCTGCTGCTGAAGGAGCTGCTTAAAGCCCCCACAGTCTGGTGCAGTGGGTTTCTGTAACTTATTAAGTAATGCCCGCAGATTCCTCATTCAAAAATAAGAATCAATAAAAAAAATTACCTTATGCTTGTAAACAGGTGTGTTTTAAGAATTCCAACAAAAGAAGAGTTGTTCTAATGCAGAGTTTCTCATAAATGACATTATAAAATAGAAAAAAAGAGTAGACTAGAATAGAAAAGAGAAGAAAAGAAAAGAAAAAAAGGGAAGAGAAGAGATAAGAAAAAAGAAAAGGAAAGAAGCTGAGGTGAGGAAAACTTACTAAAAACTGGCAGAAAAGAAGAACCAGACCCATCAGTAGAAGGCCATCTGCCTCAACTAGATTTGCATATGAGTAAAAAAAAATCGCAATGTATAGAGACAACATTTAGGGCAACAACAGCAGAGAGTAATACAGACTAATGGCAACAGCAGTTTTAATGAAAGTCAGATTGTGTATATTTATGAGCAACACTAGTCTCCTATAGTGATTATGTCTTCTTGGTCCATAAGGACCAAATGCAGCAATTTTGTTATTGAGTACTGTGAGTGCTGCGGTTATTACTGAAGCTGCTAAGAAACCTCCACCCAGAGGTGTAGTTAGTATTGGAGAACAGGGTTGTGCATGCTCAACACTGCTGCATGGATAAAAAAAAAAAAAAAAAAGAAAAGAAAAAAAAAAGAAAAAACTCAACCAGCCACACTGTTGTGATTGGCTTGTAGGGCTGACAGTAAGGCTGCAGGGGGAGAAATAACGAGCGTTTCTGTAAAGTTATAGTCTCGTGCTCAAATAGCGCTTCAGAAAGCTGAGGGGAGGTAAGCAATCAAGTCGCTGATTTAAATTTCACACCTGACGAGCAGAAGAAATACAGACATGAGGGAGAGGGAGATGTTGAAGGAGAGAAAGAGGCGTGCGTGTGTGTGTGTGTGCATCGTCAGATATATTACATTGCTTACTGCTCAGACTTCTGTAGGGAGGATAGGATGTAGCACACAGTCTGCTCTCTCCATAGGTGGGTTACGGGTTGGTGATAGATGGTGGAGAGGAGATGGAGCCTCTCCCCAGGGCTCGGTAGGAGGCTTCATTACCCCTCGTGCTGGGCCAGTTTTCTATTTCTCACTGCAAGAGTGGGGAAAAAAAGACATAAAATGTACTAGAGACACATGCAGGAGCAGCTCTGTTAAGGACAGTCCACTCCTCTCCTCCTCTTTGCTTTGCTTTACTGTGTGAATTGTGTAATCTGTTCGCACATACACTCCTCCTCTCTCTCTATCTTCATCCTTCCTTTCTTACCTACAAGCCCCTTCCTTCTCCCGGTTTTTATGTCAGCTATTACCTTATACCTGATCTGGTCTATAGGACTCTTGTCCCACTTTCTCAGCCTCATACACACACAAAAGTACACACACTACACAAATACACATGCAACATATAGCCTCGTAGAAGGGTTACAAATAACCTCCATGTCCTACATTCTTCTCAATAATAGCTGCTGTGTGTGTGTGTGTGTGTGTGTGTGTGTGTGTGTGTGTGTGTGTGTGTGTGTGTGTGTGTGTGTGTGTGTGTGTGTGTGTGTGTGTGTGTGTGTGTGTGTGTTTCTCCAATGGGGATAAACTATAGTGAGCCCTAACTGATGAACTGTTGGTGGAGATAGCCTGGGGAGCAGGTGCTTGATGGGTGACATTCACATATACTGCACATAAATGGCGATGGGACATTACGTTGTGTACACAAGGCAGAGTTAGTGATAGGCAGACAAAAATAACATAGAAAAAGGAGAGTTTTAGGTTCTCTTCATGTTGATATATCTTCAAGACTGGACTTTTCTGAAGGAAACGTTCCATCCATTTGCTTATCTGCCCCTAGGGCTGGGTGATATGGGAAAATGTTTTTCATATCAGTCGATATCGATATATATCACAATATCAAAAATGAAATTTAACAGTGCTTATTGGTAGCATGTCTTTTGCAACAAGCTACTGCATCTGTGAGGTCTTTGTGTCTCTTCGACATTTTGTCGTAAGGTGTTGCGCTAGAGGAAGCAGACTGAATGGTCGGCTGTTCCGGCTGCACAGGCACCATGGGCTCCTTGCTCCACTCAGGGCTTTGCGTGTACTCTGCCATGTGGCACTGCTTCAGGTGGTGAAAAAGATTTGAGGTATTCCTCGACTTTGCAAGAACATGTACTTGACATAATCTGCAGTGCACATTACTCTGCTTCATGTCTGACATCAAAAAAACAAAATACCTCTACACCACTGATGTTTTTGTGCCAGTGTGGTCGATGATGTCATCATCTGTTGAGCCTTCATCTGCATTTCTGCCGAGGGTAGCACTCATTTCCTTTTCTTCTCACTGACAGTGCTGTCAGCTTCATGTTTTTAAGTGCTATGGTTGCTTGAAGCTGCAGTCTGCTACTATGCAGTCATTTGCTACTTGGTCCTAATTCAGCACATGATTGGTGTGGAACTGGAGCAGCTCCCCTTTTCATTGGCTATTCCGATAGTCTCCCAAAACATGGCTGAATGCCGACTATTGAATGCTGATATTGAGGAAAATTGATTTTCGATATATATTGTTATCCTTCTTTCGCCCAGCCCTATCTGTACCCCAGCCAGCCAATTAGATATTAATCTTGAGAGAGACCCCTTTAAAAAGTATATTGATTTCATACTTTTACTAAGTTTGTTCTTTACTGTTGTTGTTTGGCTTCTGTATATACTTAACTATTTTGAAGCCTGTGTGTTATTCACTATCTACTGTGAAGCTGAGACTCCCCAGAAACAGATGAATGGGTGATCCTCTTAACCAAAATATGATACTGTTTACGTGCAGCCACCTAGAGAGGACAGATCTGACATAACAGTCTCTTAAATTGGACTGTAAGTATTACAGCGCCTGGAAAAGGAAGTATTTAAAGAGAGTTGTTTATTTCCAACTGCCTGAAACACTTGAATGTCCACAGAGTTGACTGTCACTCCTGGAGGCATATCATCAGATGATAGCTGATGAGTTGAGGGAATCATCAGCCTCTTATGTTGTGGAGAATTTGTAGCATGTTAAAGAGCTTTTGTCACTTCAGACAGTCCTGTATATGTAACTGTGTGACAGCATGTGTATGTGTCTGTGTGGCTCTTCCCATGAGAGTTAGTGTCTGTCAAAGAGAGACGATAACAGCCTGCTCTTCAATTTTATCTCCCCCCCCCCCCTCTTTTATATCTCTGTCTGTCAGAATTTGCCATCAGCAACAACAACAAAAAATCTCAAGACATAAAAAGGAGGTTTTTGTAGATGTGGTACATGATCAGTGCTTGGTGAAGATTGAAACAGATGTAGCCTTCAGGAGCAGGAGATGTAAAAAGAGAGGCTGTTAGAATGAAACACTGAGTGAAGGATTTTACAAAGAGCCCCACACCAGCTGGTCATACTGCCTCTATACTCTCTAAACTGTTTGTCATGTTGTGTTTAATGCAGAACATTAGCAAAGTAAGTGATGAGCACTAGAATGTTTGTAGTTGTAATTGGGATGACATTGTACATTTAATGACGGCTTTCAAACTGTTTTTGTTTTGTTCCAATGATGATTTAAAAGCAGCTAAAAGTGTGCGGTGCTCAAGTCCAACACATTTGCCAACAGTTACAACAAAGTGTATCAAATCGTACTGTACCATACTAAATCATAACACATCTTTTTGTCTCATATTGAATATTAGTGTTACCCACTATATAGTGTTGTATCACAGGATATAGTACAGTGTGGTGTGGTATTGCATGATATGGTATGTGTGACTATATATTATTGTATGAAATATAAAATTGTATGATATTTATTGTTTTGGATCATACAGTGTTGGATCATATCATATATTTTTGTATCACATTGTATTATATTGTATTGAATCATATCGTATGTATCCAAAATGAATCATCCATCCATCCATTTTCTACCGCTTATTCCCGTTCCCGGGGTCGCAGGGGGGCTGGAGTCTATCCCAGCATCTTTGGGCAAAGGCAGGGGACACCCTGGACAAGTCACCAGTTCATCGCAGGGCTGACATATAGAGACGAACAACCATTCACGCTCACATTCACACCTATGGGCAATTTGGAAGTGGCCAATTAACCTAACCCCACTTAGGCATTTTTTGGGATGTGGGAGGAAACCGGAGTACCCAGAGTAAACCCACGCAAACACAGGGAGAACATGCAAACTCCACACAGAAATGCCCTGACCCAGATTCAAACCCAGGACCTTCTTGCTGTGAGGCGACAGTGCTAACCACTACACCACTGTGCCGCCCCCCAAACTGAATCATATCAAATCATATTGTATCTAATGGAATCATATCATACCGTATATTATGGTATCAAATTGTGTCTTATCATATTGTCTTGGCTCTCTCAGTATAGTATTGTAATGTAATATAGTATCTTAACGTAACTGTATCACTTTGTATTGTATTGAACCATATCATACTGGGTCGTATCTTGTTGTATCGTATTGTCTCATTATTTTGCTGAAACTCATTGTATTGTATCTGACTGTATCACATAGTATTGTTTCAAATTGTATTAATTAGTTGATTCAAGTTGTATTATATGACATTGTTTTTGTATCGTATTGTCTGAAATCATACCATTTGTTTCCTATTGTGTCATATCATATCATACGTTTCATATCATATCATTCACATTGTTCATTTTGTATCATATCGTACTGTATCACATCTTTTAAGATAAGATGAGATAAGAAGAACTTTATTAATCCCCAAAGGGAAATTCAATATTTTGTTTCATATTCATATTGTATCATATCATTTGTATCATATGGTATTGTATCGTTCATTTGTATTGTAGGTTTTGTTTTGTATCTTATCGTATCATATTGTATCCTTTGTTTGGTTCACTATCATATCGCATCGATTGTACCATGTCATATCTATCAGAATATCTTGTACCATACCATTATGTATATCAGAACAGTGTTTTTTTAATTACCAATACAAGATGTTTTATTGGGAGCAAATGATTATTACGCTACAGGTTGTGCATCTGTTTTAAATATATCAATCCCCTGAATTCACCTCTAAATGATTCTTTCACTTGTTTCCTCCTCCTCCTTCTTCTTTATCAGGTATCTGTGGTCCACCTGTTGAAAACAGTCCGTCTGCTCCGTTTACTACGGCTGCTCCAAAAGATGGACCGCTACTCTCAGCACAGCACGGTGGTCCTGACGCTGCTGATGTCTATGTTTGCCCTGTTGGCCCACTGGATGGCATGCATTTGGTACATCATCGGCAAAATGGAAATGGAGGCCAACGCCTACAACTGGGATATCGGTAAGTGCAGACAATGACACCAAGTGGTACCCTTAAATCTATATTTAGTTCATGTCGTTTCAAGTAAATGAAGAACTGCAGTGAGACACAAAACATCATTTGTCTCAGTGCTAGAGGTGATTAAAGCCAGAGGGGATATGTATGTGGTATCTATTAACTTTTGATTAAATGCAGATTTCTGTGCGCTGAATAAAAAAGAAAAATATGGGTCTCTGATTTAATACCTAAATTAAATAAAAGACTTTCTGTAGCATTAACTCTAACTCACAAACCCTGCGTGTCAACCAAATATATACTACAAAAAGCAGCTAATTTACCGAAATGTCACTTTATCGCTTTGAATTAATTGGAAGAACATTAGGAAGATAATAGTTTTGTAATTAATCCACCTCAAGGGCAATCAGGAGGCACTTTGTCATGTTTTATCCTCTGAAGGGGCAGACACTAGAGCAGTTTTTCATGCATTTCCCACTGAAAGGGTATCAGAGAGGGCATTTTAATGTGCATTATTTACTCTAGGAGTACCAAAAAGAGCACTTTCACTGTGTTTTTTCAGACACGAGGGCAGCAGGAGGTTGAGGGGAGATGCATAAAGCTAACGGAACTTGGTATTAATCACCATAGTGCTAGATTTGGATGGAGGGTGATAACCAGTGGAAGCCTTTGTATGAGAAGTGACTGTATCTCAGTATGGCAGCAGTATGCTTCAGCTTTGGTGAAATTGCTTTGTGGATTTTACACCTGCGCTTTTTAAAAAGGTTTTTTTCATGTTTTGAGCACATCAGTACCACAGATTCAGTCTCCCCTTGCCCTCCCTTTTCTTTTCAGCTTCTGGTTTCCCCTGATTTAATTTCTGCTCTACCTCAAAAATCCCATTACGTGTTGGTTTGGTAGATTTTTCACTGCCGTGGTGGATTGCAGTTTTATAGATCATCGTTTTTAAATCAGGCTGATGTGTTGAAACACTACTGAAGCATGAAGCCATCTTATTAGTCTTCAGGTCAGAGCTGGGTGTATGTTTTTATCATGGACCTCATCTAACACAGTCAAGTCAGATGTTGGCGTGAAACCAGCATTTAAGAAGTATCTATAAGCAAACACTTCACATGGGAAAGGTGCAATCAAATGTTTGCTGGTGTAGCTCTGTAGTGAGATGTCACCCTTCATAGATCCTTAAAGATTTGTGTTATTGTGTTGAAAGCTGCTGTATAGTAACGCTGTAAAGGGCTCCTCGTAGTGTCATATAATGGAGTTTGTGTTTGCTGAGTCCTTAAATATTTCAGTAAACACCCAAATTAAGTCCATGATTCCCTCATTGATTTATTGACTTCTGGGACTGCCATAAAATATGCATAGAATGACAAATGTGACTCATCAGTTGTGTGTGTATTTGTATGCAGGTGTGTGTGTGTGTGTGTGTGTGTGTGTGTGTGTGTGTGTGTGTGTGTGTGTGTGTGTGTGTGTGTGTGTGTGTGTGTGTGTGTGTGTGTGTGTTGTAAAACCGTCTGAGCGAGTGGCACAGATCGTCTGGTAATTCCCCCACAGCCTCCAGGTCCCTGGTATAATGAGGCCCCCTGGGCTGATCTCTGGTCAGTATCGATGAGCTGCTCTGCCTGCAATTACCTCACTCTGGTGTCTCTCTAACTGGTTCCGGGTCAGCATTGACTGGGTCATGAGAACAATGCAGATTCCCCTTCACCAATTACTGCATTTCAGTGTCATAAAATAACAGGTCAGTGCGTGAGGCAGGATTAATGTGTTGTATCCTAATTATGCGTTTCTGATGCCGAACTGAGCGTTGAAGTCGGGCAGCTGTGAGGGGCTTCCATCCAATTACCATTCATCAGTGTCTGCAGGAGAGTCTCCGGGGATCAGCAGCATGTTTCCACACTGTACTGACCAGGGATCAGTCCTGTTTCCCAAGCGTCTCATCTGCTTAATTGTCAAATCCATTGTTTTGGGTGGAGGAAAAGCCCTGTTTACTGCAATTTGAAAATAAGGAAGCAGTGCTGTCAGATTTATCAGCATCTGCATGCTTGACTGCATTGAGCATTCAGAAACACACTGCGGGTCATAAAAAAAGTCCATCTGTCTTAAAGAAAATAATTATAATCAAAAAGTCTCCATACATTCTTTTGGGAGGGCAGATATTAGTTAAAAGAGTCAAAGTTTTCTTTCTTCTTTTAATTTCTGAAAAGTTTCCTTCCAGTTTGACTCTTAATGACCATTTTTGTATCAGGCGAGTGTTTTGAAACTTCATTAGCTATTATTTCCTCTGTCTTAACATCTACTGTAACCCTGTCTCATTGTTGGAACAGGATGGCTCCATGAACTGGGGAAGCGTCTCGAGTCGCCATATTTCGCCATAGGAGGAATGAATGGGACCGGCAGCGGGCCCTCCATCCGCAGCGTCTACATCGCCTCTCTTTACTTCACCCTCAGCAGCCTGACCAGTGTGGGCTTCGGGAATGTGTCGGCAAACACGGACACAGAGAAGATCTTCTCCATCTGCGTCATGCTTATTGGAGGTACACAAAATAAACTCATCAGTCATTAAGAAGATGTAGGTCACATCACTGAAGGTTCACAGCATTTACAGTACATGAAGATAGTTGAGACACCTTAACTTCCACCCTCTGTTAAAACTGGAAATGTTACCGTATATATTTTTCAGTGAACCTTTCCAACACACATACAAAACAATCAACAGGCCGGGCATTATTAAAAGGGAAGCCTATGTGACACTGTAATTGTAATTTTAATATCTTGGTTAGAACTGCTTGAGGTGCCCCCCACAACAGACTTTCCTACCAACATATCAGTTAATTATGATGTCTAGACTTCCTAATTTCCCAGCAAGATACAACATCCTGCAGGATACTCCAGGTGTGAAGCATCCCCACCACCACCCCAGGGGGGTAAAGTGACGGTCCCCACAGAAAACAAAAGATGCCAACATCAAAGCCCCATTCCTTGCCCTCCGAGGGACGGTCCTCAAGCATAAATTTTCAGGTTTCCCCATGTTCTGGGTCTTTCTTGATTCTGACCGCTCGGATGCGGATTGACCTTTTCTTTGCAAAGAAAATGAAACCTTGTCGGCCGGCAAAAGTCTCTATTTCATTCTTCACCAGCAGCAACGGAAGAAAAACTTCCATGACAGACACCTAAAGAAATGAACGAGGAGATCACATCTCCATCAGACAGGGCCAGTTTTGCACTTCCCCATATACAGTGGGGCATCAAAAACACATTTATAACATGAATGACTGTGATTCTTCGGCCCTCAGGTGTCACTGCATTAAAAACAGACATGGCTCTGTAGTGGAAGTCACTACATGGACTGAGGCATTAGACTATGGCCTTCTTTTTTGAAATCATGGGCACTGCATCATCCGCTCCAAAGAGGGGAGGGACCCCCAATTTAAAACCTGGCATTCCTGAACTATAGTATCACTGAACTATATACATGTTCTCGAGCAACATATACGGCCAAGGAGACAATGTCCTTTTCAGGGAAGATCTGTGTAATATAGCAAAATGATGCCAAACTACATTAAGTAGGGATGCTAAACTGGTCAGCCTGAAGTCTCAACTTGTCACTATCTGAACTTGGGCTGCAGCTATCAAATAGTTTAGTAATCGAGAAGTCTACCGAATAGTCCATCGAGTAATCGGATAATTAATCTTTTTTTGGTTAAAGTGCAATTATCGCGGAACAATCGTGGAACAATCATGTGTGTTAGCAGATTGCAATGCTTGTAAGAAAGCTAATTATGATATTAACTTTCATCATGCCCCTAAAGAGCTTAATAGCTCCTATGTTACCTGCTTCTGTGACCACACCAACAATGTTAGGCTGCAAGCTAGCATGAAGAGGAGTGTTCAGAGCAGCGCTGTCTCTGCCCACGACTTAGAGGCAAAGTGCTTGTGAGCTACTGGAGCTCTGCAGAAGAAAAGCCCCTCTCATCATTCATTTTTTCTGCCGCGCTTACCATGGGGACATAAGCGCGTTGTGTCACCTTGAAAAAAATCTGTGCAAAACAGTGACGACTTGAGCTTATAAACGAGTACTCAAGGCAGAGAAAATTCTTTGATCATTTTTTGTAATCAAGGTACTCGAGGAATCATTTCAGCCCTCATCTGAACATATTTGGTGCATTATAGAACAAGAAATATGACCATTAACAGAAACACTGAATTGTGTAATTTGAACTAAGAGTCAGGCTTGCTGCATCTATGGAAATAAGCAACAGAAAAAATAGGTGGGTTTGGATTTAGTGACACAAAATCTGCAACCAACATATTTCTTTCATTGTTGTAAAAAGTATCACATTATCTGCATTTTCCGGCTTCACTTTTAAGGAGTTGTTACGTCATCCGCTTTTCTACAGCCTGTGAGCCACAGTCGGTCTTTGTTTCAGATGTTGTAAATAATTTGGTAATATTTACACCAACAGAAACAATGTTTGTGTTTAAATTCAAGAGAAACATCCACAAAATTTGACCATTTTCCCTTTCCTGTACCCTTTTTTTGTTTTATTTAAAAGACAGGTGTGTAAATGTAGTGCACACAGGTCGCACACACACACACACACTTGAGTAATATAATAACCCAGTGGTAAGTCTACTGTTTAGTAAACAGACCTTTGCAACACAGCCTGATCCAGTCCAAACCAGATCTCTGCACTGGGTTTGGTGGTTTTTAGGGATGAAGAGAGGTCATCATGGTGGGGTTTTCCCTGCGGACTCTCTTCATGCTGCTTCGGCTAAATGTTAAATGTCTCCGGCTGCCTGGGGGCAGAAGCAGCCACAGATGCACATCACGCAAACACACACACCATACAACCCCTTGAGTGTAAACACAAAATGAAAACAAGGGACCTGTTCATTATTGCGGAGCAAAGGTCAGATGAGGTGAATCTTGGAGATGAATTGGATCACTGCCTTGTTTAATTAAGTTTTGGTGCAGTCAAAAATCATGAAGAGGTGCATGTAGAAAGAGGAATGATTTAATCTCACTTCAACATAAAAGCTGAATTTTCGGCTCGAACTGGCAGACCTCAGAAAAAGGAGTCAGAGGCACTACGGTCACAGTCAGCATGTGGTCTGTGTGTTTGCTGCTTTCATGTCTGGAGGTGAGCGACACACCTGCGGGGCAGCTGACCACTGAATGAGATAAGTAGAATTTATTTTCTGTGGGCAGTCTATCATATGAGTCCAGTCTGCCCCTCTCTACACTGACACTAATCTGTTCCAGTCTGGAAGGTGCAGAGAAACAAACCAGTAATGCAAATTAAACAGGGTGACTCACTAGACTGTTTTTAAACACATTATTTACCATTTGGTTATATTTACTGACAGAAATGTTGATTTTGATCCTGCAGGGATGGTTTTAGGAGGAATTTGAGGGGCTTACTTGTGCTTATTTTTTATAAGTCTCAACAGAGCTTAAAAATTAGAACCTTATGAAGCAAAAAGTATGAGGGAGGGCTGCACAATAAATCACAATCTCATCTCAATCAGCAGCACATCAGAAATGTCAGTATTTATCACAGAGTAACTCAGGGGTTTTAGTGGGCTGGTATCTTTCGTATACTGTACCCCTGCTGCTGAATCTTACCCCATGGGCTTCTATGTCCTTTCAATAGTACCGTTTCTCTTGGGTGGTCATAAAAGTAGAGGCTCTTGTCAAAATTCTCAACCTACTGACTTTTGATGGTGAAATATGACACTTATTTTGACCTTTCCTTGCAGAAATGATAACAACAGGCTTTTCTTTTATCCCCTCGCACCAGATTTGGGCATTAAAAAGTATGACACAGAAATCATCATTGTTGTTATTTGTGGTTTTGTTTGCTCATAAAAAAAACATTGATTCAACTTTGAGTTTATTTCATAAATGTCAAAAAACTCCTTGTAGGAGCATTAAAAGCACAAGCCCCGTTTAGAGGTGTTGTGTTGTCTGTTATTTAATACAGAGTAAAAGGCTTTGAGTGAGATGGGATCAGTTTTGATTTACTATAGAGTTGCTGGAGATCCATAAGAGCAGCTTCAAGTGGTTAATGTCAAGTTTCATTCTGCAAAACATCTTTTGCTTTTTCTATGTAAGGAGCAAAAAACGGGAAGTTGGTATCTGATCTCTGACACTTACCTCAAGTTGATTCAAGTCTTATAAGCATTGTGCTGCCCTGCCATGCAAGATCATTGCACAGGATTTTATGCCTTCATTATATCTTGGATTTTATTGTTACATCATCACCATGGCAACTAACAACATCATCACCATGGAGCCTCGATATCATCATCTTTAGACCTTCAGTATTAGGTCCCAGTTGCTGTCTCCAGTTTTTCTATGTATATTGCACCTGTCCCCTATCAAATAAACTATAAATAAACAAACTAATAAAATATATCTCATGAATCTCCCCTCATGGATGCCAAAAAAATATGTCAGACCATGGCTTCTTATTTTATACTTGACCTGGTTAGAGGAGGCAGGTGATATAAGACAAACCTAGCCATCCCATTAAAGTTGCACTTCACTCCTTACACTCCGAAACTGTCGAGTCTACACAAAAATATTTCCCTGCTGGCACCGAGCTCCTGCTGTGAAAATAGCTTTTCTTTTTTAGCTTCCCTGTCTAGACGTTCTTTTCACTGTCTTTCATTCATGCTCTCCCTTCCTCTTTTTCTTCTTCTTCTTCTTCCTCTCCCTTTTAAACCCTGCAGCTCTGATGCACGCTCTGGTCTTTGGAAATGTGACAGCCATTATCCAGAGGATGTACTCTCGCTGGTCCCAGTACCACACCAGAACCAAAGACCTCAAGGACTTCATACGAGTCCATCACCTGCCGCAGAGCCTCAAGCAAAGGATGTTGGAATATTTCCAGACGACCTGGTCGGTCAACAACGGCATCGACTGCAACGAGGTACCACCAGGACTTTTACGTCCATTTTCTCCTGTTAATTTGTAAACCTATCCAACAGCAAAACCTACTGAGATCAATAATCCATTTGTTAGATTGCATGAATCCAAACCCCTCATACACAGTCTGCATTAAAACTGTGATGAAATGATCGATGTACTATGATCCTTTATCACATAGGAGTATGATGAGGAGGACATGACAGGCATAACTTACACAGTTAAAAATATATATCTTGTTCTCAGGACCTTAAAACTGTACGGCTTTTTTTGTGGGGGGTTGCACGCAGTGGGAGTCAAACTTGTGCTTTGCAGATCCTTGCTAATACAAACCAAACCAGAAAGTCACTGAACAAGTGAAATATGTTCATTCTAGCTTTGTGTTTATTCTTTCAGGCATTACTATTTCATTCGTTTATTGACTTAGCCTTAGTGCTAAAGAATATTTCTACTTTGATCAATATTAAAAGACAACATTGTACTTTTACCCCCACATTAATTCAAGGACTTTAATTCACTCATTGACTTAAAGATTTTTACAATTATTAAGTCTGCTGTAAGATTTAGCTCATTTCTCTTCCACTTGAATACACTATCCAGCCAAAAATCACGTTACCTGTGTCAGTGGTTTTCAAGTCCAGTCCTCGAGGCCTCCAACACACCTGATTCAAATGATTAGCTCGTTAGTAAGCCATTACAGAGCTTGATAATGAGCTGATGATTTGAATCAGGTGTGTTGGAGCGGCGAAACATCCAAAACATGCAGGACAGTGGGCCTCGAGGACTGGACTTGAGAACCACTGATCTAACACACAGAGTATTATGAAACTTTTCTATCAGAACCAGCATAACCTGTTCCAGTAGCTTGAGTTCCAGTAGCTCTTGTATTGGACTGGACCTCACAGATTAGCTTCCACTCCATGCATGATTCAATGAATCTCAGCCACCCATTGAGTGGGCCCCGCCATTTTACCTGATTTTCTTTCCTGACCACTGCAGACCTGGAACACCCACAAGTGCTCCAGTTTTGGCGATGTAATGGCAAATCCTTCAGCCATCAAAATCTGGTCTTTGTCCATGTTGCTCACATCACGAAACTTACCCATTTTCTGCACTTTAAGCACTCAAACTTTATAAAGTGCTATTATTCAGAGAAAAACCGTGTTATTTACTGAAATTTGAAGATATTTTTGTTTTTCCAACGAATCATAGGTACAATATCTGCTGAAAAAGCTTTGCCCAGATACAAACTATTGTATAAGAGGGATGTGTGATGACAATGGCCTTGTAACAAAGGCCTGAGTTATGCTGGGACAAATTGCAGTCGTTAAAAATTCTGACATAAACTCAAAAAGGAAGCGGGTAGAGACGGAGCCATGTTTGCAGATTTGGCAGCTCAGAGAAAACACAAACAGAGACGTAAGCTGAGCACCTTTTGTTGACAAGCCTCAGGACACAAAGGAAACCAGTTAGTAGTCTAATAGCAGCTTGTCCCTTCAGGCTGTGGATGCCTGCAAGACAGCTGTCAGGGCCCAGAGCAGCGCTGCATCAGAGTGACGATGATGAATCCCAGACAGATGAATTATAGATGGGCCTGTTGATTAAAGTCAGCCTGGCTCTGACGACTCATTGATCGACAATATGAGACACTGAGCTCCAGATATCTGTACAAACGGGGAGGCAGGAAGATGGATGATATGCGATGTTTGCCCTTTTTTCCCACTGTGGTTTCATTGAACTTTTTTCAGATATTTGAAGTCTGTAGATATGTGCACAGCTGCTGTTTGTAATGTATTGATTCAAACACCATCACAAATAGAAGAATAGTCAAGATTGATCATATTTCTATAACTGTGATGTTTTTAGGGTGTTTTCTAGAGTTAATATCAAGTCTCAGCTCAGGGAAAGGGAAATATCTTTATAAATGCGATGAAAACCAATCAGCTGTTGAGTTTTTACTAATGAGAAAATCATTATTATTTAAAGGCCAGAGTTAAAGTCCACCAAACCTTCAGTCCAAGTCTCAAGTCTTCAAGGTTCCAGTCTGAGTTAGGTCCTAGTCATCAATCAGCAATTCGAGCAGTCCATGTGAAGTCCTCATTACCTGTGTCCGAGTCAAAGTTCAATCCTCATTACTCATGTCAGAGTAAGGGTCAAGTCCTCATTTCTTGTGTCCAAGTCCAAGCTCTCACTATCCCTGTCCAAGTCACGTTCTTATAACCTTTGTCCATGTCCAAGTCGAATCATTATTGTGTGTGTCTGAATCTAAGCTGAGTCCTCAGAACTCCTGTTCAAGTCTAAACCAAGTCCTCATTACCATTGTGTCACAGTCATGTCCTTATTACCTGTGTCTGAGTCAAGTCAGGTCTTCATTACCTGTGTTTAAGTCAAATCCAAGTTGGGGTCCTAGCCCAAGTGAAGTCCTCATCACCTGCACCGATATTGATTTCAAGTTACCCTCATACCGTGTGTCTAAGTCCAACATACAGTAAGTCCTCATTACCTGTGTCCAAGACAAGGCCTGATTACCTTTATAAAATCTAACATAAACAATAAAACTGTCTTTGTAAGGATGCAGTCAGTGCTCGAGTCTGAGGACATGTCCGATTCATCATTGCTTTAGTCCAAGTCGAGTTATGAGTCTAGAAAATCGGAACTCTTGTGAGACTTATTTGTGGGTCCTGGACCGTGTGTTTTCTGTAGATTGTTAACTCTCTGAGGCAAACTATTGATTTTAGGCTATGTAAATAAACTTAGCTGCATTTGACACTAATGATTCCTTTAGCACACAAGCTCAGGAATCAAATCAAAGGGAAGCAAGGCTGTAAATGTAATCAGTGAGTTACACATGGCTGTGTTTTCACAGCTGGCATACGTCCCCTAACTGGTGCCTGCTTTCCCTCTCTCTCTCTCTCTCTCTCTCTCTCTTCTGCCATCTTCACAGCTGCTGAAGGATTTCCCGGACGAGCTACGATCTGACATCACCATGCACCTTAACAAGGAGATCCTGGAGCTGACGCTGTTCGCCTCTGCCAGCCGCGGCTGCCTGCGCTCACTGGCGCTGCACATCAAGACCACGTTCTGTGCTCCTGGAGAGTACCTCCTCCGGCAGGGCGATGCACTCCAGGCCATCTTCTTCGTCTGCTCTGGGTCCATGGAGGTGCTGAAAGACGGCATGGTTTTGGCCATACTAGGTATGAGAGTTAACCGAGCGAGGGCGGGTAGAAAGAGGGTAAAAAGTGCAAGAACCCCTCTGTAGTCGAAACTCTCTTAGTAAAGTTCTGTGTTGCTCATTGTGATAAAGCTGAGCCTGTAAATTAGCTCATTGTTGATGAACAAGAGTGTTACAGTGTCCTAAAGGCTGCAGCTCATCCTCAGAGTCTTCTGTTAGTGAACTCCCATGAAAGTACGGCAAATTATATGCCAAATTTCCAACAATAGATGCCATTTTCAGCAACATTTTGGGAATAAAAGCCACAAAGGGACTTATCGTAGCTGTACTTGTATGCAAAATGGGAACAGCGGCAAAGAAAAGAGCAAAAACTAACAGCACATTTTTTATTTCAGAGTCTCTTTAGCAACTGCATTGTATTATCTCTCATAGCAACCCATGATCATCCGATTTCATAGAAGTTAAACCGCTCCAGTCCAGTGAAGTCCAGCTCAGTGTGTTCATGCTTATTCCACAGCATGTAATTTCATCCTGTCCACTTTAATCTATGCTCAGTTCAGTCCAGTCCACCTGAGTCAGGTCATTCTGGTTCCACTGTCCAGGCCAGTATATATATTTTTCTATGTATGGCTCCTTTAGAGTCACATTTTTTACTGTTCTCTGTAGTTGTGTTCAAAGGATTATTTTCCAAAGCAGCAGATAATTACTATACCAGCTTGCAGCCATTATCTCTGCTGGCTTCACAAACAGAACGATATAAAGCTTGAAAGATGTATTTCAGCTGGATAAAACTGAGCACTGCAAGAGAAAAACATAGTGATGCTGAAATAGAAATATAGAAATCAACCTCTTATTAACAGAGTTTCAAAACTTTTACTGGAGCAGTGAATCAGTTCAATCTAGAAAAAAAGTTGTTGTTTTTTTTGTTTTTTTCCATCTTCTTTCTTTCCATCTCCCATCCATCTTCTTGTAATTATTAATTTCGCACAAGAAGCTAAAGGTATGCATGAAAATGAGAGACTGCTTGTTAACCAACAATAGATTGACTCAGGACAGCAAACTGACCCAGATGGAGAATCTGGTCCAGACTGCTTACACGGAGCTGAAATGACTGCAGACTCTGCAGAAAACCAAGTTAAAGGACTCAAATCTCTCTGCAAATGTCCTATAAATAGCAGACAAGTACTACAGTGAATAAGCAGCTCAGTAACATTAGGAGTGAGTGCAAAGTGACTGATGGCACTGAGAGTATGTACTTGTCCCTTTTTTGGTTTGATACAAAATGTGTCTTTTGGCAGACTGTGAAAGAAAAACACAGATCAGTATTTCAGGGTATTTAAGAGGGATGGTCTGGCACTTACAAGATCAGGTCAGAGGGGTAACCCCCCCCCCACACACACACACACACCCTACCCCCAGAAAATACTATACTTTTATGTTTCCTTTCCTTTCATCCGGAAATAAACTGCATATTTGCACAAAATTGTTATCTTCCTCATAACAGCTGTCTTCATTAAGCGATACCATTAAAATGTGAAAATATTTCTGCAACTGGAGCCAGATTCAAGCACAGGAACTTTCCCCATAGACAAGTGACTTTAGGAGAGTCAAAGTACATTTCCACTGTTTTCAATTGGGTTTAAATAAAGTCTCAGACTTTATTTGAACTTCCACAAAGTTTTTTGTCCCCAGGAAGCTACAGTACATGAGTAATGGGGCTTTCGGATGATTATTGCAGGAGATGTCGTTACTTGTTGGTGTATTGGTAAAGACGAAGACCACAATGCAGTGGAGGAACTTTTAAGCCCCTTTGCAAGAGAATCTCAAGGATTTAAAGCCCTCCTATGAACGCAGTGTTCTCAGAAATACCTTCACTCTGCTCTCTTTTAACAAAGAGCTGTATCACCTATTCATAATAGTTGCCATAGCAATAAAAAAGGCTGTTTTCTTAAGTGTTTGCTCATTTACCCTCTTACAGTGGTTTCAGGCAATAAAAACACAAAAAAGATCTATCCTGTTGTTGATGATCTTATTTGCTTTTGCTTTTTATAGGCATCATTATCCCTTTGAGTCGATTTTTAACCAACTAAAGCTCCTATAAGGAGTTTTTTGATGTTTATGAAATAGACTTAAAATCATCTAGGTGGGTATTTATAATATTCAAAAGCAAATGGGACCATCAGGGACAAGAATGTGGCTCTCCTAACGTTAGCTCACTACTTTTGCTTATTCACAAACTTCAATCCCGTGTATAGTTGTGTTTTGTTAATTGTGCTCAATTTTGACTGTTATCTGAGTGTTTCCTTTCCTTTAGACCAGTCAGTTAGTCAGATCTTTTCCACAGAGAGCAAATCAGCTGCTTGGGAACATCCTTGGTGTGAAACTGTGCTCAGGTAAAGGTGGACCTGTAAGACTGAACATTTCCAGTTGATTATTGTAGGCGTTCAAAAAAATCATTAAGGCATTAGCGCAATTTTACTTTATCTTTGCAGTTCTGAAAACACAGGTGGAACCTTTAGATCCCTTAAGGAGCATTTCTTGGGATTAAAACACGCTGTACTTCTGGTGGAAATGCATCTTTTTTTAATGCTGCTCCCCTTTTAGATAGTTTAACTCATTTACAACCTTCCCCACAACACAGCTGTGCAAATTTGCACCTGCTTTTGAGAGAATTTCCCACTCAAAAACTTATGCTTCACAAAATGTGTCCAAGCGTGGGGGTGTTTTTTGAAAAGGATCATGGATATTATGAATGTTCTTTTAGCAGAGGAGAAAAAAAAGACACATAACAAACCTCAATGAAGCTGTTCGAACAACCACGCACATCTGCTGAGTAACACAACGCGAGTATCATGAGTGACCTCTGTGGCTTTCACTACCTGACCTTCAAGATACAAAGTTATAGACCAATCAGGATGCAGTATGTGTGTGTGTGCAGGTACTGAGTGTGTGGAGTGTGTAGGTGTGTGTGTGAGAGGTGAGTCAGGTAGAGGGAGTGATTGAAAGATGTGAATCTGAAGCTCATCCATCACTTTGTCTCGGCCGGTGCAGTACTTACAATCATTATCTCACTCTGAGTGTGTGTGTGTATGCACGCGTGTGTGTGTGTGAGAGAGAGAGAGAGCACATGTGTGTTAAGTCTGCATCAGTTAGCCTCTGCAGCTACATTCAAGCACTCCTTGGTTTGTTTTGGTTTGTTTGTGTGTGTTTTGAGTAGGTGGAATTGTTTACTGGTGAACTGAGTAACGTGTGTGTGTGGGTGGGAGGGAGCATATGTGAGTGTGTGTGTGTGTGTGTGTGTGTGTGTGTGTGTGTGTGTGTGTGTGTGTGTGTGTGTGTGTGTGTGTGTGTGTGTGTGTGTGTGTGTGGGCCTGACAGGCGGAAAGCATTGTATCTGTGCCTGCTGACTGTGCAGAAGGTCAGGCTGACATTGAGTGTCTGACTGAAGGAGAAAAAAACTCTCTCTCTTTCTATACTCTCCTTCCCGCCCTTTCTCTCTTTCTCTGCCCCTCCTCTTCATCGTCACATGGCCACAGCTCAGTACCTCCTGACATAGAGATTGAGTAAATGTGGGAGAGGCCGTGTTGAAAGATATCAAACATGAAATAGAGACGAAATAGAGCGAGGGGCAGGGTAGAAACTGGAGTTGATGGGGGAGAAAGAGAGAGCTGGAGAAGAAAGTTAGAATATCAGAAGACAGACTTGATTTAGGAGTGAACAAACTTAAATATCAGGTCTTTATCTGCTATTATATGTTCCTTTCTTTGGTGTCTTGTAAGCACACTCGGCCTGGGCACTTCTTGTGCTTGACACGTTATTAAAAAAATCTCAGTTCAATTCAATTCCGTTTAGTTTATCAGCATGACTGCAATGTAGCATGTCAAATGCCACTTCTCTATCACACATTCTTAGCATGGTTCACCTGCTAAATCACCTGACTCGACTCGGCTTGGTTTGGGTCATTTTCCGTTACAGTTGAGTACCACCTCAGCATGGGTGGTAAGGCGGCCCAAAACTCCTGTGCCATCATTTGTATGCCACAAACAACCCAAACGCACGATCGCTTCTGTCAGGCTCCAAAGATATCTGGTTTGACTCTCATGACTCATTCAATGGCGTCTCTTCACGGCCAGCAAAAATAAAACATCAGGAGTAGATTTTTTTTGTCAATTAACCACACCTTTACAAAGGTTAGACAAAATCAGCAACAATATTTGCGTAAAAACTTTGTCCACAGGGGGCGCCAAAGTCAACAGGCACATAAAGTTCCTCCCAGATGTTGTCCCTTTACACGTCACAACATAATGTTTCACTTCCTGAAGAGCAGGGATAAAGAGAAGAATAACTTCAAAAAGGCGCACAAATCAGAAGAAATGGAAGAAAGGGGGAACAAAGAAGAAGAAAATAAAAATAAATGTAAAAGAAAACAATGACATAACAAGGGGCATGAAATGAAGAAAGTAAAGGGAAGAAAGATAAAGGGGATAAACAAACAGAGCAAGTGCAAAAAAAGAAAAAAGGAAAAGGATTGGAGATGAAGAGGAAAACATTAAGTAAGATACAGAGAAATTAGGTGGTGAGGTAGACCTGGAGAAAAGTAAGAAGAACAATAAAGGGAGAAGTGACGAAAACCCAGATTCATCTGACGAGCAGAAGGAAAGGGCTATTTACAACAAAAAGAGAGAAGAAATCACACAGGAAAGAGGAGGATCAGGAAAAAGATGACAGTGACAGGAGGAGTGAGTAGGCTGAGATTTACAGAGAAAGAAGCAGAGACTGAGGTGTGAAGGAGTGAACTGAGAGACAGTGTGGGGGGGTGTAGGGGGGGTATGAACAGTCACGACTGGCACTCCATCAGCCTCGCTGTAATTGAGCCGCGCTCACAGTTCACAATGACCATAATGAATATTTTATCACTGCTTAAGGGGCATTAACACTAACGGGGTACTTAGCCCGGTCCTGTCTGTATGAACAGAAGACAGCTGTCAACTACACTTCAAACTGTCACATTTACTTAAAGCATAGAGGAGGACTGTGATTTATATCCTAAAAGATTTAAAACTCTGATATTTCTGCTCATTGGTGGTTCTCATGGTTCTTTTGGGTCAAAAATACTACAACGGGATGGGTGAGAAGCCTCCTTGAAGTACTTGATGTAACTTGAGTATCATTTTTTGCCTGATTAAGTTCTCACTACACCATCTAAGAATCAGTGCGTTTAGAAGACCAGTTGTGCGTTTAATTTTAACATCATCTGACAAGTAAGTGGCAGCAGCTAATGAGCAACAGACGCTGGTACTAATGTAGAAAGAAAATAGAAAAGCTTGTTGTCAACTCTGTTTATTTCCAGCTGCTTTGCTCGTCTTCGTTGGTCCAAGAAGCTGAAGGTGTGATAAAAAAGTAGTTTTTACCCGGTATTAACTGCAGCCCCGGGAGATTAGATCAAAAGTGGGCAGTCTAAACTGAAGGTCCAGATGTTCCTCAATGTGTCCGAAGAATGCATGGAGATATGATCTCTCAGGCAGCAGATAGACAGAGTCTGAGAGGTTTTTTTTGTGTGCATGCACATGTGCTGGGCAACACTGAGGACTGTCCTCTCTTGGTATCCACGGCAACAATCCCGTGGAATATAACAGACTATGCTCTTCTAATATGATTGATTTTTATCTCTCTTTGTCTCATGAAAGTCTTTATTTTTTTATTTCATATGTTGGACCTACATGAGAGGAGCTACCCTAGGCATACAGAATATAACATATCTGTATTGGTCCATATAAGGGCTGCTTTTCACCTACTGATATATTAGTGCCCTGTACTGACAAAGGACTAAGGTCTATATAATGCAGGATCCACATCTCCTCATGTTATTAATGATGCAACTGAGAGATGTGACCCGTGAGCTGTTAATTAGAGTTTGCAATAATACAACACAGTAATGATACTGATATTTCATATTTCACAGCAGTCTGTGTGATAACCGTGGGGATCTTTTTGTCTGTTTTTTCCTGTAAACACAGACTTCAGTCCACAGTATATCGCTCTGTTGCAGAGATTTGTTATCCTTTATTATGTTTATGAGTCTAATGAAGGTGAATGGGGCCCTATTGTTATTTAGCTCAGTAGCAGCAAAGTGAGATCCAGTCTCAAGTGGTTCTTGGAGATGAATGATGATGGGTTGTAAGAGCCCTTGCTCTCGTGCCATCCACGTGAGTGGATCACCCAGGGCAGATGTTAATACAGGTATAGACAGGGCTTTGGGTTTTGGTAATCATAAATAATGTTGGGATGAGTTTTGTTGTGGGTTTTTGGCCCTTATCTTGACTTCAGTTATGCCAAGACAGTTATGGGAACTTTTAACTAAATTTTAAAAAGTATCTCGCTTCTCCTGATATATCTGTGTCACCTATAACCGCAATTTGAGGCCATTGGAGGGAAGAAAAGATATTTCTAAACAGTGTAACTCCTACTTTCAAAATTCGTTGGTCGGGTCTGCCCGCTCATGAAACGATTTTCGACACACAGGCCGCAAGTTACGGCACTTGGACAGGAACACAAGAGGAGCAGTAGGTTGTTGCTAAGCTAGCCAGTGAAAACAGAGCAAAAACAAATAGCTACACATGGCCGATGATGGGACGGTGTCTACAGAAAGAAAACGAATTAAAACAGAAGAACAAAAAAAAGAGAAAAGGGCTCATGGGAAATGCAGTCATCATTCCGGCAAAACAGTACTGCATTTGTCCACAGTGGCCGCAAAATGTACCTGCAATGTGGTCAGAGGTTAATAAACTAGTATTTGAAAATAATAACACCAGATAGCACAGTCATTAATCAATTTAAAGTTTTAGCAACCCAAGTTTTGGTTGGGAGGTTTTGTAGAGTCTTTTTGAGTTTTTTCTCAGTTTTAGCTTTAAAATATTGGATGAACTAGATGTGGTGGGATTGATCACCAGGTAGACTAAAGATGTTTGACAAGACTACTACAGAAACAGGAAATAACAGAATCATCATTTTAGATTATTCTGAGTAGTCTATTTATATTTTTTCCCCCAGAGAGTCCCAGATATTTCAAAATAAGTCATTTTAGAGCTGTGATTGCTATAGCACGTGACAACCGTGACATGTTGTACCATCAGAATCTCATACAGGCCCATGCTTATTTTTTTAATATCCTCACCAAACTCTGCCTTAGCTGAGCTCTCCTGATTTAGGAGCTGTGCCACTCATGCCCACATGAATTGCAAGTAAGCAGCTGCAGAATTTGCCTCCCTGCCATATTGTGTGATTCATAATTTCATAAAGATGAATATCTAAGATAGCCATTGCACTGTAAAATGTACCCTTTACAGAACCATTTCATGCTATCTATGTTTATATTTGAATGCTGTTTTTCTCAGTTCTGTGTAGTTTTTAAGTTAGGTTTCATAGGTTTCCTTGCTTTAATAGTATGTAACTGTTGTGGACCAACACATAGCAATAAAGATCAGCACTGATACCATGTGGATGTGAGATTTGTTACCCTGAGGGTGCTCCAGACACATAAGTCTAAAGGTACCTCTACTTTTTTAACTTTAAAGCTCCTATAGGGAACTTTTAGTCGAGTCAAGTTTGCAAGGGGAGTGTTTTCAGCTGAAAAATCTCATCTTTTGATGCTCAAATATAATAGTTCATGTTTTTGTGGGAATGCAGTCAGAGGCTGTTCATGCAGCACGCTGTAACTCACTCTGTCTGACACCTACCCAGCAGAGGTGATCACAAGCTTTGAAAATGCCCGTACAGAAGAAATGAATCTTGTTGCTGATGGTCTCACTTACTCTTGGACGTCATGTAGAGACAAATACATAAATTCCAGCCCATGACCAGCCAGAACTCTTTAACTTGGATAGATATGGTTTAAAATAGGCCAAATGCAGGGACTCATATCATGCATATCTATGTATACAGCTAGTGCTTCTATAACGTCCTATTTTCTATTGTGGCTAGACAGAGCCATTGTCAGGTGCCGAAAAGCATAAGCATGATAGGTGGTATGTATTTTTACAACACGTTTGCTGACATGAGAGACTGAACAAAATCTCCACCAGTCAGGTATTCTTCCAAATGCATCAGCACCACAAGTGCTGCAAAACCTCTCTCCACACACTCCACCCGGAGCACTCCCACAGAAACTCTTTGATAAATGGAACATCTGAAACAGAGTCTGCACCCTCAACCCTTTTTACAGGTGAACAAACACTGTGCTGCAACCTCTTTTCTGACCTCCATCATGGTTTACTCTCTGTGCAGGTAAAGGAGACCTGATTGGAGCGAACCTGTCCTTAGATGACCGAGTGATAAAAACCAATGCGGATGTGAAAGCTCTGACCTACTGTGACCTGCAGTGCGTCAACCTGAAGGGACTTTACGAGGTGCTGGACCTTTACCCGGAGTACTCACACCACTTTGTGCAGGACATCCAGCAGGACCTCACATACAACCTGAGAGAGGGACACGAGACTCATGTAAGTCCATCTGAGAAAAGCTGAGTGCAGAGTGAAACTCTCCACTGTGCTTTCTCTATGGGGCCCAACTGTTCAACAGGAATCTTTTAAACTGATCTGATACAATCTTAAAAGCAGGTTGTTCAAATCTGATGTTGTTTTCCTCATCTGGAAAAAAACTCCAGTTTGTGTCGTTCAAACTTCTGAGAAGGGTTGAGGCAACTTTGATCCAGAAAATCAGGATAATCCTGATCCCATCACAGGGTTGGATTCAGACTAGATTACAAAAACAAAATAAGATTTAAAAACAGTGAAACTCCTGTGAGTATCTTTTGGGTTGTTTTCACACAAGTAAACTGAATTTAGCAATCCTAACATGCAAGGGGATTAGATCCCGCTAGTTTTGATTTGAGAGTAAACTGGATTACTTGTTTCTATTAACCAAAAAGTGTATTCTCAAATTTGGATCATTTATAATCAGCATAAAAAAAAGTTTGATGTTTTAAAACTTTAAAACTTAAAATTTATTTGTTCATATGTTTGTTTGTTTCATTTTTTTGCATGCTCAGAAAAAAAGCCATGGCTTGTAAAAGAAGTAGATTGATCAGTAGCTGGAAGGGTGATTTGTGCCTTGATTCTGTGTCCCTGTTTGTCCAAAGTTGTTTTGATTCATGCCGAGAAGGGACAGTGATAATTGTGGTGTAATTTAATGAGGCCCTCTTGTGAAACTGGCATTAATGAGCTCAGGCGAACACAAGGTGAAGACCAAGGTGGAGAAAAAAAAAAACAACAACAACAAGGGCCTCATTGCGCGTCAGAGCCTCTTAAAGAGACTAAAGAAGATGACATCAAAGGGATAGTTCTAGTTTTTGAAAGTGATGTTGTATGAGGTATTTAACAATAGTTGTAGAAAGCTCAACAAATGTCACTCATGCAGGGAAGAGAGACACAGTCTGGATAACAATAGCAGTGTCTGTGAGGAACTTTTGGTTTGTGTCAACACTGGCGCCCCCTGTGGACAGAATGAAACCTCATAGTTTATGTTCCATACATGTGATTATTGTGTTTTCAGAAGAAAAGCCAAAGTCAAAAATGCTGCTTTTTCAGCCCGCTGTCATAATCAGCCAACACAGGGAAGTTTTCAGACTTGTCTCTCAAACGTCATAAAGAGGCATTAGTATCAGTTTCAGTCTACTTCTCACCCAGTTAAAAATTCCTTACAGTACCTTTAAAAACAACTGAACTATCCCTTTGAATATCTTTATTAACATTTAAACTCAGTTCATGTAGGAGTGACCTAAACTGCATTACCCTCTCTAAATCCTAATATTTTTGGTGTTGAGAGAAATAAACAAAATGATTGAGCCCAGACTCTAAAAGAGAGCAGCACTCTGCCTAAAAACTTCTTCTGTGCACTCACCAAACTGTGTGACGAATGGAGGATCAGTAATAACTCATGAATAACTGATGTTGGAGGAACCAGAAAAGCTTCAGTTTGGAGAGACTTCAGACTTGGAATTTTAGACTTGCAAAAGCAAGGGAATAAAGATTTTTCAAATTAGAAAAGTAAAAAGTGTGTGAAGAGTGTGTGTTTGTGTGTGTTTGTGTGTGTGCCTCAAAGAGAGAGAAAAACGCGAAAGGGAGGGCAGAAATAAGGGCACTTGGACGAACTCTGCTGCTGTAATTACACTCAGGTGTTTCTGTCTCTGCAGCCCTAACACCCCTGGCCCACTTACATACACACACACACGCATGCACACGCACACACACACACACACCTCTTGCCGCAGGGCTTTTAGGTGAAGCCAGTGCTCAGAGAGGCAGCCTGAATCTGAGGACTGAGTGGAGTCAAAATGAATACCGCGGGAAGGAGGCAGCTTGAGATGGAGAATGTGTTTGTGGCCGGAAGGAGAAGATTGCTGTTTGGATATTACTGCACTGTACCCAAGTGTGTGTGTGTATGTGTGTGTATCAGTGTGTTAAAGTGAATTATTTTCAATCATAGGAACACCTTGAGCCTTATAGTCATTTATAACATCCCTGAGTACACTTTGGGGGGAAAAAAAGAAAGCGCTGAGTGTTTGAAAAGCTCCTGTGTAATTTAAAGAGGAGAAAAAAAGAGGACACATCTTGATTGCTGTGTCCCGCAGTTCATTTACCATGTGTCTTCTCTGTGGCTTTCTTCCAGGTGAAAGCCAAACTATCTACAACAACCTTAGATACTCAGGTAATGGACCGCACACACTGCATCTCCACTCGAAAGGCAATAATATGCCTCCCTTTGTTAGAGCCTTTTAATCAGGCCACATTAGAAAATAATGAAACTCAGATTAAGTTCAACTGCAGATCTATTTTTCTGCCGCGGCATATAAAAAGTCTGCAGGGGGACCTCCAACTTTGATTGTGGACTCAATCACTCTTCTACACTTAATGATTGTAATGATGGGGAGATTTTTTTCTCCGGCTGAGAGGGTTGGGAGAGGAGAAAAGATCAATCCCGTGCAGAATGAGTTAGCTGTCATTAAATCACTGCAGGCCCAGAAAAGAGGGCAATAAAATGCTCCTCATGCTGACTGGCTGCTCTTTGATTGTTGAGAACCTGCAAAACAAAATACAAATATAACACCATGCCGTCAGATATTTCACAAAAAACCAATCCTGCTGTCTGAGCCATTAACCTCACAGTCAGAGGCCTTTGATCTGTAGGTGACCTATTGTTATTGCATGGTTGTGTCTTTGTTTTTGGAGCCAGGTTGTTTAAAAGGGTTTTTATCAAGATAGGGATTCTCTTGTTTTTCGTAGAGTCAAATCATCTGTTTTGCCTTTATTGAAGAAAGATTAGACTGAAATATATTCGGCTACAAGGCTGATACCAACCCACTCGCATTAATTTCAGGTATTAAAAATTAAGATGTAAAATCGTCAGTGGAATTACTGATGGTCTTGTTTGCTTTCATGTGAGAGTGTTTGGTCCACAGCATACTGAGACTTCTACAAGAATCTGTAAAAAATGTGGGTATTTCAGCTGCAAAAACTACGTACTACATTTTTGTAGTAGTTTCTGTAGAAATATCCAGCAGCCCAACGGCAGTATTAGGTCGCTTTCACACCAGAGCTGTTTGTTCTGCTTTAAATAGACCAGAGTTCGTTTCCTTGGATAGTCCGCTTCAGTTCAGCAGTTTGGGCAGGTGTGAAAGCTCATCCGAACTCTGGTGCGGACCAAACAAGTGAACTCTGGTCCGCCTGAAAACGTGGTTCTGGGTTCGCTTGCAAGTGAACCCTGGTTCGGTTCGTATGCAGTGTGAAAGCTCACCGGACCAAACACAGGACCAAATGTACGTAATGACGCTATACGCAGTGCATCTTGGGTAAAGGAAGCACGGCGTCCCTTGTTGCTATGGCAACAAGTGACCGCTGACTTTAGCAGTTGCTAGCTAGTGTAGCTCAATTGTCTGAACAACAATAACCCATAAATTCACAATTTGGCATATTTAAACAAAATCAAATCACAACTATCAACAGTCACAGCCCTTAAACTCTGAGCTCATACATTGTCACATGTTAGATCGTCAAAGTTAGAAAAATAACAGGATCAATCCCTGACAAGCTATGATAGCATTATAGGAACAGTTGCGTTCACTAACGTTGTAGCATTCCCTAAATTAATGTGATGAAGCACAATACAAGATGGCTATTCCACTCCTGTTTGTAATCCGTGAGGTTACATACCCCTCCAACTTTGTCCAATCGACGAGCGCCCCTTTCAACCACGTGATGCTGCTCGGAAAGCTGCGCTTAGAAATCACAGTGTGAAAGCAGAACCGAAACAAGTGATAAATGCAACAATGTTCAAACTGAGTCCGCTTGGTCAGGTGTGAAAGCGACCTTAGAAATGCTGACTCAACCTGACTTTTGCTCAGCCTAGAAATAGAATTTGAGTTGGAGCTGAAGCAGACTTTTAACCTCTTGAAAAAAAAAACTGTTACATTTACCAGTCAATCAAATTAGCCCTGACCCTAATTATAACCATTTACGCAGAACTGTGAACCTCAATATTTCCAGGGTCAATGAATTATTTTGTTCCTAATATTTAAAAATACAGAAAATTAGCCATAGAGATCCAGACTGTTTTATTTATTCATTTATTTATTTGCGCCAGCCTATAGGTTGTTCATTTCCGCTGTACTTAAGTGCACTTCAGAGAAAGACCTATTTTAAGATCCTTGTACCCCTGGAGTCAGTCTGGAGTGGACCGATTTCCCAAATCGAATATAATCAGATAGCTTCAAGTCAATCAGCGTTTTATATTCAGTCCACTGATCCATGCTGTTTTTTAAGGTCTTAGTAAAGGACCCGGGTCCCTTTGGTTATTAAGACTGATGTCAGGGTTCAACACAGTTGACTTCCTTAACCCAAAGGTCCCAGTTTGGACTAAAATGTTGATCACAGGATTTCTGGCTCACCCCTTATCAATCATAAATCCAGCTGAGTCATCAGGACTTATTGAAATCCCCTCCGTGTGTTTTGGGGTCATGGTATTAAGTGCTCAGTACAGATTAGTTCATTCAGCATCTTTAGAGGAGGCAGAAAACATGAGGATCAAACATTTACTCTGACAGGATGCTGATACTGTTCAGAAAAGAGGCATTCAAGCAAATTTGACATCACATGACACAAATCAACATGAATGGATTTTGATTCTCTGTAGTTATAAAACCTCAAGAACTTAATTTTTCTATCAAATTAGAGACTATAGATTCTTATCCCCACTGTCTAATATTTCATCCTGTTTGTCCTTTCTCATTTCCAGCCCAGGGTGGGGAGAAACGGCCGAGTCGTTCAGGGCTTCCCGCCCGTCATTGAGGCACAGGAGAGACAGGGGGAGGATGAGGAGGATGAAGAGGAAGATGAGGGCATGTCTGTATCTCTGTCATCAGAGCAGAACCAAGCGTCAGACCTCAGGGACACAGGTGGGAAGTCTCTGCTGAGCCAACCCAGCCACAACTCCAGGAGGTCCCGGAGGAAGATCCAGGAAATTACACTCACTACGTTAGACCCGGCCAACCTGAGCCCCAGGTGAGAGAGACCTGTATTGATTCGCCTGTGCTGGCCCGTGTGTCTGTGACTCGGTGTTATATCGTTTTTTTGTCAATCTTTTAGAAAGTACATGTTGTACGAACTGGGAACTCAAACAAAACAGAAGTGACAGTTTAGGTGAATTATAAAATGGGAAGATATAAAATGGGGAAAGAATAAAATGCACAAACGGAAATCGGATTTAAGTGTTCATGACAGATTTGTTCATATGTATGTACTGTATGTCAAGCTTGAACATAGCTGATTGAAATTTGCAGCTGTTAGCTGTGTTAGAAATAACTCAGATCACTCATAGAGAAATAAATACATGAGACAACATTGAGTGTTGCTGTAGTTTGTCTCTATCCATCTCTCTCTCTCTCTCTATCTCCATCTCTCCCTCCTCTAAACCCAACACAGTCTTGGCAGATGACTGTCTCACATGAGTCTGGTTCTGCTCGAGGTTTTGGCCTGTTAAAGGAAGTTCTTTCTCTCCACTGTAACTTGCTAAACGCTGCATATGTTTCACTCATGGTGGATTGTTGGTCTGATTTTACAAGATGGGACTCAGTCTCATACTATCTTGATGTAGAGTCTGCTTTCATATAATCATCAGGCTGTATAAAATACTTACTTCTCATTGGTCAGTTATTCGTTCTGATTAGCAAGAGAGCCACGAGAGACATCCTGATAATACACGCCGTATTAAATCAAACTGTAAATTGCATTGATTTTTGCATGCAACCTGAGGTCACGATGAGAGAATAACTTCCTTTGGCTGCAGTGATAAAAACAGTTTTGTTTTACTGTAGTTTAAATAAATGTTGTATTCTCTATTCTTTGGGGAAAATGAGGGAATTTTTTAAAACAATGTCACAGTTTTAGTGGTGACACTTTTTAAAAAGCAGTATTAGCTCTGTGTTCTGAGGTACTTTTATTGGCTAAAACGTTATGCTTTTATTCGCTTACAAAACACACAATGAGCATACAGATGAACAAGAGGTCAAAGCTGCCTGCTTGTAGAAGCTGCAGTTTCATAAGAAGTCACCAAACACAATTATCTGATTAATCAAATATTTATAAAGCCTCACGTGCAATCCTTTATGTAATTCAGTTCAGCTTGATGAAGACTCTTTCGAAGATAATTTAGCTGTTAAGGCGTTATAAAGCTGTTCTATTAAAATATTCTAAATTCTTTTATTTTTGTATTGTTTGTGTTTTTTCGGACTCGGACTAACACCTTTCTGTCCCTGCAGGATAGTGGATGGTACAGAGGACAGCGAGGGGAGGGAGAACTCCCCAGCCTTCTCCTTCTCTACCAGTCGAGGTTGTCCCGCCAATGAACCAAACAGTGCCTCAGCATCCGCCACAGGTCTTCACATCCTTCAGCACACGGCAGATATGATCTAGTGCTATTTACACACTCTTAAACTCCCTATATCACAGAAGAGAGGAAATGTTCCCATCTAAATCCCTGCAGTTTGTTTAGTGTAATGAGGCTGATTGATGTCAGATGCAGTGACTGCTGATTTACAGTTTCACTCCTCGGTCTGCACTTGGAGTGGTTTGTAACTCGCTGATTTGTGTCACAGATATGCTGCAGATCAGCACGGCAGAGCTAGCAGCTAAAGCCGAGGAAACAAGAGGGCAGCTACGACACCTTGACCAGCAGGTAGGACTCTGTGTTTATGTGAGTGTGTGTGCAAAAGACATGTGGGCTCAGGTAAGTGTGGCCATCTGGTCATATCAGCATGTCAGCTTCATTAAGACTGTACAGAAGGGATCATTTAATGAGTATTGCTACCGCATCATGCTAACTACATATTAGAATAATATTTTGACTATTTCTTGGAGTTACTCAATCAGTTGTCCAGTTTGACATCATTTTATCACACACATATACACCTTTACCCACACATTTAGCATCTCATGCCATATCCTCCATTTTTGAGTGGCAGGTGGCTAAATTGGCATTAGACTTTCTGGCAGGTGAGGAGAAGTGTTTGCTTCCTCTTGCTAAGCCCCAGTCTGGTCCCAGGGATGAGCAGATAGGATTAAAAAGAAAAAGAGACACAAGGAGAGAAGAATTGAGATGGGGTTGGGAGTGGGGAGGGGAGAAAATAAGAGAAAAACCCAAAAGCAAATCAAAGAGGAGAGGAAAAAATGGAGCGTGAAAGACAATTGCATGGTTTTCTCACAGCAGTCGGCTCTGCAGTCCTGATTCGGTGTCTCTGTGGGTTACCCTTGTTTGACAGGAAGTCTCCCAGCGTGGTCCTGTAGGTTGTTAATCCTAACTTGCATCCATCCACTCAGATCACCACGGGAGTTTGAAGGCAGGGAGTGTTTAAACTGTATCTGCTGCCTTCACAATGACAAACCAGAGTGTTTTTTGGTGGCAAATGAGAGATCTCTTACAAAAAAAAGCTGTTTCACAAGGAATAAAGAAAATTCAATGTATCTAGCTGAAGTCTATTTGCTCAATATTCAGTTTACAACAAAGTCAGGGACATTTCCTCATTGAGAAAGTAGAAAAAAACCTGGACAAACCTGTTCATTGAGGTAAAAACAATATAAAAAGAACGCAAAAAGGCTTATTTAATGATTTCTCTGTAAGAGCACACAAGGCAGTTTCAGGCAATAGTTGCAGCCATCCATGTAAACACATTTTTTTGCTGATTGTGACCTGACCCTCTCAAACATGGCATTTTTAATGATCTACAATTCTGTAAACTCAGGGATAAACCCGCTCTGTCTTACACTTTGACCCATGTAGTTAGGGCCCGAGCCAGCTGCAGAGCAGCCGGGCGTAGGCCCTATTATTCCCCAAGTGGTTTTTCTTTGTTTCTTTCTTTCTTTCTTTAGGGCCCGAGCGTAGCTGCTAAGCAGCTGCGAGAGCCCTCTTGTTCCTGATGGATTCTTCTTTTGTTACTATTATTAGGGCCCGAGCGTAGCTGCTAAGCAGCTGCGAGAGCCCTATTATTCCTGATGGATTCTTCTTTCTTCTTCTTCTTCTTATTAGGGCCCGAGCGTAGCTGCTAAGCAGCTGCGAGAGCCCTATTATTCCTGATGGATTCTTCTTTCTTCTTCTTCTTCTTATTATTTTTCTGCCCCTTTGAACTGAAAAATGGCCCACTTCCCACTGGTGAAAAGTCATGAAATTTGGCAGGACGACCGGGCCTGGTGAAAAATTCGATATTCTGAAGTCGCCCAAAAAATCAAATGCAAAATGGCTCCATAGCGCCCCCTAAGGTGAAAAATTCACATGATTGAGTGTCACGCCTGTACGCTTTGTCAAAATGACACAAAATTTGACACACACGTGTATCTCAATAAGATCTACAAAAAAGTCAGTGCGGGCGTATCTGTCAAATGTACGGTTAAAGGGCTATTTCGCATTTTTTGCCGATCCGCACACATTGGAATTTCGCTAACTCCTCCGAAGGCTTTCGTTCCACCGGCACCAAATTTGCTCAGGCCAATCTACACCCCATGGCCATTAAAAGTTGTACAAATCATGACGCTGCATCTCACGGTTTACGTTCTAGGGGGCGCCAAAGATAACCCAGAAATCCACATTCTTAAAAGTCGTATAACTTTTTATTTTTGTCCTCACTGGCCTCCAAGTTTTCTAGGATGATGCAATGTCCAGCCATCAACACATTTGTGAAGGAATTTTTACTCCCCAAAAGAGCGCCCCCCCATGGCAGGAGAAAAAAGTCCATTTTTTCTTGTCTCCTAAGGCGAAAATTCACACTATTGACTATCACGCCTTTACGCTTTGTCATATTGACACAAAAATTGACACACACATGTATCTCAATAAGATCTACAAAAAAGTCAGTGCGGGCGTATCTGTCAAATGTACGGTTAAAGGGCTATTTCGCATTTTTTGCCGATCCGCACACATTGGAATTTCGCTAACTCCTCCGAAGGCTTTCGTTCCAAAGGCACCACATTTGCTGAGGCCAATCTACACCCCATGGCCATTAAAAGTTGTACAAATCATGACGCTGCACCCCACGGTTTACGTTCTAGGGGGCGCCAAAGATAACCCAAAAATCCACAGTCTTAAAAGTCTTATAACTTTTTATTTTTGTCCTCACTGGCCTCCAAGTTCTCTAGGATGATGCAATGTCCAGCCATCAACACATTTGTGAAGGAATTTTTACTCGCCAAAAGAGCGCCCCCCATGGCAGGAGAAAAAAGTCCATTTTTTCTTGTGCCCTAAGGCGAAAATACACATTGTTGACTGTCACGCCTTTACGCTTTGTCAAAATGACACAAAATTTGACACACACATGTATCTCAATAAGATCTACAAAAAAGTCAGTGCGGGCGTATCTGTCAAATGTACGGTTAAAGGGTTATTTCGCATTTTTTGCCGATCCGCACACATTGGAATTTCGCTAACTCCTCCTAAATCTTTTGTCCCATCGGCTTCAAATTTGCTCAGGTCAATCTACACCCCATGGCCATTCAAAGTTGTACAAATCATGACGCTGCACCCCACAGTTTACGTTCTAGGGGGCGCCAAAGAGGACCCAAATATCCACATTTTTAAAAGTCTTATAACTTTTTATTTTTGTCCTCACTGGCCTCCAAGTTTTCTAGGATGATGCAATGTCCAGCCATCAACACATTTGTGAAGGAATTTTTTCTCCCCAAAAGAGCGCCCCCCATGGCAGGAGAAAAAGTCAAGTTTTTCCTGCCCATCGCTCAATGGCTCAAACGCATCGCTCTCTCTGCAAAACCGAAAGGAGGAGCAACTTGCCATTTGGATATATACTAGCTGTGTTTGTGCCCTCACTCATGGTCCAGACTTTTTTCAAATAGGACATGTAGTTTGTCTGCAGCGAGCGTTTTGGTAGAAACTGCGCCTCCCGTTCATTATAATGGGAAATGACCACAGACAAGTGCGCACACCATCTTTGGACCTTGAGTGTGACGCGATCGGGAGGGGGAGGCGGTCGCGCTGGGGGCGGCGCGACGCGGCTCGGGCCCGACAGTGCCCCACCGGGGCCCTAGTTATTTTTCTGCCCCTTTGAACTGAAAAATGGCCCACTTCCCACTGGTGAAAAGTCATGAAATTTGGCAGGACGACCGGGCCTGGTGAAAAATTCGATATTCTGAAGTCGCCCAAAAAATCAAATGCAAAATGGCTCCATAGCGCCCCCTAAGGTGAAAAATTCACATGATTGAGTGTCACGCCTGTACGCTTTGTCAAAATGACACAAAATTTGACACACACGTGTATCTCAATAAGATCTACAAAAAAGTCAGTGCGGGCGTATCTGTCAAATGTACGGTTAAAGGGCTATTTCGCATTTTTTGCCGATCCGCACACATTGGAATTTCGCTAACTCCTCCGAAGGCTTTCGTTCCACCGGCACCAAATTTGCTCAGGCCAATCTACACCCCATGGCCATTAAAAGTTGTACAAATCATGACGCTGCATCTCACGGTTTACGTTCTAGGGGGCGCCAAAGATAACCCAGAAATCCACATTCTTAAAAGTCGTATAACTTTTTATTTTTGTCCTCACTGGCCTCCAAGTTTTCTAGGATGATGCAATGTCCAGCCATCAACACATTTGTGAAGGAATTTTTACTCCCCAAAAGAGCGCCCCCCCATGGCAGGAGAAAAAAGTCCATTTTTTCTTGTCTCCTAAGGCGAAAATTCACACTATTGACTATCACGCCTTTACGCTTTGTCATATTGACACAAAAATTGACACACACATGTATCTCAATAAGATCTACAAAAAAGTCAGTGCGGGCGTATCTGTCAAATGTACGGTTAAAGGGCTATTTCGCATTTTTTGCCGATCCGCACACATTGGAATTTCGCTAACTCCTCCGAAGGCTTTCGTTCCAAAGGCACCACATTTGCTGAGGCCAATCTACACCCCATGGCCATTAAAAGTTGTACAAATCATGACGCTGCACCCCACGGTTTACGTTCTAGGGGGCGCCAAAGATAACCCAAAAATCCACAGTCTTAAAAGTCTTATAACTTTTTATTTTTGTCCTCACTGGCCTCCAAGTTCTCTAGGATGATGCAATGTCCAGCCATCAACACATTTGTGAAGGAATTTTTACTCGCCAAAAGAGCGCCCCCCCATGGCAGGAGAAAAAAGTCCATTTTTTCTTGTGCCCTAAGGCGAAAATACACATTGTTGACTGTCACGCCTTTACGCTTTGTCAAAATGACACAAAATTTGACACACACATGTATCTCAATAAGATCTACAAAAAAGTCAGTGCGGGCGTATCTGTCAAATGTACGGTTAAAGGGTTATTTCGCATTTTTTGCCGATCCGCACACATTGGAATTTCGCTAACTCCTCCTAAATCTTTTGTCCCATCGGCTTCAAATTTGCTCAGGTCAATCTACACCCCATGGCCATTCAAAGTTGTACAAATCATGACGCTGCACCCCACAGTTTACGTTCTAGGGGGCGCCAAAGAGGACCCAAATATCCACATTTTTAAAAGTCTTATAACTTTTTATTTTTGTCCTCACTGGCCTCCAAGTTTTCTAGGATGATGCAATGTCCAGCCATCAACACATTTGTGAAGGAATTTTTTCTCCCCAAAAGAGCGCCCCCCAATGGCAGGAGAAAAAGTCAAGTTTTTCCTGCCCATCGCTCAATGGCTCAAACGCATCGCTCTCTCTGCAAAACCGAAAGGAGGAGCAACTTGCCATTTGGATATATACTAGCTGTGTTTGTGCCCTCACTCATGGTCCAGACTTTTTTCAAATAGGACATGTAGTTTGTCTGCAGCGAGCGTTTTGGTAGAAACTGCGCCTCCCGTTCATTATAATGGGAAATGACCACAGACAAGTGCGCACACCATCTTTGGACCTTGAGTGTGACGCGATCGGGAGGGGGAGGCGGTCGCGCTGGGGGCGGCGCGACGCGGCTCGGGCCCGACAGTGCCCCACCGGGGCCCTAGTTATTATTTTTCCTCCGCTTTAAACTGGAAAATGGCCCACTTCCCACTGGCGAAAACTCATGAAATTTGGCAGGACGACCGGGCCTGGTGAAAAATTCGATATTCTGAAGTCGCCCAAACAATAAAATGCAAAATGGCTCCATAGCGCCCCCTAAGGTGGAAATTCACACTATTGACTGTCACGTCTGTACGTTTTGTCATATTGACACAAAAATTGACACACATATGTATCTCAATAAGATCTACAAAAAAGTCAGTGCGGGCGTATCTGTCAAATGTACGGTTAAAGGGTTATTTCGCATTTTTTGCCGATCCGCACACATTGGAATTTCGCTAACTCCTCCGAAGGCTTTCGTTCCACCGGCACCACATTTGCTCAGGCCAGTCTACACCCCATGGCCATTAAAAGTTGTACAAATCATGACGCTGCACCCCACGGTTTAGGTTCTAGGGGGCGCCAAAGATAACCCAAAAATCCACATTCTTAAAAGTCTTATAACTTTTTATTTTTGTCCTCACTGGCCTCCAAGTTTTCTAGGATGATGCAATGTCCAGCCATCAACACATTTGTGAAGGAATTTTTACTCCCCAAAAGAGCGCCCCCCCATGGCAGGAGAAAAAAGTCAATTTTTTCTTGTCCCCTTACATGAAAATACACATTGTTGAGTGTCACGCCTGAACGCTTTGTCATATTGACACAAAAATTGACAATCATGTGTATCTCAATTAGATCTACGAAAAAGTCAAAGAGCGCGTATCTGTATAATGTACGGTTAAAGGGCTATTTCGCATTTTTTGCCGATTCGCACACATTGGAATGTGGCTATCTCCTCCTAAGGCTTTCGTCCCACTGATACCAAATTTGCTCAGGGCAATCTACACCCCATGCCCATTCAAAGTTGTAAAAATCATGACGCTGCACCCCACGGTTTACGTTCTAGGGGGCGCCAAAGATAACCCAAAAATCCACATTCTTAAAAGTCATTTTGGCCACTGCAGGAGTACAGAGTACTGCAGTTCTAGGGGGCGCCAAAGATGACCCAAAAATCCACATTCTTAAAAGTCATTTTGGCCACTGCAGGAGTACAGAGTACTGCAGTTCTAGGGGGCGCCAAAGATGACCCAAAAATCCACATTCTTAAAAGTCATTTTGGCCACTGCAGGAGTACAGAGTACTGCAGGATACACACACATATACACACACGCCAACACACACACACACACACACACACACTCAGAGTTTGTTTTTTAGCACCTGCAAAAACATGCTGTTTACATATTTGACAAGAATGCAGAGGCTTCCTTTTGCCCCTGAAAAAAATCAAATTTCAAACACAACTTGACTGTTCATTTCTCCAAAAGACAACCATGAAGCTCCATCCAAACCTGAAGCAGATAGTTGGTGCATGTGTACAGTAACCTGAGGGGAGTGAGGTGAGTGCTTCTGAGGAGAACATGAGCAGTGAAGATTCACCTGACGCTGCACCCCAAGGTTTAGGTTCTAGGGGGCGCCAAAGATAACACTAAAATCCACATATTTAAAAGTCTTATAACTTTTTATTTTTGTCCTCACTGGCCTCGAAGTTTTCTAGGATGATGCAATGTCCAGCCATCAACACATTTGTGAAGGAATTTTTACTCCCCAAAAGAGCGCCCCCCCATGGCAGGAGAAAAAAGTCCATTTTTTCTTGTCCCCTAAGGTGAAAATACACATTGTTGAGTGTCACGCCTATACGCTTTGTCAAAATGACACAAAAATTGACACACACATGTAACTCAATAAGATCTACGAAAAAGTCAATGCGTGCGTATCTGTCAAATGTACGGTTAAAGGGTTATTCCGCATTTTTTGCCGATCCGCACACATTGGAATGTGGCTAACTCCTCCTAAGGCTTTCGTTCCACCGGCACCACATTTGCTCAGGCCAATCTACACCCCATGGCCATTAAAAGTTATCAAAATCATGACGCTGCACCCCACGGTTTAGGTTCTAGGGGGCGCCAAAGATAACCCTAAAATCCACATATTTAAAAGTCTTATAACTTTTTATTTTTGTCCTCACTGGCCTCCAAGTTTTCTAGGATGATGCAATGTCCAGCCATCAACACATTTGTGAAGGAATTTTTACTCCCCAAAAGAGCGCCCCCCCATGGCAGGAGAAAAAAGTCCATTTTTTCTTGTCCCCTAAGGTGAAAATACATATTGTTGAGATTCACGCCTATACGCTTTGTCATATTGACACAAAATTTGACAATCACGTGCCTTGCCTGGTATCATTTTTTTCAGCACAACCTCACCTGTGCGAATTTACAGTTATTTTATCATGTTGACATACTGAATTTACACAATGGACCCAAATTCACACACAAAACATAAAATCCGAGTGGAAAAAAGTAACATTTTTACTGTGAAAACCACAAATATGTGTGATGAACTGTTTTTAAAACTTAAACTTCAAATAAAAATTGTAAACTTCAAAACATATGCAAATTTTAAACAAAGAACATAGTAATTTACCTCTATTTACATCAAAATGCAGGCAATGGCCCAGGCGTTCTTTGTAAAATTATTTACAAAACACTGTATAGTCTCACAAATGTCACTTTTTATTTATGCCACTACAAAAAAACATGATGTAAATGATGCATGATGTAAAACATGATGTAAAAAACTTGTGTAGATCCTCCTCTATGTCAGTCCATGTGTAATTTTTCCATAATTCTTTGTTTTTTGCAGCATTTTTGTTAGTGTAACTGCAGATTGTGCTGACAGTGTCTATGGCACAAAAAAAAAAAAAAATTAAAATGCCTCAACATGAACCCCTGGTGGTCTCTGAGGGTGAAACCTGCTAACTGCTGCAGCTCTGTCAGCTTCAGTCTCCCATGCAGAGCTCTGAGCGCATGTGTGGCTCTGCACCCTTAGCAGCGTTGCTAACTCCTCAGTAAGGAAAGCCTGCTTCATGTCAGAGTCTCTAAACTCCAGAAGAAGTCGATAAAAGTCCCTTTCTTTCTAAAAAAAAGTCGTTAGGGGGTCTGAAAAGTCATTGAATCTAACAACAAAGTCGCTAGGTTTGCAACTACGTGTCCCAGACTGCATCCCTGCTGAGAGTCCCTCCCTCCCTTCTCATGTTGCAGGAAGAACGTAAGCGCCCGCCCCTTGTCAATCAGTCACCATATAATTTTGGATTGGTTGTTGTGGTGAAGTTTTCCACCAATAGGAGAGATGTTGTGGTGTGTTTTTTTTTTCTTTTGGCAAGCCTTTTCCGCCTGTAAGAGCTGTCGCTAATGTCTGCATGCTATGTTTTCCTGTCTCATACAGCGCGATCGAGCGCCGAACGTGATCAAAATAAGCAGAAAAAAAGTATCGCGGACATAATTTATCATAACTCTGGTTTTATTTGGCCTATCAACACAATTTAAAAACTGGTATATAGGTTGAGGTCCTCACTTTTGAGATAAGTTGAAACGGAGAGTCAACGAGGCTCCGTCTTGCAGCTACATCCGGTTAAATATGTCATGTGACTTGAACGCACACACAGACACACACACACGCACACTCACACACACACACACACACACACACACACACACACACACACACTCAGAGTCTGGTTTTTAGCACCTGCAAAAACATGCTATTTACATATTTGACAAGAATGCAGAGGCTCCTTTTGCCCCTGAAAAAAATCAAATTTCAAACACAACTTGACTGGTCATTTCTCCAAAAGACAACCATGAAGCTCCATCCAAACCTGAAGCAGGCAGTTGGTGCATGTGTACAGTAACCTGAGGGGAGTGAGGTGAGTGCTTCTGAGGAGAACATGAGCAGTGAAGATTCACCTTGGAGCTAGAACAGAGACATGCACATGATTATACAGGGGCAGGGGCTCAAGTTTTTTCCAGTCGTTTATACAATATGGAAATTAATGTGAAATTAAAAAACAAAGTATTAATAGAAAGGTTATGACTGTCCTGTGTAGATGACAGTGATATCCAATAGGCTAGGCACTCACGAGGCTGGCTGTGGCAAGTGTAAGTGAAAGCAACACGCACTGGCAGGAAGAACAGCAAACGCCGATGAAGGAAAAGGGTCTTTGCAGTGATGGGCGTTACCAGAGAGGGCGATGGCCAGAGGACACAAATGGGACGGGAAGGCAGCACGTTTGGGGGGTGGGGGGGGGGGGGGACGCGACACAGCTCGGGCCCGCCAGTGCCCCAACGGGGTCCTAGTTTGTTATTAGGGCCCGAGCGTAGCTGCTAAGCAGCTGCGAGAGCCCTATTATTCCTGATGGATTCTTCTTTCTTCTTCTTCTTCTTATTATTTTTCTGCCCCTTTGAACTGAAAAATGGCCCACTTCCCACTGGTGAAAAGTCATGAAATTTGGCAGGACGACCGGGCCTGGTGAAAAATTCGATATTCTGAAGTCGCCCAAAAAATCAAATGCAAAATGGCTCCATAGCGCCCCCTAAGGTGAAAAATTCACATGATTGAGTGTCACGCCTGTACGCTTTGTCAAAATGACACAAAATTTGACACACACGTGTATCTCAATAAGATCTACAAAAAAGTCAGTGCGGGCGTATCTGTCAAATGTACGGTTAAAGGGCTATTTCGCATTTTTTGCCGATCCGCACACATTGGAATTTCGCTAACTCCTCCGAAGGCTTTCGTTCCACCGGCACCAAATTTGCTCAGGCCAATCTACACCCCATGGCCATTAAAAGTTGTACAAATCATGACGCTGCATCTCACGGTTTACGTTCTAGGGGGCGCCAAAGATAACCCAGAAATCCACATTCTTAAAAGTCGTATAACTTTTTATTTTTGTCCTCACTGGCCTCCAAGTTTTCTAGGATGATGCAATGTCCAGCCATCAACACATTTGTGAAGGAATTTTTACTCCCCAAAAGAGCGCCCCCCCATGGCAGGAGAAAAAAGTCCATTTTTTCTTGTCTCCTAAGGCGAAAATTCACACTATTGACTATCACGCCTTTACGCTTTGTCATATTGACACAAAAATTGACACACACATGTATCTCAATAAGATCTACAAAAAAGTCAGTGCGGGCGTATCTGTCAAATGTACGGTTAAAGGGCTATTTCGCATTTTTTGCCGATCCGCACACATTGGAATTTCGCTAACTCCTCCGAAGGCTTTCGTTCCAAAGGCACCACATTTGCTGAGGCCAATCTACACCCCATGGCCATTAAAAGTTGTACAAATCATGACGCTGCACCCCACGGTTTACGTTCTAGGGGGCGCCAAAGATAACCCAAAAATCCACAGTCTTAAAAGTCTTATAACTTTTTATTTTTGTCCTCACTGGCCTCCAAGTTCTCTAGGATGATGCAATGTCCAGCCATCAACACATTTGTGAAGGAATTTTTACTCGCCAAAAGAGCGCCCCCCCCATGGCAGGAGAAAAAAGTCCATTTTTTCTTGTGCCCTAAGGCGAAAATACACATTGTTGACTGTCACGCCTTTACGCTTTGTCAAAATGACACAAAATTTGACACACACATGTATCTCAATAAGATCTACAAAAAAGTCAGTGCGGGCGTATCTGTCAAATGTACGGTTAAAGGGTTATTTCGCATTTTTTGCCGATCCGCACACATTGGAATTTCGCTAACTCCTCCTAAATCTTTTGTCCCATCGGCTTCAAATTTGCTCAGGTCAATCTACACCCCATGGCCATTCAAAGTTGTACAAATCATGACGCTGCACCCCACAGTTTACGTTCTAGGGGGCGCCAAAGAGGACCCAAATATCCACATTTTTAAAAGTCTTATAACTTTTTATTTTTGTCCTCACTGGCCTCCAAGTTTTCTAGGATGATGCAATGTCCAGCCATCAACACATTTGTGAAGGAATTTTTTCTCCCCAAAAGAGCGCCCCCCCATGGCAGGAGAAAAAGTCAAGTTTTTCCTGCCCATCGCTCAATGGCTCAAACGCATCGCTCTCTCTGCAAAACCGAAAGGAGGAGCAACTTGCCATTTGGATATATACTAGCTGTGTTTGTGCCCTCACTCATGGTCCAGACTTTTTTCAAATAGGACATGTAGTTTGTCTGCAGCGAGCGTTTTGGTAGAAACTGCGCCTCCCGTTCATTATAATGGGAAATGACCACAGACAAGTGCGCACACCATCTTTGGACCTTGAGTGTGACGCGATCGGGAGGGGGAGGCGGTCGCGCTGGGGGCGGCGCGACGCGGCTCGGGCCCGACAGTGCCCCACCGGGGCCCTAGTTATTATTATTTTTCCTCCGCTTTAAACTGGAAAATGGCCCACTTCCCACTGGCGAAAACTCATGAAATTTGGCAGGACGACCGGGCCTGGTGAAAAATTCGATATTCTGAAGTCGCCCAAACAAGAAAATGCAAAATGGCTCCATAGCGCCCCCTAAGGTGAAAATTCACACTATTGACTGTCACGCCTGTACGCTTTGTCATATTGACACAAAAATTGACACACACATGTATCTCAATAAGATCTACAAAAAAGTCAGTGCGAGCGTATCTGTCAAATGTACGGTTAAAGGATTATTTTGCATTTTTTGCAGATCCGCACACATTGGAATTTCGCTAACTCCTCCGAAGGCTTTCGTTCCACCGGCACCACATTTGCTCAGGCCAATCTACACTCCATGGCCATTCAAAGTTGTACAAATCATAATGCTGCACCCCATGGTTTAGGTTCTAGGGGGCGCCAAAAATAACCCAAAAATCCACATTCTTAAAAGTTTTATAAATTTTTTTTTTTGTCCTCACTGGCCTCCAAGTTTTCTAGGATGATGCAATGTCCAGCCATCAACACATTTGTGAAGGAATTTTTACTCCCCAAAAGAGCGCCCCCCCATGGCAGGAATAAAAAGTCCATTTTTTCTTGTCCCCTAAGGTGAAAATACACATTGTTGAGTGTCACGCCTGTACGCTTTGTCGTATTGACAAAAAATTTGACACACACGTGTATCTCAATAAGATCTACGAAAAAGTCAATGGGCGCGTATCTGTAAAATGTACGGTTAAAGGGCTATTTTGCATTTTTTGCCGATTCGCACACATTGGAATGTGGCTAACTCCTCCTAAGGCTTTCGTCCCACTGACACCAAATTTGCACAGGCCAATCTACACCCCATGGCCATTCAAAGTTGTAAAAATCATGCCGCTGCACCCCATGGTTTACGTTCTAGGGGGCGCCAAAGATGACCCAAATATCCACATTCTTAAAAGTCGTTTTGGCCACTGCAGGAGTACAGAGTACTGCAGGATACACACACACAGACACACACACACACAGACACACACACACACACACACACACACACACACACACACACACACACTCAGAGTCTGTTTTTTAGCACCTGCAAAAACATGCTATTTACATATTTGACAACAATGCAGAGGCTTCCTTTTGCCCCTGAAAAAAATCAAATTTCTAACACAACTTGACTGCTCATTTCTCCAAAAGACAACCATGAAGCTCCATCCAAACCTGAAGCAGGCAGTTGGTGCATGTGTACAGTAACCTGAGGGGAGTGAGGTGACTGCTTCTGAGGAGAACATGAGCAGTGAAGATTCACCTTGGAGCGAGAACAGGGACGTGCACATGATTACACGGGGGCAGGGGCTCAAGTTTTTTCCAGTCGTTTATACAATATGGAAATTAATGTGAAATTAAAAAACAAAGTATTAATAGAAAGGTAATGACTGTCCTGTGTAGGTGACAGTGATATCCAATAGGCTAGGCACTCACGAGGCTGGCTGTGGCAAGTGTAAGTGAAAGCAACACGCACTGGCAGGAAGAACAGCAAACGCCGATGAAGGAAAAGGGTCTTTGCAGTGATGGGCGTTACCAGAGAGGACGATGGCCAGAGGACGCGAATGGGACGGGGAGGCAGCGCGTTGGGGGGGGGGGGGGGGGGGGGGGGGCGACACAGCTCGGGCCCGCCAGTGCCCCAACGGGGCCCTAGTTAGGGCCCGAGCGTAGCTGCTAAGCAGCTGCGAGAGCCCTCTTGTTCCTGTAGTTTCCTTCTTTTGTTATTATTATTATTATTATTATTTTTCCTCCCCTTTGAACTGGAAAATGGCCCACTTCCCACTGGCGAAAACTCATGAAATTTGGCAGGACGACCGGGCCTGGTGAAAAATTTGATATTCCGAAGTCGCCCAAACAAGAAAATGCAAAATGGCTCCATAGCGCCCCCTAAGGTGAAAATTCACACTATTGACTGTCACGCCTGTACGCTTTGTCAAAATGACACAAAAATTGACACACACATGTATCTCAATAAGATCTACAAAAAAGTCAGTGCGGGCGTATCTGTCAAATGTACGGTTAAAGGGTTATTTCGCATTTTTTGCCGATCCGCACACATTGGAATTTCGCTAACTCCTCCGAAGGCTTTCGTTCCACCGGCACCACATTTGCTCAGGCCAATCTACACCCCATGGCCATTAAAAGTTATTCAAATCATGACGCTGCACCCCACGGTTTAGGTTCTAGGGGGCGCCAAAGATAACCCTAAGATCCACATATTTAAAAGTCTTATAACTTTTTATTTTTGCCCTCACTGGCCTCCAAGTTTTCTAGGATGATGCAATGTCCAGCCATCAACACATTTGTGAAGGAATTTTTACTCCCCAAAAGAGCGCCCCCCCATGGCAGGAGAAAAAAGTCCATTTTTTCTTGTCCCCTAAGGTGAAAATACACATTGTTGAGTGTAACACCTGTACGCTTTGGCAAAATGACACAAAAATTGACACACACATGTATCTCAATAAGATCTACGAAAAAGTCAATGCACGCGTATCTGTCAAATGTACGGTTAAAGGGTTATTCCGCATTTTTTGCCGATCCGCACACATTGGAATTTCGCTAACTCCTCCGAAGGCTTTCGTTCCACCGGCACCACATTTGCTCAGGCCAATATACACCCCATGGCCATTAAAAGTTATTCAAATCATGACGCTGCACCCCACGGTTTAGGTTCTAGGGGGAGCCAAAGATAACCGTAAAATCCACATATTTAAAAGTCTTATAACTTTTTATTTTTGTCCCCACTGGCCTCCAAGTTTTCTAGGATGATGCAATGTCCAGCCATCAACACATTTGTGAAGGAATTTTTACTCGGCAAAAGAGCGCCCCCCATGGCAGGAGAAAAAAGTCAATTTTTTCTTGTCCACTAAGGTGAAAATACACATTGTTGAGTGCTACGCCTGTATGTTTTGTCGTATTGACACAAAATTTTACATACACGTGTATTTCAATAAGATCTTCGAAAAAGTCAATGGCCACGTATCTGTAAAATGTACGGTTAAAGGGTTATTTCGCATTTTTTGCAGATTCGCACACATTGGAATTTCGCTAATTCCTCCGAAGGCTTTCGTTCCACCGGCACCACATTTGCTCAGGCCAATCTACACCCCATGGCCATTAAAAGTTATTCAAATCATGACGCTGCACCCCACGGTTTAGGTTCTAGGGGGCGCCAAAGATAACCCTAAAATCCACATATTTAAAAGTCTTATAACTTTTTATTTTTGTCCTCACTGGCCTCCATGTTTTCTAGGATGATGCAATGTCCAGCCATCAACACATTTGTGAAGGAGTTTTTTCTCTTTAAAAGAGCGCCCCCCATGGCAGGAGAATAAAGTCAAGTTTTTCCTGTTCATCATTCAATGGCTCAAACGCACTGCTCTCTCGGCAAAAGCGAAAGGAGGAGCAACTTGCCATTTGGATATATCTTAGCTGTGTTTGTGCCCTCACTCATGGTCCAGACTTTTTTCAAATAGGACATGGAGTTTTTCTGCAGCGAGCGTTTTGGTAGAAACTGCGCCTCCCGTTCATTATAATGGTAAATGACCACAAACAAGTGCGCACACCATCTTTGGACCTTGAGTGTGACGCGATCGGGTGGGGGAGGCGGTCGCGCTGGGGGCGGCGTGACACGGCTCGGGCCCGCCAGTGCCCCAACGGGGCCCTAGTTTCTTCTTTTTCCTCCCCTTTGAACTGGAAAATGGCCCACTTCCCACTGGCGAAAACTCATGAAATTTGGCAGGACGACCGGGCCTGGTGAAAAATTTGATATTCCGAAGTCGCCCAAACAAGAAAATGCAAAATGGCTCCATAGCGCCCCCTAAGGTGAAAATTCACACTATTGACTGTCACGCGTGTACGCTTTGTCAAAATGACACAAAAATTGACACACACATGTATCTCAATAAGATCTACAAAAAAGTCAGTGCGGGCGTATCTGTCAAATGTACGGTTAAAGGGTTATTTTGCATTTTTTGCCGATCCGCACACATTGGAATTTCGCTAACTCCTCCGAAGGCTTTCGTTCCACCGGCACCACATTTGCTCAGGCCAATCTACACCCCATGGCCATTAAAAGTTATTCAAATCATGACGCTGCACCCCACGGTTTAGGTTCTAGGGGGCGCCAAAGATAACCCTAAGATCCACATATTTAAAAGTCTTATAACTTTTTATTTTTGCCCTCACTGGCCTCCAAGTTTTCTAGGATGATGCAATGTCCAGCCATCAACACATTTGTGAAGGAATTTTTACTCCCCAAAAGAGCGCCCCCCCATGGCAGGAGAAAAAAGTCCATTTTTTCTTGTCCCCTAAGGTGAAAATACACATTGTTGAGTGTAACACCTGTATGCTTTGGCAAAATGACACAAAAATTGACACACACATGTATCTCAATAAGATCTACGAAAAAGTCAATGCGCGCGTATCTGTCAAATGTACGGTTAAAGGGTTATTCCGCATTTTTTGCCGATCCGCACACATTGGAATTTCGCTAACTCCTCCGAAGGCTTTCGTTCCACCGGCACCACATTTGCTCAGGCCAATCTACACCCCATGGCCATTAAAAGTTATTCAAATCATGACGCTGCACCCCACGGTTTAGGTTCTAGGGGGCGCCAAAGATAACCCTAAAATCCACATATTTAAAAGTCTTATAACTTTTTATTTTTGTCCTCACTGGCCTCCAAGTTTTCTAGGATGATGCAATGTCCAGCCATCAACACATTTGTGAAGGAATTTTTACTCCCCAAAAGAGCGCCCCCCCATGGCAGGAGAAAAAAGTCAATTTTTTCTTGTCCCCTAAGGTGGAAATTCACACTATTGACTGTCACGCCTGTACGCTTTATCATATTGACACAAAAATTGACACACACGTGTATCTCAATAAGATCTACAAAAAAGTCAATGCGCGCGTATCTGTCAAATGTACGGTTAAAGGGCTATTTTGCATTTTTTGCCGATTCGCACACATTGGAATGTGGCTAACTCCTCCTAAGACTTTCGTCCCACTGACACCAAATTTGCTCAGGCCAATCTACACCCCATGGCCATTCAAAGTTGTAAAAATCATGACGCTGCACCCCACGGTTTACGTTCTAGGGGGCGCCAAAGATGACCCAAAAATCCACATTCTTAAAGGAATCCACACCCCCCCCCAAGGCAGGAGAAAAAGTCAAGTTAACCCTGCCCATCGCTCAATGGCTCAATCGCATCGCTCTCCAGGCAACACCGTAAGGAGGAGCAACCTGCCATTTCGATATATCATAGCTGTGTTTGTGCCCTCACTCATGGTCCAGACTTTTTTCAAATAGGACATGAAGTTTGTCTGCAGCGAGTGTTTTGGTAGAAACTGCGCCTCCCATTCATTATAATGGGAAATGACCACAGACAAGTGCGCACACCATCTTTGGACCTTGAGTGTGACGCGATCGGGAGGGGGAGGCGGTCGCGCTAGGGGCGGCGCGACGCGGCTCGGGCCCGACAGTGCCCCACCGGGGCCCTAGTTCTTTCTTTCTTTCTTCTTTTTCCTCCCCTTTGAACTGGAAAATGGCCCACTTCCCACTGGCGAAAACTCATGAAATTTGGCAGGACGACCGGGCCTGGTGAAAAATTCGATATTCTGAAGTCGCCCAAACAATAAAATGCAAAATGGCTCCATAGCGCCCCCTAAGGTGGAAATTCACACTATTGACTGTCACGCCTGTACGCTTTGTCATATTGACACAAAAATTGACACACATATGTATCTCAATAAGATCTACAAAAAAGTCAGTGCGGCCGTATCTGTCAAAATTACGGTTAAAGGGTTATTTCGCATTTTTTTCCGATCCGCACACATTGGAATTTCGCTAACTCCTCCGAAGGCTTTCGTTCCACCGGCACCACATTTGCTCAGGCCAATCTACACCCCGTGGCCATTAAAAGTTATCAAAATCATGACGCTGCACCCCAAGGTTTAGGTTCTAGGGGGCGCCAAAGATAACACTAAAATCCACATATTTAAAAGTCTTATAACTTTTTATTTTTGTCCTCACTGGCCTCCAAGTTTTCTAGGATGATGCAATGTCCAGCCATCAACACATTTGTGAAGGAATTTTTACTCCCCAAAAGAGCGCCCCCCCATGGCAGGAGAAAAAAGTCCATTTTTTCTTGTCCCCTAAGGTGAAAATACACATTGTTGAGTGTCACGCCTATACGCTTTGTCAAAATGACACAAAAATTGACACACACATGTAACTCAATAAGATCTACAAAAAAGTCCATGCGCGCGTATCTGTCAAATGTACAGTTAAAGGGTTATTCCGCATTTTTTGCCGATCCGCACACATTGGAATTTCGCTAACTCCTCCGAAGGCTTTCGTTCCACCGGCACCACATTTGCTCAGGCCAATCTACACCCCGTGGCCATTAAAAGTTATCAAAATCATGACGCTGCACCCCAAGGTTTAGGTTCTAGGGGGCGCCAAAGATAACACTAAAATCCACATATTTAAAAGTCTTATAACTTTTTATTTTTGTCCTCACTGGCCTCCAAGTTTTCTAGGATGATGCAATGTCCAGCCATCAACACATTTGTGAAGGAATTTTTACTCCCCAAAAGAGCGCCCCCCCATGGCAGGAGAAAAAAGTCCATTTTTTCTTGTCCCCTAAGGTGAAAATACACATTGTTGACTGTCACGCCTATACGCTTTGTCATATTGACACAAAAATTGACACACACATGTAACTCAATAAGATCTACGAAAAAGTCAATGCGCGCGTATCTGTCAAATGTACGGTTAAAGGGTTATTTCGCATTTTTTGCCGATCCGCACACATTGGAATTTCGCTAACTCCTCCGAAGGCTTTCGTTCCACCGGCACCACATTTGCTCAGGCCAATCTACACCCCGTGGCCATTGAAAGTTATCAAAATCATGACGCTGCACCCCAAGGTTTAGGTTCTAGGGGGCGCCAAAGATAACACTAAAATCCACATATTTAAAAGTCTTATAACTTTTTATTTTTGTCCTCACTGGCCTCCAAGTTTTCTAGGATGATGCAATATCCAGCCATCAACACATTTGTGAAGGAATTTTTACTCCCCAAAAGAGCGCCCCCCCATGGCAGGAGAAAAAAGTCAATTTTTTCTTGTCCCCTAAGGTGAAAATACATATTGTTGAGATTCACGCCTATACGCTTTGTCATATTGACACAAAATTTGACAATCACGTGCCTTGCCTGGTATCATTTTTTTCAGCACAACCTCACCTGTGCGAATTTACAGTTATTTTATCATGTTGACATACTGAATTTACACAATGGACCCAAATTCACACACAAAACATAAAATCCGAGTGGAAAAAAGTAACATTTTTACTGTGAAAACCACAAATATGTGTGATGAACTGTTTTTAAAACTTAAACTTCAAATAAAAATTGTAAACTTCAAAACATATGCAAATTTTTAACAAAGAACATAGTGATTTACCTCTATTTACATCAAAATGCAGGCAATGGCCCAGGCGTTCTTTGTAAAATTATTTACAAAACACTGTATAGTCTCACAAATGTCACTTTTTATTTATGCCACTACAAAAAAACATGATGTAAATGATGCATGATGTAAAACATGATGTAAAAAACTTGTGTAGATCCCCCTCTATGTCAGTCCATGTGTAATTTTTCCATAATTCTTTGTTTTTTGCAGCATTTTTGTTAGTGTAACTGCAGATTGTGCTGACAGTGTCTATGGCACAAAAAAAAAAAAATTTAAAATGCCTCAACATGAACCCCTGGTGGTCTCTGAGGGTGAAACCTGCTAACTGCTGCAGCTCTGTCAGCTTCAGTCTCCCATGCAGAGCTCTGAGCGCATGTGTGGCTCTGCACCCTTAGCAGCGTTGCTAACTCCTCAGTAAGGAAAGCCTGCTTCATGTCAGAGTCTCTAAACTCCAGAAGAAGTCGATAAAAGTCCCTTTCTTTCTAAAAAAAAGTCGTTAGGGGGTCTGAAAAGTCATTGAATCTAACAACAAAGTCGCTAGGTTTGCAACTACGTGTCCCAGACTGCATCCCTGCTGAGAGTCCCTCCCTCGCTTCTCATGTTGCAGGAAGAACGTAAGCACCCGCCCCTTGTCAATCAGTCACCATATAATTTTGGATTGCTTGTTGTGGTGAAGTTTTCCACCAATAGGAGAGATGTTGTGGTGTGTTTTTTTTTTCTTTTGGCAAGCCTTTTCCGCCTGTAAGACCTGTCGCTAATGTCTGCATGCTATGTTTTCCTGTCTCATACAGCGCGATCGAGCGCCGAACGTGATCAAAATAAGCAGAAAAAAAGTATCGCGGACATAATTTATCATAACTCTGGTTTTATTTGGCCTATCAACACAATTTAAAAACTGGTATATAGGTTGAGGTCCTCACTTTTGAGATAAGTTGAAACGGAGAGTCAACGAGGCTCCGTCTTGCAGCTACATCCGGTTAAATATGTCATGTGACTTGAACGCACACACAGACACACACACACGCACACACACACACACACACACACACACACACACACACACTCAGAGTCTGGTTTTTAGCACCTGCAAAAACATGCTATTTACATATTTGACAAGAATGCAGAGGCTCCTTTTGCCCCTGAAAAAAATCAAATTTCAAACACAACTTGACTGCTCAATTCTCCAAAAGACAACCATGAAGTTCCATCCAAACCTGAAGCAGGCAGTTGGTGCATGTGTACAGTAACCTGAGGGGAGTGAGGTGAGTGCTTCTGAGGAGAACATGAGCAGTGAAGATTCACCTTGGAGCTAGAACAGAGACATGCACATGATTATACAGGGGCAGGGGCTCAAGTTTTTTCCAGTCGTTTATACAATATGGAAATTAATGTGAAATTAAAACACAAAGTATTAATAGAAAGGTTATGACTGTCCTGTGTAGGTGACAGTGATATCCAATAGGCTAGGCACTCACGAGGCTGGCTGTGGCAAGTGTAAGTGAAAGCAACACGCACTGGCAAGAAGAACAGCAAACGCCGATGAAGGAAAAGGGTCTTTGCAGTGATGGGCGTTACCAGAGAGGGCGATGGCCAGAGGACACAAATGGGACGGGGAGGCAGCACGTTGGGGGGGGGACGCGACACGGCTCGGGCCCGCCAGTGCCCCAACGGGGTCCTAGTTATTTTTCCTCCCCTTTGAACTGGAAAATGGCCCACTTCCCACTGGCGAAAACTCATGAAATTTGGCAGGACGACCGGGCCTGGTGAAAAATTTGATATTCCGAAGTCGCCCAAACAAGAAAATGCAAAATGGCTCCATAGCGCCCCCTAAGGTGAAAATTCACACTATTCACTGTCACGCCTGTACGCTTTGTCAAAATGACACAAAAATTGACACACACATGTATCTCAATAAGATCTACAAAAAAGTCAGTGCGGGCGTATCTGTCAAATGTACGGTTAAAGGGTTATTTCGCATTTTTTGCCGATCCGCACACATTGGAATTTCGCTAACTCCTCCGAAGGCTTTCGTTCCACCGGCACCACATTTGCTCAGGCCAATCTACACCCCATGGCCATTAAAAGTTATTCAAATCATGACGCTGCACCCCACGGTTTAGGTTCTAGGGGGCGCCAAAGATAACCCTAAGATCCACATATTTAAAAGTCTTATAACTTTTTATTTTTGCCCTCACTGGCCTCCAAGTTTTCTAGGATGATGCAATGTCCAGCCATCAACACATTTGTGAAGGAATTTTTACTCCCCAAAAGAGCGCCCCCCCATGGCAGGAGAAAAAAGTCAATTTTTTCTTGTCCCCTAAGGTGAAAATACACATTGTTGAGTGTAACACCTGTACGCTTTGGCAAAATGACACAAAAATTGACACACACATGTATCTCAATAAGATCTACGAAAAAGTCAATGCGCGCGTATCTGTCAAATGTACGGTTAAAGGGTTATTCCGCATTTTTTGCCGATCCGCACACATTGGAATTTCGCTAACTCCTCCGAAGGCTTTCGTTCCACCGGCACCACATTTGCTCAGGCCAATCTACCCCCCATGGCCATTAAAAGTTATTCAAATCATGACGCTGCACCCCACGGTTTAGGTTCTAGGGGGCGCCAAAGATAACCCTAAGATCCACATATTTAAAAGTCTTATAACTTTTTATTTTTGCCCTCACTGGCCTCCAAGTTTTCTAGGATGATGCAATGTCCAGCCATCAACACATTTGTGAAGGAATTTTTACTCCCCAAAAGAGCGCCCCCCCATGGCAGGAGAAAAAAGTCCATTTTTTCTTGTCCCCTAAGGTGAAAATACACATTGTTGAGTGTAACACCTGTACGCTTTGGCAAAATGACACAAAAATTGACACACACATGTATCTCAATAAGATCTACGAAAAAGTCAATGCGCGCGTATCTGTCAAATGTACGGTTAAAGGGTTATTCCGCATTTTTTGCCGATCCGCACACATTGGAATTTCGCTAACTCCTCCGAAGGCTTTCGTTCCACCGGCACCACATTTGCTCAGGCCAATCTACACCCCATGGCCATTAAAAGTTATTCAAATCATGACGCTGCACCCCACGGTTTAGGTTCTAGGGGGAGCCAAAGATAACCGTAAAATCCACATATTTAAAAGTCTTATAACTTTTTATTTTTGTCCCCACTGGCCTCCAAGTTTTCTAGGATGATGCAATGTCCAGCCATCAACACATTTGTGAAGGAATTTTTACTCGGCAAAAGATTGCCCCCCCCATGGCAGGAGAAAAAAGTCAATTTTTTCTTGTCCACTAAGGTGAAAATACACATTGTTGAGTGCTACGCCTGTATATTTTGTCGTATTGACACAAAATTTTACATACACGTGTATTTACATAAGATCTTCGAAAAAGTCAATGGCCACGTATCTGTAAAATGTACGGTTAAAGGGTTATTTCGCATTTTTTGCAGATTCGCACACATTGGAATTTCGCTAATTCCTCCGAAGGCTTTCGTTCCACCGGCACCACATTTGCTCAGGCCAATCTACACCCCATGGCCATTAAAAGTTATTCAAATCATGACGCTGCACCCCACGGTTTAGGTTCTAGGGGGCGCCAAAGATAACCCTAAAATCCACATATTTAAAAGTCTTATAACTTTTTATTTTTGTCCTCACTGGCCTCCATGTTTTCTAGGATGATGCAATGTCCAGCCATCAACACATTTGTGAAGGAGTTTTTTCTCTTTAAAAGAGCGCCCCCCCATGGCAGGAGAATAAAGTCAAGTTTTTCCTGTTCATCATTCAATGGCTCAAACGCACTGCTCTCTCGGCAAAAGCGAAAGGAGGAGCAACTTGCCATTTGGATATATCTTAGCTGTGTTTGTGCCCTCACTCATGGTCCAGACTTTTTTCAAATAGGACATGGAGTTTTTCTGCAGCGAGCGTTTTGGTAGAAACTGCGCCTCCCGTTCATTATAATGGTAAATGACCACAAACAAGTGCGCACACCATCTTTGGACCTTGAGTGTGACGCGATCGGGTGGGGGAGGCGGTCGCGCTGGGGGCGGCGTGACACGGCTCGGGCCCGCCAGTGCCCCAACGGGGCCCTAGTTACCCTTTGAACCTCAGACCACAGCTCTTCATTAAAGGGGTTTTATTCTTACCGGAGCTGAATGGAACAATTAATGTGGTTAAACTGAGGCGTAGAAATCACAGCATAGATCTGCACAGGAGGGCTGTCCTAATACCTGCACTTGTGATTAGGCAGAGAGGCATTTGCAGTGGCAAACACTTGAATGTGAGTGACACACATTTAAACATGCTTGTGTGCACAGCAGGAGTGACCTGCTTTTGTTCATAAATAGAATAAGTCACAATGAAATATTAAAAGTTCATATGAATGTATGAAACACAATTTTTAAACCATACCTGGACATTAAAGCGGCAAGTACAGATTTTTCTGGCCACTTGGGGGCAGCGTAACAAGTTGTTTACACACTAAGTATTTTCTTGCAACAATTACAAACTCAGTGCAGCACTGGAATGAATTTAAGGGCTTGTTTCTACTGAATTGACCTGTGTAAACCCTCACTGGTCAGCTAACATAGAGCAAAAGCTCACTGCTTACTTTTTCTACATGCTGTTCACACCTCAAGTGTGAGCTTACATTCGAGTATTCTCTGTTGCACCTTGAAGTTAGGGACCAAATTGTGTATTTCAAAGTCTGCACTTCTAAGTTTGCATGGACATGTCAATTTTAAAGTGTGAACCTTCAAGAAGAATTACGAGTGTGAAGAATTAAGACTTAAAAATGGAGGGTGCAACACAACCTGTAAACTTAAAGTCTGCTTAAAAGTGTGCACTTGAAAATGTTCCCTTGAAAGATCTCTCAGGAGTGTGCTCAAAAGAGTGTGAACTTCAAAGTGTGAACTGTAGTTGACCCCTTTGAAACTGCACTTCAAAGTCCCTGTCTCAACTTCAGTGTGCAACTAAAAATGTGCATTTCAAAGAGCGCTTTATAAAGTGCATTTAAAAAAACGTGACCTGATAAGTTTGTATTTTGAAATGCATTAAAAAGTGTGTGTTTATTAGTGCTCTTACAATTCTGCAGTTAAAAGTACACTCCAATGAGCGCTAATTGTGCCATGAAGTGTGCACTTGGAACTGTGTGCACTTTATGCTAACAATTTCTGCTCTCAAAAAGGTAAACTTTAAAGTTCACAATCTTAAGACTGCAAGAGAGACTGCAATTTAAAGTGTGCTTTTCAAATCATAAAGAAGTATACACTGCAGAAAGTGATATTTTATGTGCACACTGGATTTAACTCAAAGGTGTACACTTTAGTGTTCAACTTCTGCTGAGCAGATAGTGTCCAGATAAATGAAATCTCTGAAAGACTTGAAAATGTTTGATCAAAGGAGATATTTGTGCCAGAAATTATGAGTGAAAACCATAAACTGTATATAGAATGGACAGAGTCTGCCTCCTCACTGGGTGAAGCCACTCCGAGAACAGCACCCTCTGTTGATGGGCTGCAGTATAGGTCATAAATCCCGCCTCCGCCAGCAAAGCTTATGGGCCTGTGGACAAACTTTAGAAATTAATTACACAGAACATAATTTTTTTCTGCCCCCTGCTTGTGATGTTGACATATAGTTACTGTAAGACTGGTTTGTGCTCAAGTCCTCTTTTTTCTGTGAAGCTCAGTTTTTAAAAGTTATTAGGGGGTTCATGTTTTCTATGATTGACACTTGATACAGCCTATGGGCGTTCCGTAGCTCTCCCTGGGAATACGCTGTTTGAGCCGAGCGCCATCACAGCGACTCTCAGCGACTGCGCGCCCGAATGCGTACAACGCTACTGTGCAGTGCTTGTTTCAGGAAATGGAGAAAAATCACGGAAATACCGAGAGCTTTTTGGATTCAAATCTGTATACCGGCAGTAGGCGGAACCAAGTTGTCCATAGTATATACAGTCTATGGTGAAAACCTACAGAAAAAGATCAGCAAAGAAATGAGACAACAGGAGCCAAAGATATAAAACCTGAAATTCCCAGAAGAAAGTTTAAATTTAAGAAAATAGCTCAGCCAAGGGTCATAAAACCAAAAATAAGGTCCCTGTTGGATGATTACTGTAGCCAGGTCATTACCAGTTCCTTCAAATCATGGTTGTGTACACTTATTATTGTGAGATTGAAGGAAATCATTGACTGAAAATACAATAGAGATAAATTTGGGAGTTCAATAAAGTCTGAATTGTTCTTCCAACCAAACCAAAGAGATAAAGATGAGGCAGGCAGACAGCAGCAGTTGGCAGTTTCTCAGTTGTTAACAACTCTCTTAGTGCTGCAGTGCCACTCTTAGATCCTAATACATAGATTTTTTTTGTTATCTTATGGTTTAATAAGCATTAATCTTCTTTGCTGTCAAAACTGTTTTTGGAGGGTTTAACTTGCACCTGTAGCTGCAGTGGATTCTGGCCATCCATGGCTGCTGTTTGTGTGTGATTGTCCCCACACGCGCTCGTCTCTGAGGTGGGAGGACTGAAATCATGTTGACAGCGTTTCAGATTGGACTTTCCTGTCGCTCCCTGTGCTTTTTCTATTTTTATCAGAGCCAGAGTTTAGACCACGGCTTTTATCAGCCACTCCACAGAAGGGGAGAGATGGCAGAGATGTGACAATTGTAAAGGAGGGAGAAGGACTTTTTTTTCCGTTAAAACTATTGCCAGAATAAATTCAGTCTGATGGATTATAGTCCAAGAACTTCAGCATTTAAAGGACAGTAAATATGTGGTGATATGATTACACTGATGAACGACCTTATGTGTGCAAATCTGTGTTGAATGCATGCCTTAAAGTTTTTCCATGCAACCTTGAGACAGCAAAGGAGCTTCTATTCGTTATGCACTGATCACCATATACTTGTACACACAGCCAGATTCTCTCTCCATGTATTCACATCGCGACTGTAGCAGATCCCACCTGCAGTTGTGTGTCCTGCTGAGGGCTGATGTTCCTGCTGTAGCACTGATGTGCATGATCGGCCTGACGAACGTCCATGACTGCTCTGACTGGCAGAAGCAGATGGCACATTGGCAGGGCTTCATGGTTCGTGCCCTCTGTGGACATGCCTCGTGCAGAGAGCGGCTAATCACCAGCCCGCCCTCATCGCAGCAACAACCAATTATAGCAGCACTGAGCAAAATGCAAAAGCAGGAGGCAGAAATAAAAATAAAGAATCTGACCCAAAATGAGTGACCTGGAAATATTAAATTTGTGTTTTTGCACTGTAGCTCTTGAGTCCTTGTAAAATAAAATACATTTGAATTTGAATTTGTAGTGTTAAAGTTGCAGGAGAGTTTATCCAAAACCTAAAATCACAGTGTGAGTTGAAAGTAAAGCTGCTACAGGCTTCAACATGGAAGCAAACGAGAAATCCAAAGTGAAACAGATGAATGGATTGCTTTACTTTTATTGAAAAGGCAGATTTCAGGTTTTGACGTAGTTATTTTCTTTGCACCTGTGGTTACCATGGTAATGGCTTCTGAAGTTTAACATTGAAGTGTGACTTTTGAGTGGTTACAATACCAACAGAAGTAACACTGGTGAATCAGGTAAAGGCTACATTTGTCATCATTTTGACTTCACGGAAGATAATGTCATAAGAGTTTGTATGTGCAGTCTTGATTTGTAGCTGGAAGGAAGGAAGGAAGGAAGGAAGGAAGGAAGGAAGGAAAAAAGAAAGAAAGAAAGAAAGAAAGAAAGAAAGAAAGAAAGAAAGAAAGAAAGCTTATTTTCTGTGAGTCGGGGTGTGACACTCACATTCAGAAGATTGTTGGTACACTCTGTAACAGTCCAGTGCGTGGGCTTCATTCGAGTCAGCGCTCATTACAATCCACAGCTTCTGTGGGTGACCCTTGTCTCTTATGGATAGATTAGTCCTCTACAAAATAGACATGAATGGATCCTTTGGGGTGCCAGTGTGTGTACAGCTCTGTTATTTCTCTTGTCCTGGGCAATAATAGAAACAAGCTGTTTTCACAGTGATGAGCATCTCTCTTCCCAAACCACTGGCACTGTTGTGCAGGATGAAGCTGTCGTCCCTCCCACAAGGCCACCAACACCCACACTGCATTGCACATGTTTATAACTCTGAGTATAATCGAGTTTGAATTGTTTTGTGTTTTTGTCTTTAGCACTAAAGTTGTTGTGCTTCTGTGTTTGCAGGTGAACACCCTCGGCAGGGAAGTAGCCGACCTGGGACGAGTCATGAACAGGATGGCGCATCTCATGGAGACCCTCATGTCTTCAGTCCCTCAGCCTACCTTAGTCTGCCCTGCCCACTTCTCCCCAGGACAGCACACTTACCTGCCCCACCCCAACCCTCCTCAATCCTACCCCTCACCTTCCTCCCCTCAGACTGCCTCCATCTGGATGGATACGCCCATGTCACTCCCCTCCTCTCCCCTCACTTTCCCCCAGCAGCACAGTGGAATACACCACAGGGACCCCCTCACACACAGACCCCAGGACCTTCAGCTGGGATTTTCTTCAAACCCCAGCTCAACTTTACCTCCAACTCCTACTTTATCGGACCTTCAGCTACAGCCGATCATTGCAGAGCCTCACCTGGTTTCCTCGCCGCTGAGCTCGCCAGAGACTTTGCACTTCACAGATGGGGTTTCTGGCTCCATCAGGTCAAGGGTGCACAGTCCAACTTCACATGACGGGGGAGAAGAAGGCCCTGATCAAAGCTCTGGGTGCTCTTCGAATACAGGACTCGGGGGGACCTATCACAGCCCGGCGAAGGGATTGTAGCAGCCTTTATTTGGAATTTTCTGGATTCAGCTGGACTTTTTCCAGAATATTTCAGGATCAAACTGGATCACTTGGGTCCCTCATATCACTGGAGGACGTCTGCAGGGATGCAACTTTTTTTGTTTAAATGCACGTGTTGCATGAAACAAGTAAAGAAGGCTTAGGTGTGTTAGCTTTATCTTATAGAAATGTAGATGTTAGACAGAATGCAGAGGTTTGGCTCAGCCCTCTGGACACCCCTACCCCCTTTAACCCCTCCCACCTTTGAGGCGGGGTTTCCCACAGAGGAAGACGAAAGAGTTCTTTCTGACCTCCTGTTTTACTCCTGAAGTGGTGGTTTCAGGTCATGTAGGCTGTTTGGAGGAAGACAAAGCATCACGAAGAGCAGAGTGATGGAGGGGTTTCTCATTCTCTCCCTGACCCCTCCCCCATCTCCACCATTTCCTCTCCTTTAACCCTACTTTTCTTGCTCACTCAACCTGCTCCCAGTGCTGTGGATTGTTCTGGACCAGTGCATGTCTGGTCAGACTGGGAGCACAGAATGGTGTGAGGAGAGAGATGGGACGTATTGTGCTCTTTACCACAAGCCCCTCAGGGAACGGGAGGAAGTCGGTTATGGAATAGGGGAAGATGGGTGGGTGGTGGTGGGGTGGGGGGGTTATGTTACGCCTCGGGCAGTGCAGCCCCTGCTGTCGCCTGTCACACCAAGCACAGTGACTTTTTCTTCCTCTCTGTCCTCTCTCCACACACACACACTCCCCCGCTCTCCTCTCCCTCCTGTTTCTCCCACTCTGTGCATGCCTTTCCGAGCCTTTTGAGTAGTGCCTGTAGACACACATTAACATGCTGCATGTCACCCTGTGGAAATCCAGCTTGCCATTTATCTATCTATTTAAAGGAAGCACGGTTCAATCTTTTAATAGCTGAACCTGGCATTTACTGATGCATATTTATTGGATGATGGGTAATTTAGGACCAAGAAAGTCGCCACTGTTATGAAGAGGCCTGGAGCAAAACCGTCAATATTGAATCGGTCCACAATGTCGGCCTTTTTCCTGATTGTCACCCGCGGTCATCAGCTCTGGGGTTTAATTTCTTAGCTGGTCAGAGCGAAGGCAATATTCCCACAAAGAAAAGAAAGCACAACAAGGACACAAAGACGCTTTTATATTTCTATGAATGTATCAATACTAAAGATGTATTTTTTTACCTCAAGGATGCAAGAGTGTGGGGGAGCAGTGAATGATGCTACTGTATATGAGGTTATGGTAGTGCTGTTTGCTGGTCAATGCAATCTTAAACCAGGACAAAAGGTTCTTACTCCTGCTCCCCGCAGATCTACGGTTCATGTAGGTTTGACTCTGCTTCTCTGCAAATGGAATGTACTGTAATCAAACATCTTTTTTCCCCTTTTTGATATTTATTAGATACAAAAACAATGTTATGCTAATAAACAACAAATATGACTGTTATGTCTTGGCTTTTTAATGCTTAGTTTATCACAGAAATGTTCATTAAGGCTTCACAGACTCAAATATGGATTATCACATTCAGAAAATGTTCTTTTATTTTTGGTACATATTATCTAATCTACATGTGAAATCAAGCCTTTCTTTTTTTTTCTTTTTTTTTTCTTTTCTTTTCTTTTCTTTTCTTTTATTTTATGCAAGACAAACAACAAACAACAGCATTTGTGGTTTTGTGTGTGTGTGTGTGTGTGTGTGTGTGTGTGTGTGTGTGTGTGTGTGTGTGTGTGTGTGTGTGTATTATATATATGAATAATAATGATAAAAAATATTACAATTGTCAGACAAGCAAATGGAAATTATAATAGAAGAATAATATCAATAATAATAATAATAATAAGAAGAAGAACAACAACAACAACAACATTCAATATTAATAAAGATGATGAGTAATGATAATAATATGGGTGGAGGGGAGGTCTTTAAATTTGGACTACCTCGGGTCCCTGCCCACTCGCACGAGACCAAAAAAAACAAGCATTTCTTAATTGAACTCAGATTTAGTGTTTTAGGGTGTTTTCACACCTGAAAGTCCGGACCAAGGTCCCTGTTTTCGCATACATATTTTTTTCTACATTTGGTTTGGTCTGTTTAGGTTTCACATTGTCATTATTGCAAATGGACAAACAGACTTTACAAGACACACCTACGTGATATCATCATCTACTATGTGCTCTGCATGTCTCTGTAGTTTACATTAATTGGTCATTTGTCCGGCAGGCGTCAGAGGTCAACACGTTAAAAAGAGCGGGTCTTGAATGGTGTAAACATGGATGAAATCGTCATTCCCACCATTGTACTATTTTTGATTTTCTACCTCCAACAGCGGTAGAGCTGTACATGAGGCTGATCTGAGAAAGTCTCATGAATTTGATCATTAGACCACAACTTTATCGACATCGACAGGAAAGGAAAAGAAAGTAAGCAATCCTGCGAGTCACTGCAACACCAGCTCGGAAGAAGAGTATGTGTGGTAAAAGTGAGGTATAACTTTATCTACAATATTATAAAAATTCTCTGTTATTGGACAATCTCCATTCAACATAATAACAGATACTCTCACTGCCCGCGTCATTTCCTGTCTTTGGTATGAAGGTCTGGACCTTTCAAAATAATGCTTTCACACTGGGCTTGAACAAGACCATAGTTCAGTTTGGTCTGGACCGAGACCACCTCTTTTGGTCGGATCAAGGTCCGGCTGTTTGGTCTGGACCAAGGTCCTCGGGAGGTTTCACACATATCACTTTGATTCGGACTCAACAGAGAAGTCCGGACCAAAGGACATAGGTGTGAAAGCCCCCTGAGGAGTCAGTGGATAAAATCACATTACAATATTCTTCACCAGAAGTTTATGGCATTGCTGGATAACTTAAAAAATAAAACACAATCAGTCAAACCGGCTGGACAAACTATGTCGAAATATTAAAGTCTACAGCCGTGTTAGGAGTCCTGTATGCTTCAGCTAGATGCAAACATCAGTACGCCAACATGCTTACAACGACAGTTTAACATGCTGACATGTACACCAATCAGCCCCCTGACTGATATTGTGTGGCCCCTCTGGTCTTGGGTCAGGGCCAAAACAGCCCTGATCAATAAGACATGGATTCCCTTGGACCTCTGAATGAGTGCTGTGCTGTCTTTCACCGAGACGCAGAAGATCCTCCAAGTCGAGCAGGTCGTAAGGTCAGTACGGGTCCCTTTTAGGGGAACGAACCTCAGCCGACCATGACCCTGTCACTGGTTTGCCACGTTTTCTTCCTTGGACCACTTTTGGGAGCAGCTGCAGACTGGAATCCCTCCTCATTAAGTTGCTGTGCACTTCATCTATTATCGGTCATAATGTTACAGCTGATGAGTCAGCATATTCACAATATTCAAACCAATTTCACAAGGGTAATACACTATAATTTGTTTAAATGCACTTCACAGCTGAGGCCAACAGGGGTGACATTTATGGAGTCACTGGTTATAAAACAAATATTGCATCAAAATTCAGATTATCCTGTAAATAGAGTTTTATCAAATTGCTAGTCTGTACTAAAATGAGGACTTGGAACAATTGAACTGATTGAGTTTAACATTGAGGACTGCACAGCTTGCATGGTGAAACAAAAACAGCTCATATCAGAGGGAAAACTTTTAAAAGCAACAAAAAACACAAAAGACCTGTTGCATGTGTCTTTAAAACCTACAATGATCATTTAAAGAGTGAAAAGGAAAGACTTGGTTTCAGCACAGCTGTTGCCCGGCCACACTGTGTGTATTTGTCCAATGCACATGCTTGTTTGTCTTTCTTTTGTTCAGTGCTGATGCGGTTCATCTGAGGTGAAAGCGCCGCAGTCGTCATGTTTCACTGGTGACGTAGGATTGAAAACTGAATAAGTGTGTATGCATTGACACATCTGTCAGAGGCGCAGCTGTTCACAGCCACAGAGAGGTGCTCATGTGACGGTGTTTTAGCGTGGATGTGCACACCTCTTTGCAAACCTCACTCTCTCTGTTTAGCAGGGATGCAAGGAGAAGACATTATGTGTGTGTGTGTGTGTGTGTGTGTGTGTGTGTGTGCGTGCGTGAGTATGCAAGCATGTTTGTAGAAGCTTTCAGAGGTGTAATGATGTGAACCAAAATTTGGTGATCATAACATCCTCCACTTTGACCATTTTATTTGTGTGTGCGTGCGTGCGTGCGTGCGTGCGTGCGTGTGTGTGTGTGTGTATGTGTGTGTGTGTGTGTGCGTGTGTGCATGTGTGTGTGTGTAACTGAGGAGTCACGTACAGGTGGTCGTGTGTGTGTCCACACTGAGGATGATTATTGGTGTGTTTAGCAGCGCCTCCAGCACATCTGTGGGAATGCTGTTATTTAGCCCCGGGTCTTGAAAGCCCATCCATTTTTGATGGTGTACAGACAATCCCACCCAGGCTGTTTATGCATCGTTTTATCTACCTGCTAGCAAGCTCATCTTTTATTCACAACTTACCACAATCTGTCATTAGCAAACCGAGGCCCATCTGCCTTCCCCTTTTGCACCCTGCCCTCTCTCTTTCCTAACAGTCATGATTTACAATTAAAGTTGGGTCTGACTTTGATGCGCAGAGTTGAAGACAGCAGAGACATGGGAAAATGTGTACAAGTGTAACAAAATGCTAGTAGGGTTGTTAAAAAGTAATGGAATGAAGTTTGCCTTTACTTATTGCTAATTATCAACTGAAAAGAAAATGCTGTGACATGATGCATTAGGTAGAGCTTAGATTATTAACTAATGTCATTGTGAAGTAGCTAACAACACTGTAGGTGAGGCTTTGTTTAACGGTAGTATAATAAATCATAGAGTAGTCCCCCACCACCACCACCACAAATGTATCGGCACATGTCTGACGTTCATTTCACTTCAGGTCATTAATAGTGAATGAACCAGCCATCTGCTGTGGCAGTTCACAAATGGCACATGCTAAAACAGTGGAGTACATTATCCCTCCACTTTACATTCCCCCCATAACTCTTTCAACCTGGAGGATTCACACACCAACTTTCCTCACATCCTTGTCTCAGTTTGTCCTGCACATTAACAGTTAATCCTTAGACTTAAAGTTCATTTTAACCATAATCCAACTGATATTTATGATTAATATAATGGGTATGCTTCCATTAGCCAATCAGAATATAGATTTTCACTTCATGGAGTGTTCATCTGAGTGCTAACTGAATACAGCTAATAACCCTGAGTACTTGGCTAACAGCAACAAAAAGTATGCAGAATAAGACAAATACATGAATTTTACCTTCTGGGAAGAAAAATATCAGTCATTGCAAAATCTCACAAAGGCAGCCCTCGTTTCAGGATTAATATGGCTCAGCATTTGTCTCTATATCCTTAAAGAGTTTCTTTATTTATTGTCTTTCCAGACACTTGAAAGTCCTGTAATAGGTCCTGTGCATCACAGAGATAAAGTTAGAGGTTTCCTTGTACAGAAAACATTAGTATGCCTCTTGCTCAGCATGAGTCATCAATGTTTTAGTGTATTTTCCAGGAAATGACACATGCTGAAACACCATTAAGAGCAGTCTTACTTGTGTAACAACATTTCTGTCATTGTTGGACCAGATACTCAGATATATGTGACAAAAAGGGGTCAGACCAATCTGATAAAAAAAAATCTTTTCCATCTGTTTTGATGTTAATGGAATTTTCACACAATATATGCAGTGATTCATATTCAATCTATTGCTGTATGTCTTTTAAAAACACCTGTCTCATACTGTTTGGTGCTGGCCCTGACCCAAATACACCA